CTGTCTGCCTCAGTTTCCTCATCTATAAAAAGAGCTGGAGAAGGAAATGACAAACCACTCCAGTGTCTCTGCCAAGAAAACCCCAAATGGGGTCACACAAAGAGTTGGACAAGACTGAAAACAAGAAGAAAAGGCAGCCACGGTAGCGTTTTACCTTGCCTGGAATTCCACGCTCTTTTTCTATCATGGTGGTTGTTGTTAGTCAAACAGCCCCATTAAAATGCAAGTTTTCAAAAGTTAGGAGAAGCAGCTTGAGGCCGCATAGCGTGGCCTCAAAAACTCCCTGACAATTAACCTGCCCCAAAGTGCACCTGCAGAGTCACAGGTCCTCCTTAAACGAAGACATTGGAGCAGAGACTGGACACCCGCTTGTTAATGACGTGGAGGAAGGTCGGTTTAGGTGGATTCAATGGCATCTGGGGACCCATCTAACTGAGATTCTGCAAAATTTGGGATCCCAGATTTAGAGCTGGACGATGCCTTAGAGGTCATTTTACTGAGGCCTGCCAGTCACCCAGTGAGGGGCAGGGCTCGTATTATAGTGAGCCATTACCTGCCCTTACCCAGGCACCAGGAGTGGGAAGGGGAAGCAGAAAAGGAAGGGAAAATAAAGAATGGATGAAGAGCCCTGAAGGCAAATTCTACCTGTTCAACCATAGCTAGCATTTATACAGAGCTTTAAGATTTGCAAAGCACTGTACGTTTCTGTTCTCATTTGATCCTCACAAAACGCCTATGAGTTAGAAGTTTTTATTTTCCCTGGTTTGACAGATGAAGAAACTAAGGCTGACACAGGTAAGTGACTTACCCAGGGTCACACAGCTAGTAAATGTCTAGGGAAGATTTGAACTCGGGTTTTCCTGACTCCAGAGTCCAGCAGAGCCCTCTGGCTACCTTACAAAACACGAGCCTGCTTCCCCCTTCCTCCTCAGGAGAATCAAGCCATTTCAGTAAAGGGCACCCCTTTTCTTGGACTCAGTTTCCCCATACCGCAGCCCTGATCTACTCCCGGCTGATGCAGCTGGGTTGGGGCTGGAGCCCCCAAAGTCAGAATTCCCTGCTTGCCCCTCAGGGAGGACACATGGCCCTGGCCAGGGACCTGGGAGCCAATATTCAGTCCCAGGAGGCCTCCTCCCTTGGCTGTGGAGCAAGGAATACATGCAAACTCTGCACAGCTAGAGAGGATTGGGAGCAGAAGAAACCACGGTGAAGTTTCTTTAGAATGTCCAGAGCACCGATAACCAGCTCTGCACACGCTGGTGTTATTTATCACTGTGCAAAATCACAATGTGTCCAGAGGACAGTCAGCCATCAACCACAGCCGGAGGGAAGCCAGGGTCTCCCCATATGCAGCTGCCGCAAAGCAGCCCGCCTTTATGTGTGCAGAGCCAATGAGGAAGGCATCTGGGATGCCCAGAGAGGCATGTTTCCTCCAGCTTTCAGGCAGGGATGCTCCTCATGTGCCCGGCGCTAATCCCACCACTTCCCATCCAGGTCCTGCTCTGAAGGCTTCATTCAAATCAGCAGGACCGGCCCACAATTGGACACATCCACCACAGACCAGAGCCCTGGGGCTGAGACCTCAGGAGACCCCAGTTCTAGGGCTTCTTTGACATTCCCTGCTGTGTGGCCTTGGGTAAGTCCACGTTTTACAACTGAAGAAACTAAGGCAAACAGAGGTTAAGTGACTTGCCCAGACTCACACAGCTTCTTCTCTGAGGAAGATTTTCTTTGGTTTCTAAACATCAGTATTAGCTACACACCCAAGTATTCTTTAACCAGTTGATCACCAAACAAGGCTCCTACACACGGAGGTAACTAAGCTGTTTTCACATGTGGCAACAAAAAAATCCAATGTATCTCAATTTTAATAAACTATGATAACATTAATAATAGGATAGTAGCAGTAGCAATAAACGCTACCATTTCTATAGCACTTCAGGGTTTGACAAAGAGGCCGTGGAGTGGAGCGAAAAGAAGTCCATCTGTCCCAAGCCATGGTCAGACCCCCTTGGGGCTGCATGTTTCAGGCAACACCATGACAAACACCTGGTCAATGGTGAAGGGTCTTGGGACCATGAGGATCAGATGTAGGAAGTAGAGATGTTCAGTCTGGAGAAGCAAAAGCTTAAACGAGCACCACAACCATCTTCCAGTCTAGGAAGGGCTGCCCTGCGAGAGGGATGAGCCTTGCGCTGCCCAACCCCAGAGAGCAGAACCAGCAGCAGTTGAGGGGGGCGGTGAAGAAAGCCAGATTTCCAGCCCGGCACCACTGGTTTGCTTAATCAGACTCTGGTCCAAGACTGCCATCTGCAGGCCTTTTCCAAAACAAATAATCAAACAAAAACTGGGAAGCATTTTAATGTGGGACAGATCCCCCAAATTTCAGAACCATCGGAACCAGGGCTGAATGTGAATTACAGACTTTAAAGAAGTGCATCCTCATTTCTACTGAGTCTGTCCGGCCACACAAACAAAGCAAATGAAATGACTTCAAGGTCCCCTAGGGACCTGCTTTCATGGACAGATCATTTCTGACCGGTTTGTCACGAAGCTGCCAAAGTGCTCCATGTTCAACATGCCCCCTGTAATCTTAGCGAGGTTCCTAACTCGCCTGACCAAAACCAAGGGTCGTGGGTTCAGATTATGGCTCTTCCCATGCTCATGAGCAAAGCCAGGGCTGGACTCCACTGGTGGCCAGGGAAGGTCATTTCTGACTCGACATGCTGTCTCCAAAGCTCCCCAGCCTCAGGATGGCCTCCTTCTCTAATTAGCTGCCAAGGCTTCTTACTCCTGCCCTGCACAGGCCATGCTACGTGGCCAAGGGGGCCAAGGCGGTCAAGGGGCCAAGAAGGAGGAGAGCTGCCCAGGTACGAGGGAAATTCACCAACGTTGGCCAAGGGCCTCTAAGGTCCAGGCACTGAGGTGTCAGGGAGAGAGAGAGTGGGGAACAGTAGCTTACTTAGCATTAGCACCCCCTGACTTTGTGGGTAGAACAGCAGCAGCCTAGCCACGGAAGGCCCCTGCGTTGTCAGCTGCATCTCTGTAGCAGAGACAGAAGGCTCCAGCAAAGCTAGCTGGTGGCTAGAGGAGAAGGGGTAGGGCTTCCCCAGAGCCCTGGATCTGGATCGAAGGACCTGAGTTCAAATTCCAGCTCTGCTGCTCTTCCTCCCTCTCATCTCTTTCTCCTCTCTCTCTCCCTCCCTCCTTCCCTCTCTCCTCTCTCTCTCTCCCTCTCTCTCCCTCTCTCCCCGCTTCTACTTTCAAAGAAAAAAATCAACTCTCTTCTTCTCACATGCCCAACATTGAAAAACAAAACCCTTTGTAACAAATTTACACAGTCATGCAACCCCTCCCCCTTTCTCTCTATCATTCACCTCACACCTGCTTGACCCTGCTCCCAGGCAGGTCACACCTGCACATCCCTCAGGCAGACCCATGATTATTTGTTTCTTTCTTCTGATCTCCGTGTTTCCACTCACTGCTCAGGGGATCATGGGTAAGTCCCTTCCCCTCTCTGCTTCAGTCTGTTCACCTGTGAAATGAAGACCTGGGAAGGGGGTTACCTCTAAGGTTCTGTCAAACCTGAGGTCCAGGGCATAGCTAGCTGCTCAGAGGCAGGGACAAAGGAGGAGAAAAAGGGTGAATCAGGAAGGTGTTGGAGGATGTATGGGTACAGGGTAAGCGTGTCAACAGTGACCACTAGGAGTAAAAAATATTGACTTATACCCAGGATTCTGTCTTGGGAGCTTTTACCCAAGGCAAAGAAGAAACCACCTAACTGGTCAAGTACATGAGTACTGAAAGTAGAGGGCAGTGGCAAACATTTCAGTGCCTTTCACACTCTGCCCAAGTCTCTGAAGTGAACCTCAGAGTCCACCTTATGCTACCAAAGCATGAGACCCAAGCCTGGCCATGGGCCATCAAGGAGCCCAGCCAAGCTCCGGAAGATAATGACAGACACTACAGCTGCAGAAGGGGGTGGCCTGGTAGCATTGTGCTAGCCAATGGGAATTTCCATGAGAACCATACAGGGAGCCATCGGCCCCAACCTGGGGTCCACTGGGCACTAGGAGAGACTTAATTCACCAGGATTCACTCATGGAGGACTTGCCAGCTCCCAGCCACTCCCAGCCATACCTCTCTACGGCTCCATCCAATTCTGGAAATGGCAGTGAAAGCAAAGGAGTCTATGATGGCTTGTACAAGTCACCAGCCTAACCTCTCTGACCTCATGACCCAGAGTCATTCAATGACAAGACAGGGCTAAAAGCAACCTAAAGACCATAGAAACCCCAAACCATAAAAACCACCCAACCCCCTAGTTTTAGAGATAGGAAAAGTGAAACAGAGAGGTTATGAAGGTTACTCAGGGTCACTTAGCTAGCAAATGTCAGAGCCAAGATATGTGACGGAAGGAAGGAAGGAAGGAAGGAAGGAAGGAAGGAAGGAAGGAAGGAAGGAAGGAAGGAAGGAAGAAGGAAGGAAGGAAGGAAGGAAGGAAGGAAGGAAGGAAGGAAGGAAGGAAGGGAGAGAGGGAGAGAGGGAAGGAGGGAAGGAGGGAGGGAGTGAGGGAAGGAAGGAGGAAGAAGGAGCTCATGGGTGCTCCTTTGGGGCTGTGATAGAGGTCAGAAACTGGGAAGCTAGGTGGAGCCAGAGAGGAGATGACCAGGACCATAGGATGCTAGGCATCAGAGGCAGACAGGATCCAGTATGAAATTGCTCCAAGAAAGTGGGAATGTTAGAACTATCATAGTGATCTCTCAGAGGTCAACATGGCCCCCACTAAGTTAAAGGAGAAAGAAGGAAGAAGATGCACAGCAGGACCCCAACAGGGGCAAATGAGACAAATACAGGAGGGGGGTAGGGGGTCTAAATCCAGGGTTGTTCAGTTGACATGAATATGAGGTAAAAGTCACTTGGCCTTCTGCCTATACACACACACACACACACACACACACACACACACACATACACACACCCCTCAGATCACCCTCCACATGAGAAAACAGGCAAAGATACCATCCCAGGAGGTAGGGACCATTAGCACATGGTAGAAAGGAATTTGGGGCCTCCACACAAAGCTGTGGGCTAATGGATTGCCTCACTAAGCTGAGGCCAATTCATCCTCCCACTCAAGGTCAGAAAATCCCCCCCAAGTCTCCACATGAGAAGGCTTCATCCCCACATGAACGACTTTGGTTGCTATAACCTTTCTCTACAGGCAGAGTTTCTCACTCATTCACTCCCCCTCACCATCATTCCCTCCAGTCCCCCATCTCAGTCAGTCGACCTGCATTTATTAAGCACCCACTACGTGCCAGGCCCTGTGCTAAGTTGAGGTGAAGTCTCTTGAGCAGTGATGCCCAGCTGCCCAGAGCTGGTTTTAACAACAGCGCCCAGGAGGGCTGTCTCCTCTGCTCTGGAGTCCCTGCTGTTCTTCAGCTTTGGGTTTCTTCCCAGACCTCCCAAGGGCCCAGTGAGCTCTAGAAGTTTGGGCCTCTATTATCTGCTATTCACATCCTCTCCTTCCTCCATCCAGAGGTGATGGGCCAGAGACACAGAACAGCTCAGGCTGAGAGTCCTTAAACAGGACAGTCCTTAGGATCCCAAGGCATCTCCATAAATCAGGGTGTGGTGGGTGGGGAGCTGAATTTTCATTTTTATTCCTGACTGTTCTGAGCCAAGACAATCCCCAGCAGTCAAGACCAGCCTCAGACACTGAACCCTAGGGACTGGGAGGAGAGGGAGGGAGGACTGAGGTCCCAAATGTCCTTATTTGTGGGACAGAGCGTTGGAAAGGATGCAGACAGCGGTTTCCTCATCTACCCTCTCTGAGGGTAACCATCGGTGTCTATCATTTAACAGAAGGTCACAGAAATGGGACAAAGCCAGTGGTGGGGGGATTTAGTGGGAGTTCTAGAGGAGATAAAGAATGGGGCCAGAGGAAGCAGATCAGAGCCACCTCCGCAGGACTTCTCTAGACAGCCACGCCTGGAATGTGCAAAGCCGAGGCGGTCCGGGCCAGCCGACCCTGTCCCTGCCTCTTCGGGCATGTGGCTTTGCCCACCGCGCCGGCCCGTCAGGCGGAGCTGCGGAAGGAGAACTGCAGGTAGATGATGAGCAGCAGCACCGTGGCCCAGAAGAGGCACCAGGGGATGGAGCAGAAGTTGCAGCCCTGGCTGCCCTCCGAGGCCTTGTTGGGGCTGGCCGGCCGGGAGAAGGTGTAGGTGGTGGCTTCCTCCTCCAGCAGCTTGTCGCTGGGCTTCCAGTGGTTGATGCCCGCCAGGCAGGCCTCGCACGACTCCCCGCGGTGGCGCCGGTTGTCCTGGCGGCTGGCCACGTGGATTCGGTACTGGCCGCGCTCGCCGTAGCACTGCTCCCGGAGGCTGATGATGAGATTGTCCACCAGGCCCTCGATGTTTTCCTCCAGCATACTGGACTCGTCCAGCCGGGCGGTGCCGCACTCGTAGCAGAACTGTTTAAAGACCCGCATCCGCACGCAGCCCATCCTCTGGGCCGGGTCCAGGAACATGTGGAAAAGAATGACCACGTGCGAAGACTGCCAGGAGTGCCAGCACCAAGAGCAATGGAACCTGTGGGGGCGGGGGAGGAGAGGGGGAGGGGTGGAGCAGGCTGCGTCTCCTGGCAACCGCAGCCCCCGCCCTGGGGACCGCGAAGCTGCACCTCCCTAGCTCATTAGCAGCCCTCTGCTTCCCTGCCCCATCCCTCAGTGCGCTTGTCCTGGGAGATTCTGCCTCGAAGGTAGGCTTCTCAGGGCACACGGCTTACCAAGTCCCTGTTTCCTACAGGCTGAAGTCCAAGCTCATTAGCTTGGCATTTAAGGCTCCCGTTATGAGACCCCAATTTACCCATTCAAACTAGTCCTCAGCGGCCCCCAGGCCAAGCTTCCCTCTCCTCCAGGCTGGTCCTCTCAAAATAGTGTGTGCGTTCCTGTCTCGGCATGAAACAGCAGCGCCTGAGGAGCGTGGCTTTGGAGTCAGAAGACCTGGGAGTCAAAAAGTTGGAAGCCTCCAAAAAGTGGTCCCTTTCCCTCCCTCCCACAACCATACCCCACTGCCCTGTCCGAAGACCCTGCCTCCCTTCCATGGTGCCTCAGTTTCCTCATCTGTAAAATCAGGTGGTTGGACTAGATGACCTCCAAGGACCCTTCCACCTGTAAGTCAGGATGTTTAGTCTTATCACCTTTGCTGGTGACGGCTGTGGTAATAACAGCAACAGTGCAGTAAACTGAGCAATGGGCCTGGAGTCAGAAAGGCCTGAGTTCAAATCCAGCTTCAGATGTTTAATAGCTTCGTGGCCCTGGGTAAGTCACTTAATGTCTGTTTGTCTCAGTTTCCTCATCTGTAAAAGGGAGGTAACAATGGCACCTACCTCCTAGGGTTGTTGTGAAGATAAAATGAGACAATATTTGCAGAGTTCCTGGCAAATCTCAAAATGCTACAGAAACACTAACCATCCCATTTGTTCCTCAAAGCAACTCTATGAAGTAAGTGCTATTATAATGCCCATTCTATAGAGACTGAGGAAGGTTAAGAGGTTTGTGCAGGTTCACAGGGCTAATGTGTCTAAGACAGGATTTGAATTCAGGTCTTCCCATCTCCAAATCCAGAGCTCTAAGATCTTAACCTATCTTTCCAATGCCCTTCGCTTTTCTCCCTACCCACCCTACGAGGTCCAGTCCAAGACATTTCCTCTTCCAGGTAGCCTTCACATATGAAGTGAATGCCCATGACCTTTATTTCCTGGACTGCCCATCTGCAACTATCCCAGATGGCCTCATATTATACAGTCAGGTCCTTCGTCCCCCTCCTAGACTGGAAGCCCTCTGAGGTCAGGGCCATGGCTTTGCACTCCCCTTAGACTAGTAGAGTGTCACACACATGCTTAGTGCTCAGGACAGATTTGTTTGTAGGATCTTAGAATCGTATGGTGGGCGTGAAAGACACCTGTGAGGTCATCTGGTCCAGTCTGTTCATTTTACGAAGCAGGAACTGATGTCCATAAAGGTTATGTGACTTGTCCAGGGTCACACAGAGACAGGATTTGAACCCAGGGCCTCTGACTCCACAGCCAGCTGCAATTCCCACTGCCCTCATCAGCAGGACCCTTCCCTGTCCAGCTTCATCTTTCAACCCATGATGCAGATAATGAAGGCAAGGCCGGTAAGCACATGAGAAGGAGGCTGCCATATGAGAGCAGACCTCCCTCCATGGCCTCCTCTAGCCTACCCCCTCCACTGGCTTAGAGCCAACCCCCATCGAGCCCTGCTGGGTTAACACCAAGGTCCTTGGGCAGAGGTTTCAGGGTGTAATGGTCATGGGAGGGGTGTGGGAGAGGAGGTGAGAGCAGAGGGAAACACCCTGGCTCTGCTGCAAGAAAAGAGGGGTAATATTCCACTGAGGCAAATGCTGTGGCACTGCCTAGGACACTTATGTGTCCATTTTAAGTCTTCCTGACCTAATGGACTTGGCAGGGTGGGCTCAGGGGAAGCTGTGGTATCAAAATAACACATATTAAATGTTTAAAATGGGCAAGTCAACCCATTCTCTTCCCCTCAGAAGTGAGACCTAGAAAAGTCCCCCTGTTTAGCCATTGTCTCTTCAGAGATGGTGCTACTAGAACCCTCTTGTGAAGGAGCCCTCCCCTACCCCCACCCAAGGGGCTCAAGCACCCTGCTATCCTGAGTTAGCCCTTCTCACCAGGGACTTCTTTCCAGGGACATCGTAAGAAGAAGAAGACTCTGGAATAGGATGAGTGCGCACATCACCGCATCGTAGAGATTAACCAACACCTGTAGGCACTGGGGGGGTTGGGGGAGGAGGGTTTCATCCTCCACCTGCACCCAAAGACCACTGCCTTTCCTCTGCAACTGTCCCAGCCCACTGTCTAGAATGTCACCCTCCACTAGCTAGGTCTGTGTGCCCTGGAAAGAAGAGATCACAGGTTTATAGATTCCAAGCTGCAAGGGACCTCAGAGATGTTATAGTCCAACACCCTGAATTTTACAGAAGAGGAAACTGAGGCCCAGAGAAGTCAGAGGATCATAGACTTAGTGCTAGAAGGGACTTCAGAGACCATTGACTCCAATCCCCCCATTGTATAGGTGAAGAAACTGAGGCTCAGAGGAGTTAAGTAAGAAAGGAGTGGAGAAGAGAAGAGTAAATCAAAGGGTAAACCAGCAGAAGTAAGATTTGAACCCAGGTCCTGTGTCTCCAAAGCCTGTGATTTCTGCATTATACTATGAGTACTCAAGCCTGCTCCCAGGTCCTTGTTCTGCTCTCAGGTTCCTGTTTTCTAGTTTCCAAAACCTTCTAATCCTCTCCCACCACATAATCCAAAGACTAGAGTTTTTAGCCCACCTCTCCTCTGACACTCAAGACTCTTGGACATTCATCTCATGCTCACTGGCTTCAGTGCCCTTCTTAGCTGACATTTCCAGTCTACCAATGCCCTTTCTCAACTTCAACTCCCACCACGTGAAGAGAGGAAGAGCAGAGGTAACTTCACCAGCCCAAGTTACTGGCATGGGGGGTGGACCAGTCCTCCCTCCCTCCTGAACCTGGCATGGCTCACCTGCCCGAGGCATGCTGCTCCAGGTACTGCTTCCAGCCTGGGGCCAGAACATTGTGCTGCAGGTTAGGGTCCATGATGAAATCCCAGCTGTCGGCAGGCTTTGCCTCCTCCATCTTCTCATAGAAGATTTTCTTCCACTCGGCAGTAGTCAGGCTCTTACACATGTCCCCTTTGGATGAGGTGGTGGGCTCGGCCCTCCTCCAGAGAGAGAACGCAGTCAGTGAGGGCAGGCGGATGGCAGGACAGCGGAGTTTCCACGGTCTGAACTTCCTCATCGACAGGACCTGGCAGCAAAAGCTCCAGCGATCTCCCTCCTTTGTCCTCCTAGGCACCAGTCACCACGGCAACCAGGCTGGGAGCCAAACACCCCAGGCTCAGAGAAAAGCCAAATCTAGGGGGAATTTGAGTGAGACCCAGGCAGGGGTGGAGACTGAGAGGCAGGGGCTGGGAGGCAGACATGAATGGTTCCACCTGCAGCCACAGAACAGTGGTGATGGAAGGACCTTGGAGAGCACCACTGGATGCTAGATTTGGCCAGAAAGACCCTTGAAGGCCATTGAGTCCAACACCCTCATGTTTACAGAGGAAGAAACAGAGTCGGTGAAATGAACCGTTTTGTCCAAAGCCACGCAGGCAGTCAGCTGAGAGTGAACCCTGGTCTTGTAAATCCAAAGCCTGGGCTTTGAATTCTGGAACTGTGTGGTTTAATAGAGAAGCGAACTGAGGTCCAGAGAAGGAGAGGGATTCAGAGCTGGAAATGATCACCAAGGTCATCCAGCCCAGCTCTCCTTTTTCAGAGGAGGGCATTGAGGGCAAGGGAGGAGGAGCTGCATATATGCCCGAGCTCTATTAGAAACATGAGAAGTTTGTAGTAGAGCTAAATGGGACTAGCCCAACACTCTTTCCACTGGGTGGGTGATTCTGATGGTTGTAATTTCAGGCCAGAAGGAGAGAAACAGGAGGGTGGAAGCTTCCCCTGCCCAACCCCTCTATTGCTGTAATGTGCCAGGTGAGCTTACTGGACTTGGGTTGCCTGATGCTGAATGTCCCTAAAGAAGTGTTGCTCCCAAAGTCAGAGCTTGAGGGGCAGGGGATGAAAGACTGAGAAGGGGGAGGGGTGCAAGTAAGTCACAGATAGGGTCATAGATCCAAAACTGAGAGGGAACCCAGGGACTTTGCAATCACGCATCAGTCAACAATATGGTGCACAGGAGCGGTGCACCACATCCCTTCCTTCAAGGAGCTTACCATCATCCATCTACTCCAGCCCCTCTCTCTTTGAAGAGATGATACCTTTAGAGTGATCAAAGAAGAAGTAAGGTTTTAATGTTTCTCCAAATAATAGAATGATCCATAATAATAATTATTATTCATGTGAATAACATATATTCATATTCTATTAATATATTCACACAGTCATTATTCCTAGAAGCAGTCCTTTGCATGCCAAAGCAGTAATAATCACTCTCAGTAGGCCAGTGGTGATCAATGTTGACTTCTCTGATTTGGATCTCTGCATAATACAAGGAAAGGGACAGAAACCGGACCTTATATTTTATTGGTGAAAGGAACTCTCTGGTGAAGTAACTCCATTTGCTAATGGAAGTCAGCATCTTCTCAACAACCTCTAGTCTTAAAAAACTGACTTGGGTACTCCTGGGTTAAGTGGCTTGCCTATGGTCATGCAATCAGTATGTGTCAGAGGCAGGGCTTGAACCAGGTCACAAGATCAGTTCTCTATTCATTATGCCACACTGCCCAGGGTCCAGATTTTTGGAAGTCAATCAGTCAACGAGCTTTTATTAAGCACCTGGGCTATACCAAGCTAGAATTGCTGGGCACAAAGTCTTTACTCCCTAGGAGTTTACATTCTCTCAGAGTCCCTCCTGTATCTATCTTTAGGTCCTTCCAGAGACTTCCTCCTGGTTAGGGATTCAAGTAAATCAGGAGTCAGGAGATCTCAAGACCCATCCTACTGATTGCATCTGCCAGCTGCCATCACTCACAACACCATACCATGTGATGGAGGCCACTCACACATTCTTCCATGCACTCCCACCTCCAACACTCCCCAACCACCTTGTCTACTTTTTAGATACCAGGGGAACCACAGATAGGACATATAGGATGTTCTCTGAGCACCCATCTTCCAGAGAAATATCAGAAGGCTATGATACCCAATACAAATATTTTAGTGACCAAAGGAGAGGTTTAGCTCTAAATTTCCATAAACCAGATGGCTGCCTTTTAAAATGAACTCAGCTGAACCCTTCCAGACAAGTCACAAAGAGTATTTGAATCTCAGAAAGCTTTGAATTTGAAATTTTCTGTTTCAAATATCAAAGAAACAGTGGGATGAAGGACAGGAATGGAATGAAAATAAAAATGCCTGGCATTGGACATTTAGTTGCCCCCAGAGCTGGCTAAAGTAGATGGTAACCATATTGGTGACAATAAAATATAAGCTTTGTGAGCTCATGGATTATTTCATACTTATTTCTTTGTACTCCAGGCATATAGCAAAATCCCTGGCACATAGTAGGTGCTTAATAAATGTTTATGAGTGGGTTGATTGATGTCATTTGTCTCCCAGTAGAATGTAAGGTCCTTGAGGGGAGAGACAATTTCATTGTTTATGTTTGTATCCCCAGCTTCTAACACAATGCTTGGCATATAACAGGGTTGAATGAATTGTTGCTGTTTGATTCAATTCAGCACTAACTTATTAAGCACCTCCTATATGCTAAGCACTGAAGACTATGACAAGAAGAGCCTCCAAGACTTTAAGAGTTTACATTCTGTAGATGCTCTGAGTAAGTGGATCAGATGATACTGACGCTTATTTAAATCAACACTGGACTACAATGAAATTATCTGAGCCAAGATTAAGACATTCCAGCAAATCCTTTGGGATGAGATAGCAAGCTCAAAAGATGTCAGTTACTTTTTATTAGTTATATATATTTATCCATATATTAATGAAATGACATGTTTATTCCTATTATAATATGCATTTATTTATTCCTATTAATTGCATGTTATATATGCTATATATTGCTATAGTGTTCATTTATCATATACAATGCATTTGCCTATTAATATATTGATAATTAGTAATAATTGGTGATTTTACGTAGCACAATATGCCATAAACCAGATGGCTCCCTTTAATATGAATTGATTGCTGTCACTTCTCTCCCAGTAGAATGTAATGCAATCCAAGTTCACAGACTCTCCTGAAATTTGTCCGTGGCCTCCTCAGGTCCAGACTAACAGCCTCTGATGGTGCAGCTCCGGAAACAACAGGGCCACTGGAACTAAGGCTTCCCTTCACCAAGAGCCATCAGGCACTAGTTGGATGGCCACTTCTTGGCATCTTGTCTAGGGACTTTCTTGCCTGGGTCCAGGTTGGGCTCGACTCATCCAAAGTCCCTTCCAAACCTGTTGTCAAGAGACTCCGGGATGTCAGAGCATCACTCCCTCAGATCTGTACTCTTGGAAGAGTTAAATGGTAAAACACCAATCCAAGCAAGGAATTAGCCTAGCTCCTGGCTAACTCCGCATATCAACTGTCAGTTGTTATGGAAATCCAAGCTGGCACAAGAAAGAATCAGGGCTGGGGTCGTCCCCAGAGTCAAGGTGACTGCTGCCTCTGAAGAGCTAATTGTCTGGCAGCCTGCCAAGCTTATTAACCACCACCAAGCTTTAACCCTATAGACTTGCTTGCCTGCTACAGGCATAATGAGCCCCAGTGAAGAAAAACAAAAAGACAGAGGGTGGGAATCTTCTGCTGATTTGGTTGTGTGTGTTTTTTTAACCAGGTGATGCAATTCCCATCAGCACAGAGCCAGGTTTAGTTCAGCCCAGTGGGCTAGGATGCTGTCTAATTGAACACTCCTAGAGCTAACTCTCATTATTACCAACAAAGGCACAGGGCTACCACAGCAAGAATGGCAGAACCAAGAAAGGTCGGCATTTCCAAGGTACTTTGCTGGTGAAGCTGTTATCGTTTATTTCAGATGGGATTTTCAGAATCATAGATTGGAAACTAGAAAGGACAGCAGGGGCTATCATGTTCACCCCATGCCCTTCCCTCCAAAGAATCCCCTCCATTGCATTCCCAATAAGTGGGTGTCTGATCTTTGATTGGAGACTTCCAGCAGGGAAACCCACTGCCCCCAAGCCAGTCCATTATGCCTTTGTCTAGCTCTGATGGTCAGAAGGTTCTTCCTGAGAGCAAACCTAACCTTGCCTCTTTGCAAACTCCACTCTTGGATACAAGTCCTGCCTTCTGAGACTCAGGAGAACAAAGCTTATCCCTCTACCAGGTGATTTCATGCCTTCTCTGAGTCTTTTCCTGGAGGTATGGCTCCAGTTCCTTCAACTAAACCATGAAATCTGGGAAATCAAGAAAAAAGGGGCTGGTGTCCTCAAAAGTGGCTTGAGCAAACATGAAGCCCATTGGATTGGGAGCCAAAAGGCTTGGGTTTGAGTCCTAGCTGTGGCACTGTTGATGAATGATTTGGGGCAAACCAAGCCCCCTCCTCTATTTGTTAAATAGAGAGCACCCTAGGACATGGGGGAGGGGATATAAGTGAAAGCATTCTGTAAAGCAATGTTTCACAAGCCCGTAATTCAGTATCATCATGATGTTTAGTCATCAAAGATTGGGCTGGATGGTTTTGAAAAAGAATGAGTCCAAACAGTGACAGAGAAAGAAACTTTATTAGAATCCACCAAGAATAAAAACAAAGCAGCTTCAGGAAAAACCAACACCAAGAAAGGCCCTGGAGGGGAACCCCCTGCCAAGACAACAGTTCAAACAAAAACCAGACAAAACCTCTTTCTCTTCCCTCCCAAGATGGAGGCTGATGGGACTCGTGCTCCAGAGGCCCCTGAGAAAGACCCACAAAATCCCCTCCAGATGTTGGCAGCTCAGACTCAAAGGACGTTGGCAGCTATGGGCAGGAGTCTTCCTGCCACAGTTATGGACCAGTGTCAGAGCTCGACCCAAGGCGGGCCAGGGAACGAGTGGTAACCATGGTCCTCTGCAGTAGAAAGCTCAGGGCCTCCCCAGTCAAGAGGAGCCACATCAGTGCCAGTCTTCCTTAAATGTCATGACTCTGGGGAGTCCCCATGGGAGTTATTTCAATTGGAAGATTAAAATCTCAGGCCGTTCAGGCCTAGAGATTTTGGATCCTAGAGGCCTCTTCTGGGCCCTGAAAGCACTGAGGAGGAGAACAAGGAGAAGAATGAGAAGGGAAGAAGAAAGAGGCAGAGGAGGAAGACAAATGTGCAGGAGGCTTCTGGTAGGGGACACTTGGCAGTGTCCCTCAGAGACTCTCCTGGCCACGGGTGGACTTGCCGCCTCTCCAACCCCGTCCATCCTTGTCTGTCTCCTTCCTTGCCAGAAAGTTGACAGCTCTACCACCCAGCACCCCTTCAGGGAGCACCCAAGGCCAAGACGCCCACCTGCCCTGAGCACCACTGCCCCTGCTGGCCCCTGGCTTGGGGAAGTGGGCCAAGACTTTCTTCAATGACAGTGGACCATTTCCCTGAGCTCTGGGTCTGTCCCATTCCATAGCAAGCATTCCCAGGAGAGCAGAGGGCAGGAGCCCCCTGCTATGACTCTGAGGGGGCAGGGTTCTCCTCCAGGGCTTCAGGGATATTCTCACTCTTCTCTAGCTCCCAGGCCTGAAGAAGAGAAAGGGTCTCCTTTGCAGCATTCTGGACAATGGGCTCAGGGTCCATCTGTAGCGCTTGGAGACCTGAGAGTGAACAAGAGGAGACATCCGTAGGCTGTGGGAAATTTCAGCCAAGAACCTTCCAGCATGTGGCCTGGGGCCTGGCAATCAGCACGAGCTTATGATGCTGGCCCTAGGCTGGAGCCTCTCAGCTCCTGGGCATGGAGGAGGGGGAGGGGAGAGGGAAGGACTCAGGACACAGGAGACTCCGCTTCCCATCATGGCCGAGGCACGCCTTCCTCTGGCCTAATCGGCATCTCTGGGCCAAAGGCTTTGTTTTCATGTTATTTTCGTCAGTGGGAGGCCAGTATAAGGAAGAGAAAATAAATGTTCCTTAAGTGGGGGGGGGGGAGTAAAAAAAAGAAAGAAAATGAGGTCCCATGGGATATGGAAATACAGCTTGTTCTGTTTTGTCTAACAGATTACTTTTCTAGGGTGTCTACACCAGAACTGCCTCTGTGTCCTAAAGCAGGTTTTCTGGGGTGTCTACACCAGAGCCACCTCTGTGGCCTGGATCAGCAAGGACTTCCCAGGTAGCTCTCTGGGCCCTTTGAGAATCTGTTGGAAAGTCGCTGAGTGCAGAAATCTCAGGAATCAGCCATGGCTGATAGACAGGCACTGGGACCTGGCAAGGGGGGGGGGGGGGGGGGGCCCTTTCCAAGCTTTCAGACACAGCTCTGGGTGCAGAATGGACAGCTCCAAACGAGGACCGAGTCCCCCCAAAATGAGGTTCCAAAAGGAGCCTTTGGCCCCCCGCAAAGACATTAGCTAGCTCCACCTGCCCACCCTCTAGACCCTCCCTAGACCTCCACAGAGCTTCTGGGGTGGGCAGGGCCGCTGCCTTGTCCGTGGTGCTGAAGGGCCAGAAGCCCAGCCCACTGACCAGCTCAGAGGCCCCATGACTCACACTGACACAGGCGCTCCAAGTCCATCTCTCCGAGGTTCTGGGGGACCACCTGCTCCAGAATGTACCCTGCAGGGACAACAGAAAAAGAAGTTTTCTGTATTTCCTGGAGCTCTCCACCCCTTCCCCAGCCCCGCATCAGCACCATCATCCCAATGACACACTTGTATAGCACCTGCCACCCTGAGAGGCAGGTGACATTCTTATCCCTACTTTACAGATGAGGAAACTGAGGCCGAGAGGAGGAGCACCTTGTCCAGGGTCTGCCCAGAGTCACACAGAAGGTGCTGGAGGCTGGTCGATAAGCCAGGTGCTCCGGATTCCAAGCCCAGCCCTCCGCCGACGACCCCAGGCTGGAGAACAAGTCATCAGGCCAGGGCACCTGGCTAGAGCTGGCATGGGTGAGGAGAAGGGAAGCAGGAGTGTGCTCACAGGGGGCGGTCAGGGGAGGCTTCCCACAAGAGAGGGCTCCTGAGTCAGTCTTTGAGGGAAGCTAAGGGACCCTTTGAGGGTCAGCTAGGTGGCGCAGTGGATAGAGCACTGGCCCTGAAGTCAGGAGGACCTGAGTTCAAATCCGGCCTCAGACCAAACACTTGACACTTACTAGCTGTGTGACCCTGGGCAAGTCACTTAACCCCAATTGCAAAAAAAAAAAAAGTTAAAAAAATAGCCCTTTGAAACTCAGCAGGGTCAGTGGAAGGAAGGGGAACTGGATGCGGGTGCTCCCTAGCTGTGGGACCCTGGGCAAGTCACCTCCTTGAGCCTCAGTCTCCTCATCTGCAAACAAGAAGGGTAACAGCCCCAGCATTGCCCCAGTGGAATGGGCTTCATACTTGGCTCGATGAATGGGAGTGGTCGGGCCGCCCCACCAGCTCACCTGTAAAGGTACAGGCAGCCGCCTTAACCTTGGCCCACTCGCTGTCATAGTAGCTGATGGCTTCTGCACAGAATGTGTCCAAGAGGACAGGGTCTTTCCTGGCCTGGATGAAGCAAAGGACAAAGTCCAGTTGTTTGCATGGGAGAACCTGGAATGCCTCAAGCCGCAGTGCTTGACAAAGGTCTGCCTGCAATCCCTCCCTTAGCCCCTCCAGCAGATGTCCCAAGGAGGGAAGCATCTGGCCAGGCAGTCTCAGAGGCTGGGCTCTGGGCACCTCACAGCCTGAGGTCATGGTAGAGGCTGGGTCAGCCAAGTCCAGGCTCCAACAGATTCAGCTCCACCTTGAAGGTGTCGTGGATTCGAGTCCTACGTTGGGTTGGGGAGCCAGGGACCGACAGGAAGACCCACAACCAGCGTGGCAAGCCCTGAGGGGCCAGAGCAGCCTGCAAGGACCCCCTCGTAAGCCACAGAGGGACCGCGGCCTGCACTGGTAGAGGAAGGAGCCAGGCTGTCTGAATAGCAAGAAGGTAATAAGGCCTTCCTTCAAACTCTGCCCCCCAAAGATGGTGCCAATAAGAGAGAAGGCTCCTGTCCTAGTCAAGTCACTCAGATTAGCTGAGCAGGGATGGAGATTGGGGCCAAGCGATGGACCCAGGGAGGCTTGGCCTGGGAAAGAGACAGCTCAATGCCACCCAACAAACATCAGCTGAGCGTCCACGGTGTCTGGGATACTGAGCAGCACCAGAGACAAAAGAAAAGGGGAGGCAGCTCCCTGCCGCAAGGAGCTTTTCTGCACAAACCGTGGCCGAGCAATGCCTATGCATCCTGTGGCTGTGAAGATGTTTTCTAAAACCCAAATGTAGGTGGCATTTATTCCCATTAAATTCCAATTTATTAGACTCAGTCTGATCGGCTCTAGGCTGTCAAGAATTTTTTCAATTTAATTTAATTTTCTAATTAACAAAAATCTATCCTTTCCCCCTCCCACTTACCTTGCCCTTAAAAAGAAAAAGAAAACGAAAACCCTTGTAACAAATATATGTACACACAGTTATCCCTTTCACATCCCGGGGGTGAGGGCTGTGGTGCCCCCATGATCTAGCAAATCCATGTAAGATTTTTTGGCCTTCCCTTCAAACCAGAGTAAAAGTCTGAATTTGTTCTTTTTCTTTTGTGGAGTGTTTGCAGTAGCTTTTTGTTAAATTTGGTCTGATATTATACAATACCACACGCGTATTTCATGCATTTCTGAGTTTCTAAGCTTTTTGTGTTGTCTGCTGCCTGTGTGTCATCTGGGGCTTCCGCAGAACTCCCAAAAAATTCCCATTTTATTTCTTATGCTAACCTTCGATAAATCGAAAGTGTGATGGGAAAGTTGCAATGTGGAAGGGGCAGCTGTAGTTAAGTAAAACAAACTCCCATGTTGGCCAGCCCTAGAAAAATATGTCTTATTTCTAATCCTGGGCCCATCACCTCTTTGGGGTTTTGGGGTGGGTTTTAATTGCTTTTTTGTTTTTTATTATTTTATTTTTCCCCATTTACATGTGAAAACAATAATATTAATTTTAAAACTTTGAGTTCCAAATTCTCTCCCTTCCTCCCTCCCCATCTACCCTCATTGAGAAGGTAAGCAATTCAGTATAGATTATACATTATGCACAACATATCCATAATAGCCATATTGTAAAAGTAAACAGACAAAAAACTCAAGAAAAATAAAGTTAATAAAAGGATGCTTCAGTCTGTATTCAGAGGCCATCAGTCTTTCCCTGGGCCCATGACCTCTTTTTCGGGAGTGGGGCAACAGGCTTCAGCACTGGTCCTCAGAAATCATGCTTGGTCATTGGGTTGGTTAGAGTTCTAGGATCTCTTTGGATTCTGACTTTGTCACCAAGAGCCTGAGCTCTTCTCCCAGCTTAGTATCATCTCTACATTTTTAATCCTTCATCCAAGGTGATAAACATGTTAAAAAGCACGGGGCGAGCATAGATCCCTTGGGCTCTCCGCTAGAGATTTCCTGCCAGGCCAGTCTGGAACCCCTAACCACTCACTCTTCTTTGGCCCATCTGAGAATTCCACTTACCAGGTAACTGCACATCTCCATCTGGAAGAGGTTCAGGTCAATGCCTTCGTTAACAAACTTCTCTAGGGTGATTTGCAGTCTCCTCCAGCCCCAGAAAGGAATGCACAGGCAAATGGTGGCTTCACAGGCCTGGGAGAGGAAAACATCCAATTAGGGCTGGCACATTTCAGTCCTGGCCTTGTTGGCTGGGGTGGGCAGGGAAGGTAGAGCTGAAGCTGCCCCAAGGCATAATGTCTCTGGGCACAAAGCTGTCAGGCCGAAGAAGGTGTGGGGCTAGAGCTAACATTAAACTCTGCTCACCACTGCCATAGCCAGGAGAAAATGCCTTCATTTAAGGCAAGAAATCATAAAGGAGGAGACCTAGGCTCCACAAGAGTCTTTACCAGGATCTGGGAAATTTTTAAAAATATATTTTTATCACTGAATTTCAATGTAATTGGCTTCCTCAATAATCCTATGTATTTCATATTACACATTCAAAAGTTTCTATAAGCTCCACCACAAAAAAAAAAAAATTGAAGGTTATAAACCTCTCCCTCCTAAAGACAGGGAGAGAAGATCAGAGGGGCCCAAATGACTTGCCCAAGAACACGCCACCGTCTTTGAGAACCAGGTCCCTTTGCACCCAGAGGAGCCATGAGAGCAGGATTCTGATGTCCCAAAATGATTCCAAAGAAAACTCTGACCTCATTACACAAGATCATTTCATGCTGCATCCTATGTCATCAAAGAAGATTGGAAGCTGCTGGTTGATGGAATGAGAATGCAGAAGATGGACCTATAACAGCCCAGAGCACTGACCCCACAGCCATGCAGGACAGGAGGGGAATGTGTGTGGGAGAGGGGAGGGTCTGCCCCAGAGATTACAAGGCAAAGGCACCAAGTTCAGAAAGATGGACATGCCACACCCTGACCACCATGATGGAAAGCCTTTATCAGGCCTTGGTTTGGGTTGGGGGGGGGGTTTTGGGGGATGAGGATATGGGCTATACTTTTCAGTCAAAATCTCCAACTTAATCAGTATAGGAAACTTCTAGGGGAAGAAACTCCCTTTATCAGTGCAAGCAGCACCCCCTTATCTCAGAGAGTTCAGAGATAAAGTGACTGGCCCAGGATCACACAGTCAGGATATGTCAGAAGAAGGGCTTTAACCCAGAGGTCTTCCTGACTCTGAGACCATCTCTGTAACTAGCAATGCTCATTCTTATGTGGAGCTTATTAACATAAATGTTTAAATATACAATAAATTAATGTATAATTGCCTCATAATGTAGTTATAGCTAAAAAATTTATTATTGTGCATTCGTTGTGCACATATATGTAATAACAATATAAAGTTATACATAATATTCTGTTAGCATTCTTAATATAACATGTTAACCTTGTAGATGCAGTCTTCTGATCATCTTGGAGTCTGTAGGACATTTTAAGGAAGAAGCCTCAGGGAATGCCTAGTCTAGACCCTCCTTTTACAGGTAATCACAAGATGGTGGTCCATCGTCAATCAATCCACATTCATAAAGCACCTACTCTGTGCCCAGACCACAGGCTCATGGCTCTAGAAGCCACTGAGTCCCATTCCCTCATTTCACAGATGAAGGATGCCCTCCACCCAGCTCTGTGGGAAGGGTCCCTTGGTTCACACCAAATGGACAGCACCGGACAACGAGCCAGCCCACCAGTAGGCGACTTTCCTCTGTGCTCTGTCCATCAGAGCCCCGGGGGGGGGAGGAAGCTGCTCACCTTGGCCACTTCTGGGCAGGGGTCCTCCAGGTGGAGAATCAGAGGGATCCAGCTCTTCCTGACCTCCATTGTGAAGAAGTCCCTCTTCTTCCCAGCCCAGATGGCAAGCTTCCCAAACAGGATGATGGCCTGCAAGCGAAGCATCTCATTCTCCTGCAGCCAAGAGAGCCGGACAAATCCTGAGAGCCCACAAACACACAGGGACCTTCCTTCATAAGCACCTTGTGGGGCCACACCCAGGTGAGGCACAGAGGAGACCGCGGCAGGAACAGAACCAGCTCTGCCCTCAAGGAGGTTGCATTCTCCCACATGGGTAAGCAATTAAAACGCTCCTACCTACCCTAGCCACCTTGTTTTGCCCACGACTGCCCTCCATCTCCTCTATGTTCCAGAAAAACTGTCCTCCTGGACAAGCGTTCCCCTCTGTGTCCCAGGCCTTGTCTGAGGCTCCTCCTGGCTTGTGTCAGGGGCCACCTCCTCCAAGCAGCCTTCCCTGACCTCCCCTTTGCCCCCATCACATCCTTCCTTTTATCGCGCTTATCTGTATATTCCTCCCCAGGACAGTGTAAGCCCCTTGGGTCAGGGAATGTCTTCTTCATGGTGGATCAGCCACAGTTCTTTTGCTTGTCCAAATGCACCTTGAGCTGCTTTGTTATGCTACAAGCCCCATGAGAAAAGGGACAGAGCCACCTTGACCCTGGGGTCTCCTCCAGCCCCTATCGGCTCCTGGTGCCTTCAGTCAGGCCTGAGCCACATCCCCCCCCACCCTCGAACTTTGCCAAGCTCTTCAGTGAGGCTCCCTGACCTCCACAGTCCAGGCTCTGAATCCGGGGCTTTGGCGCCCCCCAGTGACGTGGCTCCAACCTTCCACTGTGGAGCCATCTCACACCCTTCCCTTCATGCAGCCCTGCTGGACCAGTCCACGCTAGACAGCTCTGCACCACTGGCACACCCCACCCTCTCCTGGCTCCGTGATGATGCTCACACTGTGAGCTATGCAGGGAATATCCTAAATTTCCACCGGCTAACACTCCCCCCATTCTCCAAGAACCCCCTCCACCCTGGGAACTCCCTCACACACCTTTCCCCTCAACTTTGGGCCCATGACTGGAGGGCAAGACGCGCAAAGTCCCATTTTGTGTCTTGCCTAGGGCCTCTAAAGAGCTCAATAAATGTGCACTGACTTTCGTGGAAAAGCTGAGTGAGTGACGTCCTGCACCGGGCCCCAGCCTGGAAGGAAGCTGAGTACTATGTAATAAACGGAGCCCTGCCCTTTCCCACCTGTGTGACGTGGGGAAAGTTAGCTCACCACCCCTCAATTTCCCCATCTGTAAAATGGGGGGCTGATGGGGGTGGGCTGGGTGCTTCCTGAGGCCCTGCCCCACCCATGGCGCTGACTCACGTCGTCAAAGAAGACCCTGCATTGCATGGAGATGGCCTCGAAGGAGGAGCCCAAGTCGTCCTCGGCCATCAGCCCCAGCACCTTGGTCAGCGCCACCATGGTCTCCGAGATCACTTGGGTACTGACGGGGTCACTGAGCGAGCACAGGAACTTTTTCAGGAGTAGCTTCTGGTAGCGTTTCACCTGGGAGGGGAGACGGCACAGAGCAGTGAGCCCCAGATCGCCCAGCGTGAGGGGCCCCGGCCGCCCCTCCTCTCACCTTGCTCGGAGCCCCGACGGCCAGGTTGCCCAGGGCCCGTATGGACAGCAGGCGCAGAGTGCTGTGAACGTGGCTGGCCCCCTTGGCCAACTTTGGAACCGTAGACTTCAGCATCTTCTTCCTGGAGAGGACTGGGTCACACATGAGCTGAGAAAGAGAAGGTTTCAGAAAGGAGGAGCCTCTGATCAGCAGCAGGGCGTCCCCCATGCTCTGGGAGGAAAGGGTGCCCAGGGAGAGAGATGCCTGAGTCTGTGCACAAAACCCCCATTTTCATCAGCACTTGTCAAGTTCAGAACAAAAAACAAGCCCTGATTAAACCCCTACTGTGGGCAGCACCTAGGCCAGAGCCTGGCACTTTCTAGCTGCCTCATCAGTGCCTGTTGATTGGTTGAGTGTCTGTGCCAAGCACAAAATAAACCTCAAAGAAGGAGGATCAATTGGTCCATTTTTCTGCAACCCTAGAAATCTGGCCAGGTCTCCTCCTCCCCCTCCCCCCCACAGCACCTTAAGATGGGGTCTCCAGAGTATGATTGTTTTCTCTCAATCTCCCACCAGTATTTTGTCTCCCTGGGGGCAAGGTAGAGAACGGGAGGATTTTGCAGTAGCATGTGAGCAGCTGGTGCTCCTGGGCACCAGCAGGGTCCTGGGCTGGGATCAGCTACCCCTGCCCCAAGCAGCCCATGACTAGCTGGGAAGAGGGAAGGCGGAGGAGGGAAGGGGAGTGTTGGACTGTTAGGGGTGAAAGAAAAGCATAGCTATGCTGGAAACAAGTCCCTTGTCTGACCATCAAAGGGACACTGAGCTAACTACACATTCTGGGGTCGAGCCACACACCCTCACAGCCCGGGGGCTGCCCTCAGCCTCCTACCAAGGAGCAGCCGGGGACAAAGCCCAGGCCAGTGATCTGACCTATGGCCACCTATGGGCCACTCCCCTCGGCTGTCCACGTCAATGCAGCACAGAGTCACAGCCACGAATTCGAGCAGAGGCAGTGCAGGGGAAGAGCAGGAGGGCGTGCAAGGTCCCTGGCCTCCAAGCAGCAGGCCTGGCTCAGAAGGGCTGATCAGAACCCGGCTCGCTGCCCTGCCTCCACCCCCTCTGGCACTCACTTCTATGAAGAAGGCCGTGCTGCTGAGACGCCAGGGCAGGAATTCGGAGTCCAAGCCGGGGAGGAGCAGCTGTGCAAACCTCTGGCTGTACGAGTTGATGTGTAGGATCATGGCTCTGGGGAGCGAGAGGGGCAGCTCAAGGAAGGCAGGGCCGTGGTCGAAGAACAGGTGCTGGCTCTGGAGCTGGGCCCCAGGAAGCAACCCAGGCCATCGTCTCATTATTTTATCCCTGCCAAGCCTGATTATACATTCAACCTTCATACTGCCTCCATTCCCACCTCCACGCCTCGGCCTCACTCAGTGCCCTCCCTCTTCTCTGAAGTTTCCTACCCGGCTCAGCTCAGGCACCACTTTCTACAGAAAGCTTGTCCTGATGCCCCCACCTCCGACTACCTTGTACCTGTTCAGTCCATACCCACACGCGCCCGTGCCGTCTCCTCCAGCTAGAATCTGCGCTTCTGGAGGGCAGGAACTACCTCACACTGGCCTTCGTGTCTCCAGCTCCTACAACAGTCTGGCACGTAGCAGGTGCTTCATCCAGGGTTTTTGGTTAGCTGGTTGACTGCCTTCCCAGTGATCTCTAAGGTAATTCTAAGCTGTCCGCCTCATTCCCAGGACCTCAGGAGGCTGTGCACCGGGCTCAGAGTCGGGACGACCCGGAATCAAATCCCACCAGACACAGAGCACCCTGAAGACTCAGTTTCCTCATCCATCACTAGGGAGACTACTCCCTACCCACCCCGCCTCACAAGGGCCTTTTTAAGACAGCAGGAAGTCACAGAGAGGGGATGGGAGCGGTTGGGTCCCTGGCACTCCTTCAGCCAGATGCCACCCCCAGCAGCCCCACCCGGGGGCCCTATTGTCCTCCTCACGCTCATCCCCATAGGGAGCAGACAAGTGGCCCATCTACCTGGCCAGGAGACACACTCCATCGGTGTGAGTCCTGGGGTCCTCCAGGAGCGTCCACACCCCCTGGTCCACCAGGCTAGACATCATCTCCTCACTCCCAGCGCGGCTCAGCACACTTTGCAGGGTTTTGACGGTAAGCCTGGAAAAGAGAACCAGCCATCCAGTTAACGAGCATTTACTAAGTGCCTACAACAGGCCACTAAGTGCTGGGGCTGTGGCAAGAGGCCAAAGACAGTCCCTGCCCTCAGGAGCTCACAGTCTTAAGGGGCGAGAGAACGTGCAGACAAAGCCAGCAGTAGACAGGACGAATGGGGTGGGAGGGAGAGGCTTCCTGGAGAGGAGGAAGCCAGGGACGTCAGGAGGTGGAGATGAGGAGGAGGAGCATTCCAGGCCTGGGAGCAGCCGGAGTAAATGCCCAGTCCCCAGAGCGGAAGATCCTGCTCAGGGGACAGCCGGGAGGCTAGGGGCACTGCCTGCAAGCTCACATGGTGGGCGGTGAGGTGTTTGATGGAGAGCGGGGAGAGGGCCGGGTTAGGAGGGGCTTTGAATGCCAGACACAGCAGTTTACACTTGCTCCTTGGAGGCGGCAGGGAGCCCTGGGGTTTACTGAGGTGGTGGTGACAAAGTTAGGGTTAGAACCACAGATTATTAGAGGGGGAAGGGACCTGAGAGGTCACCTGGTCCAGCCTCTCACTCAATGCAACAATCCAGAATACGCAGAGTGACAGGGAGCTCACTACCTTCCCAGGCACATGGTGCATCGGGGAGCATCCCCGGTTGTTTTAAAACAAAAACAAAAACAGCCTCCTCGCATTGATCCGCAGTCTGACCCCCACTGATTTCCACGCCCTGGTCCCGGTTCTGCCCTCCGGTGCTACGCAGGTGGAAGCACACGCTGGGACAGGGAAACAGACGGCTTCTGCCACCTATGTACCTGTTTCCTTCTCCGTAGAAGGAGGGGGGCTGGGCCCAGTGGCCTCTGAGGTCCCTTCCAGCTGTGAATCTGACTTAGGGACGTCACCTAAGCCCCTAAACCTTCATCTTCTCCTCTATAAAATGGGGGCAATACTGCGGGACTCCCTTCCTATCCCTCCCCACCTCTGTCCTAAGGAAAGGCCACGGTGAGCCTCAAGGAGCCAGACACATCCCAGGGAGCTGTCCGCATGGGTACCGTCCTTCAGACATGCGAAGGCACGTCTCCTCTGAGTCTGTCCAAATGGGGGCTGTAGTGAGGCTCCCGTCCCCCGAGGTCTGCTTGCCTTTGCTACCGCTCCATCTCTTGAATCCATAGCCTTCTCTCTACCCGCACGTCCGCCATCTCAATGACGGAAGCCTCCTGGCTGGTCTCCCTGCCTCCAGCCTCTCCCCGCACCAAATGGTCCCGCAGACCTGACCGGCCACTGCCCTGAATGCTCCTAGCGCCTCTGGGCTCTGCCTGCCTTGAAAGCCCTTCCCAGCCTTGTTACACCCCTCTGCGGTACCCTTCGCCCGTGACGCCCTACCCGTTGGGCCTGGAATGCCAGCCTTCCCCACAGCGCCATCTTCACTTTCCGCGTTCCCTCTACCGCCGAGAAGGCCCTCACGCCCCACCCCCCAGTCCCTTCACTCGGCTCTCAGTTTTTTGCTCGTGTATAGACCTGTGCCCTTCGTCTGCCTCTTTGCCTCTGCGGCCTCCGCGCCCCAGCACATAGTAAGTGCTTTTTAGGACCGCTGATTGATCGATGAAGGGCACAAAGGCTTTTGTTCTTGGCTCTGCACTAAGTTGGGGGCGGGGGGTCTCTTCGAGCTCTGTGACACGGGAAGTTCCCGGGGCCAGGGGCTGCCTCACTAAAGCGAGTTGCTGGTCCTCATGGGCCGCGGCCTCCGCCAGCCGGCCGTACCTGCGGGGCGTGATCTTGTTCTGCAGGTTTCCCGTCCGGATGATTCCCCAGGCGTCTGGGATCAGTGAGAGCTGCCACGGCCCGGAGCTGCTGCTCAGCTCCTGGAGGACCGTGCAGGACAGCTCCGGAAAGATGTCCTGCAGCTTCTCCCCGCTGTCCAGCGCCATGGTGATCTTGTGGAGGGCGCACACCGCCTGGGGAAGGAGCGTGCCCACACGTCCAGGCTCCCGCCGCACGCTCTGTCCTCAGCACAGCTGAGCGGCTCCCAGGGCCGCCCCCCACCCAGGGCCACCACCACCCCCACCTCGGCGGAGCAACTCTGAGGCCCCCCACTCCAGCTGAGCAGCTCCCAGGGCCGCCCCCCCCTCGGCGGAGCAACTCTGAGGCCCCCCACTCCAGCTAAGCAGCTCCAGTCCCCCGCACTGATTCACCATAATGGGGTCCACAGCAGCCAGGCGCCAGGCGTCCTTTCTGGAGATCGGACTGCCCCTGGGAGCTTTCTTTGCTTGGATTCTGGCCATCAAGGCCTGAAGGACTTTCCGAGCAAAGGTAGAATCTTCTGCCAGTGCTTCCCACAACTCGGTGATGTTGCTATAATGGAAACATCAATGGCTCCCCAGCACTCACCAGGTAAATTCTGCCTGGCATTCAAGGCCCTCCACCAACTAACACTGCTCCACACCACCAGCTTGATCCCACATCACTCCCCTTGACTCACTCTCCAGTCCAACCAAACTGGACCCTACCAACACACACACTGTGTTCTCCCATCTAGGTGGGGCCACAGGAAAGAGAGCACTGGGCCTGGAGTCAGGAAGACCCAAGTTCAAATTCAGCCTCAGACACTTCCTGGCTGCATGACTCAGGGCCAGTCACTTTAACCTGTCTGCCTCAGTTTCCTCAATGATAAAATGGGGATAATTAAAGGACCTCCCAGGACAAAACACGGCACATAGTAGGTTCTTAATAAACACTTGGTCTCCTCCTCCCTATCTCTACGCCTTCCCTCAGCCCATGCCCTCTCCCTAGGATGCCCCCTCTCCTCCTCCTAGCCTGGCAAATTTCTGCCCATCCTCTGCACTCCAGCTCCCTGAAGCCTTCCCTGATCCCCCTTGGATGCCTCCTACTCCTTTTCTTCACCTTTCTCCAAGGTGCCCATTGAGTGATCCTGGGTGTGAGTTCTCTGTGTGTCTCACCCTCCCCAGCTGCAGGTTCCAAGTGGGCGGAGCCACATCTTAGCTAAATTGCAGCTCCATCCCCTCCAGCGCCCTGCAGAGTGCTCTGCACACAGTAGGTCTTTGACACGTGTCAGGTGAGATCAAATGAACTGACAAAATAACCACCTGATCGAGTGGAGGTGGCTCCCCCCCAGGGGCAGGGCTTCCTGAGCTTGGACCCCAGTCCAAGGCCAGGCTCAGCATTCTAAACTCTCCCTTCGAAATCTCAACTTCTGTGAGTCGGTGGAGCCCCGTTCTGCTTCTTACTCCTGCTGTGACTCTGGGTAAGTCATTCATCCCCATGGCCTCCTTCCTCCTCTCTGCAGTGATGGGGTGGGAGGCTCCATGGCCACTAAGATACTTTCTAGCTAAACCTGTGGATGGTCTTAGGGATGGGTGTGCATGCTAACCACGGTCAGGCAGGGAGAGCAGACAAGTCCTGAGGGGATTTGGAAGGACTAGATGCGTGTGTGGGCATGATTTGGGTTTGGGTTTCCTGGGCTGCACCTCTGGTCGCACTGGACTAGGGAACTCCATCTACCAGAGCAGGTCAGCATCTTCTCTGAGACTGACAGTCCTAGAGAGTCGCCTTGGGCACAGAGTGGCTCACTGACTTGCCCAGGGTCATGCAGCCAGGATGTGTCAGAGATGGGGACTCAACCCAGGTCTTCCAGACTTTACACCTGACCCTCCATCCAACATGCCACCTTGCCTGTAAGGTGTGAAATCAATTTGCTTAAGTGGGACTAGTTGTTCAACCTATCTGGCCATGTGTATTGATTCTAATAAAAATGTTTAGTTATGGAGGGAGGGGACAAAAAGCATGTGTCTTTGCCCAGATTCAGGACTAAGACATGGGTCTCCCGGTCAATGTCCACCTACCTGTCCAGAGGCAGCGGCTGCCTCAAGAGGGAAGTAATGACGGTCTCCTGGTAGGAGTGGGCCAGCCACAGCACAGCTTTCACCAGTGGGCGACGCACATCTGGATGAAGCACGGAGGGCAGATGTGCCAAGATGGTACTCAAGATCTCCGGCACCTGTGAAGGATGGTGACCATGGCCCTGGGCAAGGCTGGTTCTCCCAGCTGGCAGGCTGCCCTCAGACCCTGCACCCGCTCTACCTTGTCCTCCAGTTCATGGCCCCGCAGCCTGAGAATGGTGTTGAGCCACATGACTGCGGCCCTGTCGTGGGTGAGGTTGGTGGCCCCCAGGCTCTCGCAGGTGCTCTGCAGAAGGATGACCAGCTCCTCCCATCGCACTTCCTTGCTAATCACCTGTGAACAAACCAAGACCCCGCCAGTGGAGACAGAGGCAGAGGCCATCAGGGAGCTCCTCAGCTCCCACCTGCAGGAGCAGAGGTTTCCTACCTGGGTGGGCCAGTTGGCTTTTTAATGCCTTTCATTATCACTGGTCTCCTTCACAGCCCCAAGTATTTTGTTTAAACACAGTGGCTGCCCAGAATCCTCACTACCGGCACAGCCCCAGGGAACTGGAACCAGCTCATTCTACACTGGGACAGAGCTCATTGTGGGGAAGTCTTACCCAGAATCAAGCCTAAATTGACCTCTTGACAGCTTTTACCCACAGCTCCTAGACCTGCTGGCCTGCCATGTGACAGCCCTCCATATAACTGGAAACAATTAGCTTAGACACCTTTCCCTGCCCCTAGCACCCCATTCTGCCCAGTGTGGCCCTAGGGCCTTTCACCATCTCCAGTTTTCTAAGCATGCTTCCTAAAATATGGTATCCAGAACTCTGCTGAGGTCTGACTAGGGAAGGGGCTAGTGGGACCGCCAGCTCCCTGGGTCTGGACTGCCAGTGATCTCACTGGCCCTCTGGGCTGACACACCCCATGTCTGAGTCCTGTGGAGCCAACGCACCCCTCTCTTTCCTCCTGTCCCCAGTAGGTCTCTGATGCCCAACCTACAAGCAGGAGCCTCCCAAACACACAAGCAAACAGGCTGAGAACAGAGAGCAGCCCTGACACCATGGCACCAGAGGTGAAATCTCAAGCGATGCCCTTCAGTCCATCATTAAAGAGGCCCCTGAGCTCCCCAGAGAGAAGCTGACTCCGAGGCTGGAGGTTACCACACAGCCTGGGGAGAAGCAGCCTGGCTTGGGGAGGCAGAAATGCCTTAAAGAGAACAGATGGGGAAGGCAAGGGAAGGCCCCCAGGGGCTGCCCCTTCAGTGTCCTGGGCCTGGTCTGCCATGGCAGCAAGTGGGTGAGCAAACAGAGCACAGGTTCTCCAGTCAGAAAGACCTGAGTGCAAATGCTGCCTCGGACACTTGCTAGAAGTATGATCCTCGGAAAAGGTACTCCACCTACATCTGCCTCAGTTTCCTCATGTGTGAAATGGAGATAATGATAGCATCAGCCTTTTAGAGCTGTTGTGAGGATCAAATGAGTTAATACATGTAAATTTTTTATGAACCTTAAAGCACTAGATAAATACTAACTAGTAATAGTAGTGGTAGTAGTAATAGTATAGTGGTGGTAAGAGTGGTGGCAATAGTAGTAGTAGTAGTACTAGTAGTAGTAATAGTGCTAATAGTAGTAATAATAATGTAGTAGTAGTATAGTAGTAGCAGTAGTAATAGTAGTAGTGGTAGTAGCGGTAGTGGTGGTGGTGGTCATAGTCATGCCAGTAGCAGTAGCAGTAGTAGTAATAATAGCACTAACAGCAGTAATAGTGTAGTAGTAGCAGCAGCAGCAGTAGTAGTGGTAGTGGTGGTATTAGCACCAGTGGTGGTGGTGATAGTAGTAGTAGAGCTGGTAGTGCCAGCGGCACCATTGGGAAGACCAAGGAGCCCTGCACTGCCGCTGCCAGCCAGCGCACGGGGAGCACCACGTGCTCAGAACCAGACTGAGGGTAGCAGTCAGAGTCGGAGGCCCAGCACCAGTTCCCACCTGGGGACAGCCACCGCACGCAGTGCAGGCCACTGGCCTTAGTCACCTTGGCGATTTTGGAGGACAGGGAGTAAATCTTCTCCATGTCGGTCGTCTTCAGGTCATCTTTGATGTCCAGCAGCAGCTTGTCCGTCACCGTGTCCTGTATGGACCAGGGCCTGGCTGCAATTCAAAAGGACAATGAAAACACTCCCCAAGACAAGATCTGCTCCCCCAAAGTTCCCACAATAACAGGGCAAACCGGTCAAGGGCAGAGAACTGTGTCCAGCACATCTGCATATCACCCCCAGCCACTTCCCAGGGCTCGGCCCAGCAGCACCCAAGTTTGGGGTCTTCCCGGTTCCATGAGAGACTTGGCTCCGCTGTTCCTGCTCCCCTGAGTGGCCCATGGGCTCTCCTCCCTCCCAACTGTCAGTATATAATTACCTGCTGCATCCCCCACCCCCCAGGTGAAATATAAGCTCATGGAGGTCAGGGACTAATTCATATTTTCTTCTTTCTACCCCCAGGGCCTAGCCCAGTGCCAGGCACATAGTAGGTGCTTAATGAACGTTTCACTGACCGACTGACTCGGATTGAGACAATAACTGGCAAAATAAACTGCAGAAAGAGAGTTTGAAGGTACATGGAGAAGTTAGTTCTCCCCTTCCCAACAGCCTGGCCCGACCACTGCCGCCCATGGTGAGAATTCCCACCTCTGAACTCCAGTCCATTAGCTATTTATGTATCTTTGCTTTCTCTCCTCAGTAAGAATGTAAGCTCCCTAAGGGTAGGGCCAATGTCCAACAATCCTTTGAATTTCCACTCGCCACCCTCCCCACCCTGAGCAGAGTAGAAGCCAACTGATTTCTTGTCTTCTTACCCTGGAGGTCTAGAAGGCAGCAGATGACGTCAATGGTGGACTGGCGTGTCCTCACTTGGGAGTCACAGGTATGTGGAGCCAGGAGTCCGATCAGAGTGCCAAACTGGCCAGATTTCAGGGGAATCTGTTTTTTAAGAAAGGGCAAATGGCTGGACTGATTAGAATCTGTATGTGTCTCTGTCTGTCTCTCTCTCCCTCTCTCTCTCTCTCTCTCTCTCTCTCTCTCTCTCTCTCTCTCTCTCTCTCTCTCTCTCTCTGTTCCTCTGTCTCTGTCTCTCTATCTGTCTCTGTCTGTCTCTTTGCCTCTGTCTCTGTCTGTCTCTGTATATCTCTCTCCCTCTCTCTCATATACCCTCTCACTTTCATTACACTCACAGGCTCAAATGTCAACCCAGAGAGGATTCAGTTTGGTGCTGAAAAATTAATTAGGAAACATTTCTTCCTCCTCTCAGTAGGAAGATGAGGACTGGGAGTGTGGAGTGTGGCATACACCATTGAGATGCATTCATTGTTACATGATTTAGATATAAAGGCTGGCACTATAAGCAAACTTGGAAAGCAAGGAATAGCTGACCTGTCAGATCTATGGAGAAGGGAAGAATTTATGACCAAACAAGAGATAGAGGACATTAAGAAATGCAAAATGGATTATTTTGATTACATTAAATTGAAAAGGTTTTGCACAAACAAAGCCAATACAACCAGGATTAAAAGGGAAGCAGAAAGCTGGGAAACAATTTTATAGCCAGTGTTTCTTAAAAAGGCCTCATTTCTAAAATATATAGAGAACTGAGTCAAATTTATAAGAGTACAAGTCATTCCCCAATTGATAAATAGTCAAAGGATATAAACTGGCAGTTTTCAGATGAAGAAATTAAAGCTCTCCATAGTCATTTTAAAAATGCTCTAAATCACTATTGATTAGAGAAACGCAAATCAAAACAACTCTGAGGTATCACATCACACCTATCAGATTGGCTAATATGACAAAACAGAAAAATTATAAATGTTGGAGAAGATGTGGGAAAATTGGAATATTAATGCATTGTTGGTGGAGTTGTGAACTGATCCAACCATTGTGGAGAACAATTTGGAACTATGCCCACAGGGCTATAAAAATGTGCATACCCTTTGACCCAGCAATAGCACTTCTAGGGCTACATTCCAAAGAGATCAAACAAATGGGAAAAGGACCCACATGTACAAAAATATTCACAGCAGCTCTTTTTGTGGTGGCAAAGAACTGGAAATTGAGGGGATGCCCATCAATTGGGGAATGGCTGAACAAGCTGTGGTAAATGAATGTAATGGAATACTATTGTGCTATAAGAAATGATGAGCAAAAAAAAAATTTTAATAAAAAGAAAGAAAAAAAAGAAACGATGAGCAGGGGGACTTCAGAAAAACCTGGAAAGACTTGTATGGATTGATTCAGAGTGAAGTGAGCAGAACCAGGAGAACGTTGTACACAGTAACAGCCACATTGCACAATGACTAATGTTGATAGACTTGGCTCTTCTCAACAATGCAAGGATCTAAGGCATCTCCAAAAGTCTCCCAAGGGAAAATGCCATCCGCATCCAGAGAAAGAACCATGGGACCTGAATGCAGGTGGAAGAAGATGATTTGCTCTCCTTTTCTTTTGTTGATTTGTTTTATTTCTTCTTTCTCGTGGTTCGTCCCGTCAGTTCTAATTCTTCTTTACATCATGACTAATGTGAAAATATGTTTAATATGAATGCATAAGTAGAGCCTATATCAGATGGCATGCCATCTTGGGAAGGGAGGAGGAGAGGGAGGGGGAGAAAATGTAAAACTCAAAATCTTGTGGAGATGAATGTGAAAAACTAAAAATTAATCAATTTTTTTAAAAGATGCATCTGTTGTCGGTTGGCTTTGTCCAAATGTTTCTGAGTTTGATTACAAGGCAGGGTTCAGAGCTGTTACTAATAGTCTTAATAGTAACTGATAGTTACTAATGGCTACAACTAGGGAATGACTTGTGTTCTTACAAATTTGACTTCGTTCTCTATATATTTTAGAAATGAGGCCTTTATCAGAAACACTGACTGTAAAAATTGTTTCCCAGCTTTCTGCTTCCCTTTTAATATTAGTTGCATTGGCTTTGTTTGTGCAGGGCTGTTAACTAATAGCTGCTAATAGCCCAGTCCTGCCTGGGCACTGCGAGGTAAAGGGACTTGCCCAGGGTTACACAGCCGCTGGCTGGCAAAATTAGGACTTGAACCCAGTACTGCCCCACACTGTTAGGTGCTTAACAATGGGCTCTCCGGGGGCCATGGACATTTTGAAACTTAATCCATATTACTGACATTTTCTCCATCACTTTCTTAAGTCCCAACAATCCACACAACTAAAACTAAAACTGTGCTTTGTAGTGTAGCATTTGCTGGCTTCAACAAGGGGCAAATGTTCACACTGAAAATTTAACAAGCAGCTCTCCAGAGCTGGTTAGCCAGCAAACCCTGGAACCCAAGTCTTCCACACTCCAAGGCCAGCCAGACAGCCAGACAGCCATTATTCCATGCTGACACCCCAAAAAGCCCTATTTTTAAAAAAAAAAAAACTTGTCTCCCTAAACGACCTTGGGCTGAGAGGGGGGAGTCAGGAAGACCTGAGTTAGAATCCTATCATAGTCGTACTCTGTGACCCAGAGTGAGTCACTTAACCTGTCTCGGCTTCCCCATCTGCAGAAAGGGGATAATATTATCCCCTACCTCCCACGGTTGTGTGAGAAGCCACTGTGCCCCCATCAATGTGTACAGAGCTTTGCAAACCTGAAACCATGCCGTACAAGCGTGAACTACCCAGCAGACCTGGAGCCTCCCCAGGAATCGTGAAACCCGCAGCATGTGGGGATCATGGAGCATGCGATGGAAAGGGACAGTTCCAGAGGAAAGGGGCGAGGAGAAGAGGACAAGGAGAACGTCATGAACTCCGATGGAGGCAGAGCATGCTCCCCTCAACCCCCAGACAGAGAGGTGAGGGACTGGGAGTGGATCCTCAGGCAGACATCGCGAGTCGCAGCCAAGGACGAAAGTTTTGTTACCAAGATTTGATTTGCATTTGTTTTTCAGTGGGGGTCAGGAGGCCAAGTGGGAGGGAGGGAAAATAAATGTTGGTTAATTGGGAAAGTGGTTTTTAAATCTTCTTTAAAACAAGTACGGTGAATGTAATTTAGGACTGCGGCTCCGCCACCTCTCAATGAGACCAGCCCCGGCCTGGGAGCTGTGCCGTCCCCGCCTCCCCAGGACCAGCGTTTCTCCAGACTCCATGGGCTAAGCCAGAGGCCGAGGCCTGGCCCGGGAGGTCTCCCGTACTCACCAGGATGGTGACGCCCTCCCTGTAGACCTGCAGGAGGTGAAGGCTCAGCATGACCGCTCTCTCGCGTTCCCAGTCCTTCTCCGAGTGTAACCACTTCTCAAGGAGCTGGCGGAGGGAGGGAGGTGAGAAAACAAGGGAGAAGCCCTGACAGCCTGGAAAACTGCGGGGCTCCCCCAGCCTTCTCCGGGGAAGGGGCCCCTCTGAGCCCGGGACAGTCTCCCCTACACTCAGCCATGAAGGGCCCTCAGACTCCCGCTAGGATTCCTGCACGCTCCTCTGGTGCAAACTGTTCTGTCCTCCAGGAACTATGGAAGCCTGGCCAGAAGGAGCAAGAGCTTTGGAGGCTCGTGCCCCAGCCCAAGATGCCCCACTCACGGCCACCACAGAGGGCAGCTTCTGTGGCAAGTGGGGAGCGGGGCTGTCCAAGACACTCACATGGAATGCCTCTTGGAGGCCCTTGGGGTCCAGCTCTCTTTCCAGGAGGCTTTGCATCAGCCTCATCAGGGCACTCATGGAGTTCTCGTACAATGTCTGCGACCAAGAGAAGAACCGAATGGGAGTCATGACACCCATGAGGAGATGACATGACCGTAGGGCCCCTTGGTCTGCCTGAGCCAAGGGAGAACAGCAGAGGGATTGGGAGGGGGGCTACCCCCCCCAAGGCTCCACAGGGAAGTCACATGGGAAGGAGGCTGCCCCCCAAGGCTCCATGGGGAAGACACATAGGAGGGGGGCTGGCTCCACAGGGAAGTCACTGAAATGCTTGGAGCCTCAGTTTCTCCTCTGTGAAATGAAAGGGTTCAAGGAGATGATGCAGGGGTCCCTTCCAACTTTCAAGCTATGACCCGGGGAAGGCTGACAATTATCAGGAGATTATTCTTGGCCTCATTGGCCAGAGGAGCAGACACAGAGGAGAGGCCACTTTGCCTTCCCTGCCATGACCAGGGAGACAGAGGAAGGTGGTCAGCAGGGCCCCCTTCCTCCCCAGGCTGCCTGTGGGGAGTTCCCAGAGAAGCAGCTCTGGTCTGGTCTGGTCTGCACCTGCCCTTGTCCTGAGACTCTGAGAGAGGGGTGGGGCTCTCCCTGTGGCAGGCCAGGGTGCCTGGGGGCACCCATTATCTCCATGGCTTTCCCTCTGTGGCTCCCTGTGTGAGCTTCTCTGCGAAGGTTTTGTTCATTGCTATAAATGGCCGCAGGTTGGTGGTAGGATCAGAGTGTCCCAAAGGGTGGGTCACAGGGTCAGCAATGGCTACAACCTGGGTGACACCCCCACAGCTCTTCCCGTGGTCTTGGGTGTGCCTGGGACCAGGCCAAGGAGCCCAACGTAGCCCGAGCCTCAGGCAATGTAACAGTCTGAAGTGGGGAGGTCCAATTCAGGACCCAGGTTAGCACAAACCTTCATCACTGAACAGATGAGGAAGCCTGAGACAAGAACTCACCTTGACCTGTTCACTGTCCTCTCCTGGAGGGGGGAGAGGGATTACGCACTGGACACTCCTGTCCATCAACTCGTGGTTTTCCTCAAGGGTAAAAGGAGGCCTCAGTTTGCTGGGGAGAGCAAGGGACAGTGAGGAGCTCGATGCTGGCCCAGCAGAAGCCCCACCCCTGGACAGGGTCCCATTATCCAAAGACAGACTGAAAGAAGATGCAATGGCCAACTTGCGGACTCAGGACAGGACTGCCCCCTCAATTCAGTGCAATTCAGCAAACATTGTCGGACACCTACTATGAGGAAGACAGCATGCTGGGCGAGCCTAAGAAGGAGAGGCCATGTGACCTACATCAGGTCCTCCAGCTAACGAGGAGGAGCACCACCTGGCTTAGAACTCTGATCCACAGCCAGAGAGGAGGAGCACGGCCTGGCCTAGAACCCTAAGTGACAGCCAGCAAGGAGGAGCTCAGCCTGGCCTAGAACCCCAAGTGACAGTCAGCAAGGAGGAGCTCAGCCTGGCCTAGAACCCCAAGTGACAGCCAGAAGGAGGAGCACAGTCTGGCCTAGAATCCCAATCTGCAGCTCCTGGTGCAACAGATCCTGCCTCAGACACATCCCAGCTGCTCAGCTCCAGGAGACCCACTCAAGCCCCTTGTGCCTCAGTTTCCTCACCTGCAAAATGAGGAGGTTGGACTTGTTAGCCTCTGTGGCCATTTCCAGCGATAAGCATATGATCCTGTGTCTCTGATTTCCCATTCCCACTCTTCACTCTCCCCAGCTGGCTTCCCCTGAATCCCAGCAACCTCCTGGACTCTCCTCAAGAGCTTCCCTCCCCCAGGTGGCCAATCTGGTCTAACCTGTTTTGTTTGTATCTTGGTCTGGCCAAAGCACAAGGACAGCACGGGGCTTGGGACGACGTGGTAAGCACTTACTGAATGGTCACTGAAGAGAGAGGTGGCTGGGGGAGAGAGTGGGAGGAGAGGAAAGGAGAGGAAGAGAGAGAAAGGAGGAGGAGGAGAAAGGAGGAGGAGGAGAGAGAAAGGAGGAGGAGGAGGAGAGAGAAAGAAGGAAGAAGAGAAAGGAGGAGGAGGAGAGAGAGAGAGAGAGAGAAAGGAGGAGGAGGAGAGAGAAAGGAGGAGAAAGGAGGAGGAGGAGAGAGAAAGAAAGAGGAAGAGAAAGGAGGAGGAAGAGAGAGAGAGAGAAAGGAGGAGGAGGAGGAGAGAGAGAGAGAGAGAAAGGAGGAGAGAGAAAGGAGGAGGAAGAGGAAAGAGAGAGAGAAAGGAGGAGGAAGAGGAAAGAGAGAGAGAAAGGAGGAGGAAGAGGAAAGAGAGAGAGAAAGGAGGAGGAGGTGGAGGAGGAGGAGGAGAGAGAGAGAAAGGAGGAGGAGGAGAGAGAAAGAAGGAGGAGGAGAAAGGAGGAGGAGGAGGAGAGAGAGAGAGAAAGGAGGAGGAGGAGAGAGAAAGGAGGAGAAAGGAGGAGGAGGAGAGAGAGAGAGAAAGGAGGAGGAGGAGGAGGAGGAGGAGAGAAAGAAGGTGGAGGAGAAAGGAGGAGGAGGAGGAGGAGAGAGAGAGAGAAAGGAGGAGGAGGAGAGAGAAAGAAGGAGGAGGAGGAGGACGAAGAGGAGGAGGAGGAGGAAGAGGAGAAAGAGGAGGAGGAGAGAGAGAGAGAAAGGAGGATGAAGAGGAGGAAGAGGAGAAGAGGAGGAGGAGGAGGAAGAGGAGGAGGAGGAGGAAGAGGAGGAGGAGGAGAGAGAGAGACAGAGAGAGAGAGAGATGGATGGAGATATAGACAGATGGATTCATGGATTGATGCATGGATGGAGAGATGGGTGGATGGAGTGAGACAGACAGACAGACAGACAGACAGATAGATAGATAAATAAAAGAGTGAGTGAGCATTCATCACATTTATCAAGGACTTGCCCTGTGATGGGCCCTTTGCCAAGAGCTACATTTACAAATATAAGTAAACCATACGTCCCTACCCTGAAGGAAAACACCAGGGGAAGAAAGCATGTCTGAGGACGATGATGGCAGAAGGCCCTCATGGGGCTGAGGAGGGGGGTTGCTGTAGAGGTGAAGACCAGACAGTGAGTTGAGCGGGACATGAAGTGGCAATGTCTGGGCCCTCCCCTGAGCAGGCTGTTATTTGACACCCGAGGGCACAGGACTGGCATGAAGCTGCTGCTCCTGCTTCCTCCCCAGTAATGAGGCTGATGTGCCCGTGGCCCAGTCAGTCAGCTGGGTGTGGGCACCCACGCTCTGGCTAGAGACCCCAGTGCCCTTCCCCTGGGCATCCCCTCCACATCTTGCTGCCCTTCACACTCGGCTCTACCCAGCTGGGTTAGCAGGCGATGGCTGGTTTGCACTTCTGCCTTCAATGGAAAAGAGCTGAGCTTCCTGCAGCCACTGGGACAGGAAGGGAGGAAGGAAGGTCAGCTGTCTATGCCTTTGGATGACATCTTATTAAATGTTAGGCTACTTCTCACCCACCAGGCCTCTGAGATGCTCACAGCATCTCACCTGAGCTCTTTCTTTATCTGCCCATCACCCCAGAAGGGCAGGAAGTATCATCTCCACTTCCCAGAAGAGGGAGCTATCAACCACGGGGCACCGAGAGCTCCCTGCCTCAGCAGCAGAACTTGGACCCAGCTTGGCTCTGGAACTTCCCATGATGCCTCCCAGGCCTGCCCCAGTCACCAACGTCCACAGTAATGTCACGCGCGTGCGCTCATGTGCACACACACACACACACACACACACACACACACACACACACACGCCTGTGCCCTGGATGGGAGAGGTTGCGTGCCTATCCACTAAGTGCATGACGTAGGCCGCCCTATTATGGCGGTTTCCAGGGAATCAATTTGCCTGTCAGGGTGACAGCCTCTGCGTCATCCTCCTGTTTTGTAAGCCCCTGGACTAGTCCGGACATGTCCAAGGCAAGCCCAGGAGAGCCGAGGTGCCGCAGGAGTCGGGCCCGTGGGCCTTCTCAAAATACTTCTCCAGCGGACAGCAGAGTTATGGGACAAAGGCCGGTTGGGTTACAGGGCCCCTAGGATTCCAAACAAGAGGCCATCATCACGAAGTCCAACCTCCCCGTTTTACAGATGGAGGAAATGAGGCCTGAGACGGAAGGGGCTTGCTCCAGATTCCAAAGATAATAAGTGACAAAGGAGGGAAGATGGCCGTGCCTCCCAGTCCCGTCTGTGTCAGCAGGAGGATCTCAGAGGTCACCTAATGAAGCTCTCGTCTTTAATCAACGTGAGCCAGGAGGCTCACAACACACAGGGCGTGAGCAGCCTGTTCGATACACTGGGTTCCCTTTCCCTGGACACTTGCCCCATCTTCCCAGACCCCAGGGTCAGACTGTCCCTGGCCTATAAAGATAGTGGCTGGCTTCCTCCCCCCAGGAAGCCGGGCCTGGTTTACTTCAGCTGTCACTCTGACCATGAGAAGCTCTCAATGCCGCCCTCCCTCCTCCTCTCAGGCCATCTCCCTGAAGGAATCAGTCCCTCAGTCACGCTTTCTTGGAACTCTGTCCCTAGGATGGTGAGTTGTCGCCCAGCCGTGAGAAGGCAAAGGGCATTCCGATGATAATGTGGGTTCCGAGGGCCGATCTCCGAGATGGGGCCACGCCTGCCTCTCGCACGCAGACTCAGCCTACCTGAGGCGCCAGAGCGCAGTCATTGTCAGGCAGCGCACAGGAGACACCAGCGTGTCCAGAGGCTCTGTCTTGAGGATCACCTGCCCAGTACAAACGAGGAAGCGAGTAAGAATGACGATGATCCTAATCATGGTAACAGGCACACAGAGCCCTTTAGAGCTTTACTGTCACCACGGTATCATCGTCCCCATTTTAGATGCAGACACTGAGGCTCAGGGAGTTGCAATGATTTATCCACAGCCCCACAATTAGCCAAGGATTTATTTGGCACCTCTTACTTGCCAGTCACTTGTCTTGGTACTGGGGTTACAAGTATAAACAATGAAACAATCCCTAGCCAAAATGAGCATCCGACACGAGTTTCAAGTCCTGTCTTCTGACGCCAAGTCCATAGCTCTAACCATTGTGGAACACTGTCTCTCCACATTAAACAGAAAATCTGCCTAGTCCTTAGCTCACTTTCCAGAGGTCGTCCGCCCCTTCCCTTTGAGCATCATGGCCCCCCAGACTGTGCAATAGCACCCCCCAAAATCCCAGACCAGGCCCCAGAAGGAAGCCACCCCAAGGCCCCCCGCTCATGCTCAGCACTCCTAACCCAGGGACTCCCAGATCCAGGGTTCTGTGTGGCTGGCCAGGGAGGCCCAAGGGTCTTTTAAATGCACACGAGAAAATACAGAGCATTACAAAGGAAACCAACTATACTGAAACACTCGTACTAAAGAATTTCAAATGAGGTCACAGCCTCCTGGTTAAGACCCCTGCAGTCTAGAACCGCCCCCACATGCCTGATGAGGAAAAAAGGAGTTTGGGAGCAAGGTCTTCACCCTAGCCCCCTCAGCCCTGTTCTCAGCCTCCCTCGATTATTCTCTGCTCTGCATGTGTGTCTCTGTCTCTGGCACCACACACATGCTCACACACACACACACACACACACACACACATACATACATACATTCACACTCTCACATATACACACACTCTCTCACACACATAATCTTTGTCATACACACACTCTGTCACACACACACACACACTCTCTCATACACATGCTCACACAGTCACATAGACACACTCACACACATACTCTCACACATCCTCTGTCATACACACTCTCACACACTCACACCCTCTTTCTCACACACTCTCACATATACTCTCACACACTCATGCACTCACATACGCACACTCACACATTCTTTCTCACACACACTCTCACACATTCTCTCACACATACACACTCGCACACTCTCATACACACACTCACATATACTCTCACACACACTCATACCCTCTTTCTCACACACTCTCACATATACTCTCACACACTCATACGCACTGACATATGCACACTCTCACATACACACACTGTCACACACACACACACTCTCACATACATACACACTCACATTCTTTCTCACACACATACTCTCACATATACTCTCACATTCTCTCACATATACACACACACTCACACACTCACATACACACACTCATACGCTCTTACATACACACACTCACAGACATACTCATACACACACTCACGTATACTCTCACACACACTCACACCCTCTTTCTCACACCCTCTCACATATACTCTTACACACTCATACGCATTCACATACGTACACTCTCACATACATACTCTCACATACACACACACAGTCACACACATTCTTTCTCACACACATACTCTCACATACACTCTCACACATTCTCACATATACACACACACACTCACATACACACACTCACAGACATACTCATACACACACTCTCACATATACTCTCACACACACACTCACACCCTCTTTCTCACACACTGTCACATATACTCTCACACACTCATATGCACTCACACTCACACCACACATCACACATCTCACACACTCACACATTCTCTCACACACATTCTCTCACATATACATACTCACACACTCTCACATACACACACTCACACACACACACACACATACACCTCTCTACTACTCCTGGGTCCTCAGTGTACATCTCATTAGAGGGAGCCCAGGCCCCCAATTCCCACTCATGAAGGGGCCCCAAGCAAAAGCCAGGAGCTCTGGAAATGGAATTGTCCTTGCCTGCTGCTGCAATCAGCCTGTCCAACGGCCAGGCCCAGACAGTCCCAGGAACATCTCCCAGTCCCCCCAAAATCAGGCAGAACCCGCTCCCAGCTTACCATGAGGTTAGCTGTGAGCTCTGGTTTGTAGGCATAGTCAAAGTCCACTTTGCCCAAGGCCTGGATGGCCAGACAGATCTGAATGATGCTCTGGACGAAGGCTAGCTTCAGAGAAATGTCCTGCGACCGCAAGGATGGGGCAGGAGCCACAGCCCAAGAGGAAAAAGGAAGCTGTGTCATGATGGAAGAGCTGTGGACTCCCACCCCAGGGCACCTGGCTTCTCTTTAGCATGCAGGAAGCTCCAGGGGCACCCAGGAGGCAGGGGAGACCCGCTGGCCTCCTCCCTTGGACACCTCAGTCAGCCTCACTGCCCTGAGCTGCCCCCTCCCAGAGGACACACATGCCAGACCCAAGCCCAAACCCCCGGGATCACGTGGGAGGCAGGGGAGACCCGCTGGCCTCCTCCCTTCGACACCTCAGTCAGCCTCACTGTACCCAAGCTGCCCCCTCCCAGAGGACATATATCTCTGGGAGACCCAGGCCCAAGCCCCCGGGGATCACCTGGGAGGCAGGGGAGACCCTCTGGCCTCCTCCCTTAGACACCTCAGCCAGCCTCACTGCCCCAAGCTCTGGGAGACCCAGGCCCAAGCCCCCGGAATCACCTGGCAGCTGGTGGCATAGTGATGCAGGATCTTCCTGGTGATGTCCCTCTCCACAAGGGACAGGAGCATCCTTGGGTGGCAGTGAGCAGCCACACTGCTATACATCACCATGAGGGCACTCTTCACCACCTCCCTCCTCCAGGGGTGGTCACTCTGAAAGGGAGCAAAGAAGCCCTGTCAGTCCTGGCCTCCCAGTAAGAAGGTCTGAGAGCTCAAGGACCTCGAACCCAGGCCCTTCACTTTACAGATAGGGAAACTGAGGCCCCTGAGCCCCAGGGTTGACAGCTGCTGGACTTCCCTTCTCTTGCTCAGAGAGACTGCTCCCTCTCCCCACAGCCCTGAAATGCTCTCTGAGGCTCTCAAATTAGGAGACTCTGAACCTCCCCCACCCCACCAAGCCCCTGTTTTGGTGCTTTAGTCCCTCTCCCAACAAATCACATTCTTGGTAGAGAGCTTGCATTTGCTTTTCAGATGCACGAGGAGCAGGGCAGCTCAGCAGAGAGAGCCAAGGGGCTAGAGGCCCTGGGTCCAGATGCCCCTTTTTATTTATTGCTTGTAGGACCATAGGAGAGTCCCTGGAACTTCTCCCGACCTCTGCAGACAGATGACCGCTAAGCCCCTCCCACTATAGATCCAAGATTCTTTGTTGCGCCCCCCCCCCGACTAGAATGTAGTTGAGGGTAGGGGCCATTTTTCATTTTTCAAGCACCAGCATGCAGCAGGTGCTCAATCATTGAATTGGATGGTTTGAATCACTGATGGCGTGACATAGGAGATGGGGGAGCCACCCTGATGCCCACAGGCAGGGCTTCCAGGTCCACAGTGATGGGCCTGAAAGGGTCTCCTTCCCCTATGTACCCCAGCCCCCCGACCCAGTAAAGTCACTGAGTCTTAGCGTAGGGAGGAATTTCAGTGACCAGCTGCACCCCTCATTTTGCAGATGAGCACAGTGGGGCACAGAGGAGGGTGAGCCGGACCCTCCCTCCAGCTTCTGACCAGGCTCCCGTGAATCATCCAGCCATGGGTGCTGCGATTCTGGGCCCCCAGAGTCTGGCCTCCTCCTCCCCCCCAGAGGCCCTCACCCTCCAGGCACTAATGTGCCAGGAATCCTCCGTCTCCTGAATTTTCTCTTCAAACTCTTGGAGCACATGGAGCACGGTGACCACCTGGCCCCTGGTGCAGAGTCCCAAGCAAAGGATCACTCCCTGGAAAGGGGAAGAGGACAGGGGTGATGAAGGAGGAACAGCAGGGAGAGCATGGGCTGCTAAGTTGGCCTGGCCGGTGAGGGGCCCAGCCCTCCTGGGCTTGGGGCAGAGGGGTCACTGCCAGCTCCCCAGAGAAATCAGAGAACCCCAAATGGCAATGTGGGAAAGAACCTCAGAGGCCAGGTCTCTGGCCTGGAGTCCCCTACAGCACTCTGAAGTCGGGGGATCTTCCCCCTTTGGTGCATCCTGGACCCCTTGGGCAGTTGGCCTGAGAAAACCCACGCACTCACCTTTCTCCAAATCATGTTTTTAAATGCATAAGACATATAGAATTACCAAGGAGGCCGAATTACTGAAATACAGTTATCGATATTGTTTTTAAACACATTCACAAACCCTGGGTAAGAACCCTCCCTGCTCCAAGGGCTCATCAAGTCTGGGCCTGAGGACCTCCCCAAGGGAGAAACTACTGCCTCCTGAGACAGCCTGGCCCACTCTGGGAAAGCTCACACTGTTAAGGAAGGTTGCTCCTGACTCCAAACCCAAATGCATCTCCAGCTTTTACCGGTCCCTGCTCTCCCTTCCACTAGGGGCCATTGGGAACAAGTCTCACGCCTGCTCACTCAGCCTGAATCTCTTCTCCAGGCTGCACCAGCCAAAGGAGGGCCTTCCCTCCCTGGGTGCCTGTGCCTGGATGCCCTCCCACTCACCAATGCCCTGTGCCCAGGCATGAGCCCCACAGCACAGCAGAGGACAGCCCGTCAACGTGGAAGCTGCCACGCTAGGGCCTTCCCACCCTGGGCGGCTGTGCCTGGACACCCTGCCACTCACCAGTGCCCTATGCCCAGACATGACCCCCACAGCACAGTGGAGAACAGCCGTGAATGTGGAAGCTGCCAGGCTAGGGCCTTCCCACCCTGGGTGGCTGTGCCTGGAAGCCCTCCCGCTTACCAATGCCTTGTGCCTGGGCGTGACCCCCACAGCACAGTAGAGGGCAGCCCATGAATGTGGGATCTGCTGGGCCGGGGCCTCACCTCCCGGTCAAAGTCGTTGCCATAATCTGTCTTGTGCAGCAGCTCCATGAGCTGGGTCTCCACCTTGTCAGCCTCCTGCCCCGTGGCCAGTGTGAAGCCCAGTGCCCGGTACAGGAAGGCCTGGGAGGAAAGGGAGCTCCTGAGGCTGAGACATCCCCACAAAAGATCGAGCCCAGAATCTCATCTTCTGAAGAGATAAGATTCATAAGCCACTAGGGGGGCAGAGACCTTGATGATCCCAGGGGACAACTCCCGCATTTTAAAGATGGGAAAACTGAGGCCCCCTCCAAGCTCCAGGGTGGGGAGACAGGCTTCAGAGCCCCTGGGCCAGGGCTCTGCCCCCTACCCACACTAGCTGACATCTCCACAGAGCCTGGTGAGGAAGGCACCTGGTGACCAATCCTATCCCAGGGGACAGACAACTCCCGACAGAGGTGGGGGGCTCAGGGTGCTGAATGAGGCATATGCTCTGGGCATCTGCTTTGTCTGACTGTTCTGGCTTGCTCCAGGAGTTTTGTTTTTCTTTTTCTTTTTCTCCATATGGGGAGAGGAAAGGAGTGAGAGGAAGAGAACATCTAAGCTGGTCAATTTAAAAAACTTAAATGAAAAACCACTTCAGATACATTATCTCACTGAGACAAGTCAGGGAAGGCAGTGTGGGCCAGTGGACTTGGAGTCCAAGGACCTGAGTTTGAATCCCAGCTGGGACAACTTCATGAGACCCTGGGCAACATCTCACCTCAATGAGCCTCAGTTTCTCCATCTGTAAAATGAGGGCGCTAAGCTAAATGTCCGCTATGTCCCTTCAAGCTCAGTGATCCCAGAAGTAGCTGTTAATGTGATTCCTATTATACAGATGAAGAAACTGAGGCCCAGAGAGGGCAAGGAGCTTATGTAAGGTCACCCAGGGAGTTCGTGATGCCTCTCTGGAGGGAACGTCCCTCGGGCCCCATTCTCTGTGGATAGGCCCCCATCTGTCGTTCACCATTGTCACCACTCGTTGCCTCTTTCATGGGGACGCAGACTACCAGAGCAATCATCGCATCCAAAGCCGTCATCCTAGGGGTGGGGGAACTGAGGCAGAGGCTGGCCCAAGGTCACCTGCCGTGACAGCTCATCTCCCCCATCGGCCCCTGGAAACAGCGACCACCCGAGCACCCCCTTCTTTGCCGCCTTCTCGGGGCAGGTGGAGAGCCCACCTTCTCCACCGAAGGGCTCTTGTAGCTGACGATCTGGTGGTTCAGCTCCTGGCTCAGCCGCAGGCTCCATGTGGTCCCCTGCGTCCTCTTGAGGGAGATCCTCAGAAACTGCAAACGAGACAGACAGCCCTGTCAGTCTGGCCGGGAGCAGGAGGGAGCGCCACTCAGTCACCCTTAGCACACTTAATAACTCTGCAGACGTCCAGAACTGCGATTTCATCGGCCACATGAAAGCCCAGCACGGGAGACTTCCTCCACCAGTGCCGAGCAATCAGCCCTCTGGAAGAGTAGCCTTGCCCAGGATGTGGGGTCCTAGACAAGGGGCCTCGGAGGTGATCTAGCCCAGTCACGTAGCTGGGGTCAGAACCCAAGGGAACCCGGCTCCTCCGACTCCCCCGTCTGTCCACTGAACCCATGGCCTTCCCGGCCTCCCAGACTCCAAAGCTGTCCCTCTACCCAGTACCCACTCTGCCCACCCTGCCTCCCAGTCCTCGCACCCGCAACAACAAAGATACCAGTTCGTGGCATTTCCCTAGTGCCTTACTGTTTGCAAAGCACTGTACAGACATTGTCCCATCTGGGCCTCGCAACAACCCTGAGCTATACCTGCTGCCAGAGACTATTCTCATCTCCTTCTCACAGGTAAGGGAAAGGAGCCTCAGAAAAGCAGAGTGTCGGCAGGGTTCGAGCCCAGGGCTCTCTTGACTGTAAGTCTACCCCGCCACACAGCCTGAGGCAGAAGGGGCTTTCCTCCCACCTCCATCAGAGCCATCTGACACACCCACAAGGTAGGTGCTTGGTCAGTATTTAATGACTAAGTGGTGATGGAAGAAGTTTCTTGGAATCCCCAAAGACCTCTAAAGCCTAGGGCTGCAGGACATCTTGGGTGGGCATACCACAGAGGAAAGAGCTCGGGAGGCAGAGTCCCGGGTTCAAATCCCGACTCTGTCCCTTCCTGCCTGTATGGCCCTTGGTTTCCTCATCTGTGAAATGGACTCCTTCTGGCTCTAGACCATCCCCCCAACTGCCCCTCCCCACCCATCCCACTACCTGGATCAGCTTGTCCTCCCAGGTCTTCTGGTTCCATGTATACTGGGTGTGCTCTACAGAAAGGATGGAACGGAGGTGCGTCTTGAGCGCCTTCCCTCTCCTCAGCCTCTTCCCAGCAGTGGAAAGGGATGAGCAGTCAGTCAGCCAAGTTACAAGCATTTACTGAGCACCTGATGTGTGCGAGGCACTGCATAAGACAGTGAGAGCACAAGGGCGAAAGAGAAACAGCCTCCGCCCGCCTGGAGCTGAGATTGCACTGGGGGAGAACGCACCCGCGAAGAGGTACGCAGATGGTGCAAGGAGGAGGTAAGCTTAGAGGAGGCGGGACAAGGACACCGTCAGAAGGGAAGGGCGTGACTACACCAAGAGCCGACGCTTCTGGAGCGACTGCGACACAGCCTCCTGACAACCCCATGAGAGAAGCGTGACGTGGCTTACCAGACCCATTTTACAGATGGGGAAACCAAGGCTTCATGACAGAGAGCTGGGGAAAGGACATCGAGCTAAGGAAGCCGACCACGGAGGGATCAGAGGATGTGGGCAAGGCCACCCCAGTTCTGTAGCAGGGCCTGGTGCTGGGACATCACACCAACATCACACCACTGCCACCATCACTAAGGAAGCCGACCACGGAGGGATCAGAGGATGCGGGCAAGGCCGCCCCGTGCTCCGTGTCTGAGGCAGGGCTCGGTGTGGGGACATCACACCAACGTCACCCAACGTCACACCAACACCACACCAACACCACACCACTGCCACCATCGCTAAGGAAGCCGACCACGGAGGGATCAGAGGATGTGGGCAAGGCCGCCCCAGTTCTATAGCAGGGCCTGGTGCTGGGACATCACACCAACATCACACCACTGCCACCATCACTAAGGAAGCCGACCACGGAGGGATCAGAGGATGCGGGCAAGGCCGCCCCGTGCTCCGTGTCTGAGGCAGGGCTCGGTGTGGGGACATCACACCAATGTCACCCAATGTCACACCAACACCACACCACCACACCACTGCCACCATCACTAAGGAAGCCGACCACGGAGGGATCAGAGGATGCGGGCAAGGCCGCCGCCGTGCTCCGTGTCTGAGGCAGGGCTCGGTGTGGGGACATCAGCAACGTCACCCAACGTCACACCAACACCACACCAACACCACACCACTGCCACCATCGCTAAGGAAGCCGACCACGGAGGGATCAGAGGATGCGGGCAAGGCCGCCCCGTGCTCCGTGTCTGAGGCAGGGCTCGGTGTGGGACATCACACCAACGTCACCAACGTCACACCAACACCACACCAACACCACACCACTGCCACCATCGCTAAGGAAGCCGACCACGGAGGGATCAGAGGATGCGGGCAAGGCTGCCCCATGCTCCATGTCCGACACGGGGCCTAGGGAGCAGACATCACACCATGTCACACCACTGCCACCATCCCACCCCTAGCAACTCTCTCAGAATCAAACAGCAGCTACTGAGAGTCCCTGGGCACAAGCATCGGAGGGCCCTGGGGGAATTACAGACAAATGACAAGCCTCAATGAAGACACCTACTGTATGTCTGGCACATAGGAGGCACTTAATCAATGCTAACTGATTTGGGGGGGGGATAAGATAATGATATTTCCTAAGCACCAACTGTATGCAGGACCTGCTTGAAGGATACCTTCTGAGGCCGCTTTCCAATGGACAGACGCACCCCCAGGTGCCTCACCTTCCAGGTACTGAATCAGAGCAGGAATCTCAGCTTCCCATAGGTCTGCCATGGAGGGGGCGATACTCTGGTGCAGGGTCTTGAGCAGCTGGAGCATGGCCACCCCGCGGCCCTCCCCCTTGTAAGGGGCCGAGAGAAGCACCTGCGGTGGGGAGGAGAGCAGACAAGGACAGCTGAGCCTGCAGTCTGCGGGTCAGAGTCAGGCGGAGGTTCCTCTCAGGAGACATGAAGCCATTTGGGGGAGGTAGGGCTCAGCATGAAATAGGAGCCTAGGATGGACAGGAGGAGGGCCTCGGGACAGACCAGAAGTCATAACTCTGAGCCAGGGACACAGGCTCTCACATCAGGTATCTCACATCTCACAGGGCATCTTCTCTGCAACTCCACATCTGATCCCCCCAAAACAAATCTCCTCCACCTTCCTCCCTCACTGCACACAAAGATGGTCAGTGTGCCCATTCCAAATGAGCCAAGGACATTTGGAAATGCCACTAAGCTCAGGACATCCCCCTGCCAGGTGGTCTGTATCTTGGGATTCTTCCTGAACCCTCCTCACTCCCAGCCACCCCCAAAGGAGCGCCGCCTGGAGTAAAGTCAGGCAGGACCCCTCTCTGGTGGGCATCGGAGACAGGGAAGGGATGAGCAAATGCTCACCCTGCCCAGTCACCAGCAGGGTCAGCCTACTCACCAGGAGCCGGGCCAGAAGCTTCTGAGGAGCAGGGAGTTCCACTGGAAAGAAGAGCAAGCCACGTCACGATCAGGCCGGGCATGGACCATTTGGTGCCAGTCTCGGCACCATGCAGAACAGGTGGCTTAAGGGACCCCAAAGAGATCTGGTTCATAAATATCACCCCAAGGACTCTCTCAGCATCAACCCTGGTGAAAATCTGAAGGCAGGGGGCAGCTAGCGGACACAGTGGATAGAGCGCCGACCCTGGAGTCAGGAGGACCTGAGTTCAAATCCAGCCTCAGACCAAACACTTGACACTTGCTAGCTGTGTGACCCTGGGCAAGTCACTTAACCCCACCTGCCTTAAAAAATAAAAAATAATAATAAAAACCTGACGGCAGTTAGGTGGCAAATCTGGTTAGACCAACCTGTTATACCACATGCCCCAATAAATTCCAAATTGGTAAATTATCAAAATATAATAGGACATCGCACCACTAAAACAATTAAAGGACAATGGAAATTAAAGTCTTTCACAGCGGAAAACAAGGGAAGAATTCAACAACCTATCAGTCAACTAGTCTCCAAAGAGCCACCAGGAGCCAGGCACCATGCCAGACACTGAGAACACGCCTGTAACAAAGCAAACAGCCCCTGCTCGTGAGCAGTTTGCTTTCCAGTGGGAGAGATGACCAGCACAGATGTAAGGATACAGAGAACGTATTAAAAAATAATTAAATACAAGAGCGTTTGGGGGGGAAGGCTTTAGCTGGGGAGATCCAGACAGGCTTTCTAGAGAAGACGGTGCTGAGCTGTGTTCCAAAGGCAGAGGTGAGGAGGGTGTGCATTCCAGGCATGAGATGGAAAGGTCTGGAGGTGGGAGATAACGGGCGCGAAGCACAGGGAGAGGACCGTTTGGTCGGACCACAGAAGGAGGGAGGGGCAAATAATGCCCAGTGAGTCACTGTTGGAGGGACTCAGGACCATAGAGGCAGGGAGGCGGCTCAGGGGGATGGAGCACTGGGCCTGGAGTCAGAAAGACTTCAGTTCAAATCTGCCTCAGTCACTTCCTATCAGTGTGATACTGGGCAAGTCACTTAACCACTGTGCCTCAGCTACCTCATCTGCAAAATGGGATAATGACAGCACTCCCTTCTCAGGCTTATCGTGAGAATCTAATCAGACGATATTCGCAAAGCTCTCAGCTCAGTGCTTGGCATGCAGTAAGTGCCATGGAAATGTCAGTCATTACTATTATTTTTACATGGACATACTAATTCAGTGCTGAAAGAGGAAGTGCAGCCATTCGGGAAAACAGTCGGGAATGGTGTCCTGACCCAGGGTCTCATTCCTGGGGGCACGTCCCAGGGAGGTGAGCCCAGAAAGGTCCCGCACAGACCAAAACGTTCCCAGCATCCCGACCTGCGGGAGCTGCTAACAGCTGGAGAGCGGCTGAACGAGCTGTGGTGTAGGGGTGAGATGAATGCACGAAAGGCACTTGGTGGAATGCGATTATGCTCAAGGAGCTCCAAATACGCAGAACTCAGAGAAACAGAGGAAGGCTTGCAGAAGCCAGCGGAGCCCAAGAGAAGGGCGAGGCCCAGCACTCTGATCTCCAGGCGGGACATCATTACATTATGTTATAATAGAGTATGCTACGTTCTACACAGTGTGATGTCTGTTATGCATATCATATGTGGTATACTGTCGTGTATCAAATGTTGCGATGACGACGCTAAGCGAGACCAGTGTTAACACGCCACAGAGCTGAGGTCACCTAGCATGGAACATGGTGGTTCCAGTTTACCCAGTTGTGATCATATAGTCTTCCCTTCTGTTGGTAACACGAGGCAGAGTGTCATTATCACATTACAAATGTGGTTTTCTTTACAGTTTTTATGGGAAGGTTCTCAGCTTTGGGGCAGGGTGTGATTGGGAAGTGACTTATGTGTCAAAATAAAATGGTATTCATACAAACAAATTTTTAAACCACAGCAGCCCCGCCACAGAGCCTCCACATCTCCTAATCTCACACCCGCCTCTGGGAGACGAGGACACCATGGCCCACCCAGGTGAGGTGGCGTGTCTGGCAGGATCAGTCTAGCTAGTGGTACCTAAAGCACCAGGATTGGAGAGCCTCCTGTCCGTCGGTCCCTCTGTTACACTGCTAGAGATTCCCACCTCTGGGTCTTAAAGCCTTTGGGGGCCTACAGAGGCGTTCATCTGTGGCCTCCCACTCTGGGCAGGGCAGGTTCCCAGAGGAGCCCTGGCTTCTCCTCTGAGGGTTCTAGGAGTGATGTCCTTCTGACACTGTAGCTCATGAGCCCCCAGTTGTGGGCCTCTCTTAACAATCAGCTCATAGACCCAATTAGAGTTTTAGAAGAGGGATTGGTTCAAATTACATAGCAACCACAACAACAATGATAGCTGCTGGAATTACTGTAGTGGTTTAAGTTTGCCTTACAGACGTGACCTCACTTAATCCTCACAACACCCCTGTGAGGTAGGTGATATCATTATCCCCATTTTACAGATGAGGAAAATGAGACTGAAGGGGATGAAGGAACTTGGCCACAGTCACACAACTCATAAGAGTCTAAAAAAGAATTGGAACTCAAATTTTCCTGACTTGAGGTCTACCGCTGCACACGCTTCCCCACTGAGCCACCTGGTAGTTACAAGAAGCTACAAGTCCTGCTCCACTACCTTCCACAAATACACGCAAGTCCATGGGGAAATGAGCTGGCACAAACATAACATACAGACCATAGGGAACACATACGACCAAGGCAAGTGTGGAAGGACAGGCCCTTGGGCTCCTTTCTTTCTCCTGAGGGTCCTTACAAAGCTCCCTGCCAAATGTGGCATCAGTGATGGATGAGTGCCTCCCATGCCCTCCTCCCCAGTCAATGAGGCTTGCTGTTGGGGCTCAGAACAGGTCGATCTGCTGCTGGGCAGGGCGCAAAGGAGCACAGAGATGAAGAGGCAGCTTAGCTGCTGATGAGCAGGCCCAGATAGGAAACAAGGCTGCCAGCCCCACCTAGGCTAGGCCAGGCTTTCCGCAGCACACAGCACCTATGCTGGATGGCTAATCTACTAGATGCCCTGGGCTTGCTCCTCAGTGGGAAGCTTCGGGCACATAGTAGGTACTTAAATGCTTCTGACTGACTGCTGGCTTGGTTAAATGTTACCACACTCTGTTCATCTGGAGTGTTTTGGTGCCCAAGACTAGGACAGATGGGCACATAGTAGGTACTTAAACGCTTCTGACTGACTGCTGGCTTGGTTAAATGTCACCGCACTCTGTTCAGCTGGAGTGTACTGGCGCCCGAGCCCAGGACAGGCAGGCCTCTCCTCTTTGACACTCCCAGAGCCTCAGTTCTGAGCTTTGTCACCTATGGGCAGGAGTTGAGAGAGGCTCTTCCTGCCCTGGGAGGGGACCTTCCTTTACTGAAGGACATCAGTGAGCCCCACCTCCCAGCTTCCTTTGGCAGATGAGTAGCCACGGGACAAAGGCCATTACTGCAATACAGCTATTTAATCTACAGAACCTTTCCAAGGACCTTCCTTTACATCTGAAAGGCCCCTTCCTTTCCCAGTTTTTACCCCCTTCTAATACACAAACGGGGCAGCTAGGTGACACAGTGGATAGAGTGCCAGGCCTGGAGTCAGGAAGGCCCATCTTCCCCAGTTCAAATCCAGCCTCAGACACTTCCTAGCTGTGTGACCCTGGGCAAGTCACTGTACCCTCTTGGCCTCAGTTTCCTCATCCGCAAAATGAGCTGGAGAAGGAAACAGCAAACACTCTAGTATCTTTGCCAAGAAAACCCCACATGGGGCCCCCAGAGAGTCAGACACGACTAATTGACCGAACAGTGACAACAGAATCGCACACATCCACCCTTGCATGTTAGCGGAAGCGAGTCCAGGGAGAGATCGGCCCTTAAGGTCATCTCGGTTAGGCTCAGAGGGAATCCATCATTAGTTATGCAGGTCAGTTTGAAGCTACCAAGAGACGCCAGGCAGGAAAGGAGGCATGGACGGAGCGGCGTGAGAACGCGCGCTGCCCTATTTCAGCTTCACCCTGGCTGGCCCTGCGCCATCCAGCTCAGACTGGGCTCTCTCCCTGGAGGCGCGAGCGCTGGCCCAGCCCCTGACCCTCCCAGGCCGTGACCGGGTCCTCCTGCTCGCCAGCCTCAGCCTCTCCAGCTTCTCAGTGCCTCCACTCGCCCTCCGTTGGTTCTCTTGCTCCCTGAAGACACCAAAAACCCTCCTTTGGAATGTTGTCTAGAATTGTTATTACTGTTGGCTAACAAGGTTTCCCAAGCACTTTATATCTGAGCTCACAACAACCCGATGAGGTGGGTACTATTATCCCATTTCATAGATGAAGAAACTGAGGCAGAGGGTGGTTAGTGATTTAGTTAAGTGACTAAGTGCTATTGGCTGAAACAACCGACGAAGAAAAGTTCCTGTTTCCGGACGTCACATAAGTTAGATTCAGCAGGAGCAGGGAACGAGGCCCTGTTCTTCAGCCCTCCCCTTCTGCCGGACTAACATCAAAGCCCCTACTGGAGCCGGCTGGCCCAGTTCTGCCGGTCTGGTTCTCCAACTCAGCAAGGCTGTCTAAAATCAGGCTCCGGGCCCTTAGCCCCACCTTGAGAAGCCCCATCTTTGAGTCTGGGGTCCAGCCCGAGACAAGGCCACCTGAGTTTCAGGCCCACCAGGAACCTGCCCTGGCCTCTGGGAGAGGTCACTGTTCACTCCTTCAAAGAGCGAAGACCCAGGTTCCCTGGGGTCCCACAGCCCTCTTCCCAGACTCCAAAAGCCCCTAGAACCCCAGCATCTGTCCACTCGGCCTCCCGCCTCTGTGCTAGGACTGAAAGAAAGCCACATCCTGGCTGGGCAGGTGGACCTCTCCTGATCCGACTTCCTGTTTCTCAGAGATGAGTCATCTGTGCCCCAATGCCCTCACACCTCCCTAGGCCCTGATCTTCAGTGAGTCATCTTCAAAGGTTTTCTGCCTTTAGGGAGCCTGCTAGAACGCGTGTTTCAAGATAGAAAAAAAAATAAAGAAATACCTGAAACATCCGGTAAGTGATGGCAAACAATGTCCCCCTTCGACAGGGGCAGAGGGGGTGCAATACCACAAGAGGAAGCAGATGCTTTTTAAGCCTGGCTCACCGTCGCCAGGCTGGGGAGCCCAAGGAAGCCAGGGACGGCTCACTGACCTTGTCCGCGTCTGCCCACATTTGCGCCGGATTCTTTTTGCTGGCGTTGACGCTCGGCCAGGTTGGTCAGGCTGATGCAGATGGGGGTGAGGGCCTCCGTGTATTCTGTCTCCATGATGTAACCCAAGAGTTTCAACCAAAACTCCTACAGAGTCAGCAGAAGAGGGGGAAAGAGAGAGACACTAGGATTAGCCTGCCCAGATGAGCTAGCCTCGGCAAGGAAATAACCCCAGAGTTACAAGCCACGAAGGTGGATACTGGGAAGAACGGGACAAAAATGTTCTTGTCCTAGAGGCTGATGCCCAGGATAAGTAAGGAGATAAAAAGAGAACACTTAAATCCCCTTAGGAATCCCAACCAGAGAGCCTGGAGGAACAGTGTCCTCAGGTGCTGAAAACATGGGCAGACAGGCTTGCTTAGCCAGCAGAGAACAGGAGGGGGCACCCCAAGACTGGAGAAGGACTGGTGTTGTCCTGATTCCCCAAAAGGAAAGAGAGTAAAAGCTCAAAGATTACCCAGCGAACTTAACTTCAATTCCTGGCAAAGCCGGAGAAGGCATTGTTAAAGGGATGGCTCGCAACCAGTTAGAAATGGAAACAGTGATCACAAGGAGCCGTTGTGGCTGCATCAACCATAGGCTGTGCCCGACTGACCTTACTTCGTTTTTTTGTCAGTGTTACTGAACTGAAAAGTCAAGGCGATGCTTCAGGTGTAGTTGACATCTGAAGTTAGCAAAGACTGAACAAAGTATCTCACGATTTTCTGTGGAAAAGGAGAGTTGTGGGCTAGGTACGAGGTATTTGAAACTAGTTGAAAAGTGGAAATGTGGAAACAGGCTTTGTGTGACCTTATATGTATAACGGGTATTGTATTTCTTGCCTTCACAATGGTTGGGGAAGAGAGCAGAGGGAGGGAGAGAATTTGGAACAGAAAAGAAAAAGAAAATTAAAAGTAAAAGAAAGAAACTGGTAGAAAGAGAATGTTTAATGGTTTGATGTCAACTTGGGAGGTGTCTGGTGGAAAGCCCAGTACTGTTTCACATTTCTATCAATGACTTGAAGAAAGGCATAGATGGTACCCTTATCAAATTTGCAGATGACTACAAGTTAGGAGGGGTAACTAACATATAGGATGACCGTCAGGACACACAAAAAAAAAAAACTTGACAGGCTGAAATACTGGGCTAAGTCTAAAATATTTAATGAAGATTAATGTAGTTTTGCACTTGGGTTTGAAAAAAATCAGCCTCACAAGTGTACCATGGGGAAGGCACAACCAGGCAGCAGTTGGTTTGAAAGACATCTGGGGGTTGTAGTGGACCACAAGCTCTATGTGAATTACCAGCATAATGTGACCATGAACAAAGCTACCCTAATCTTGGGCTGCACAGAGAGGAATGGTGTCGAGGACGAAGGAGGCAATAGTCCCACTGTGTGCTGCCCTGGTCAGACTACACTTGGAGAACTGTGTCTGGTTCTGGGCACCCCTTTTAAGGAAAGGTTATTGACAAGTTAGAGGACATCGGTTCAGATTGGTGAAGGGCTTCCGGCACATGCCATTCAGGGAAGGGCTGAAGGATATGGGAGTGCTGAGCCTGAAGACGAGAAGGCTTGGGGGGGATGGAGGAGCATGCAATAGAAGTCTGCCATTGGGAACTTGAAAGGCTGTTCTTTGAGAGAAGGATTGGGCCCAGGGGCAGAACCGGCATTAGGAAGGCTTTTACAGGCCCAGGTTGGACCAGGGGCCTTCTGCGGTCTCCTCCATCTCTTCCATGGCTCCCTGAAGGCCCAGCTGTCATGACTAAGCCCAACCATCTGCTAGAAGTAGGCCCATTTCTTCAGCATCCTCTGCTCAGTCCTGCATTCAAGCCCTCATGCCCCTTCCCCTCCAGGCTTATTCCTGGCTCTGCTTCTTGACTGTGCCTGCCAGGCAGGACACAGAAGCCCCTTCCCCTGGAAGTCCATCCACTCCGGCCTCTCACAGTGGAAGTACCCTCTGCCCCTGATTGGCTGGCTCCTCCCAGACCCTCCATTTTAAGGAAGAGGCCCAGGCCAGTCATGGCTCCAACAGCCCTCCTGGGTTCCCAGACTTTCTCTGGATAACTTCCTTCTCTTGTATTTGTACCCCCAGCACAGTGTATCAGTCACTTCATACATTGTCTGGCACACAGTAAGGGCATCATAAATGTTTGCTGACTTGACTTGGCATAGAAAGGTTTCCCCCATTCCCTCCACCTGCTCCAATTATACAGCCCATCAAATGCAGGGACCCATCCCCTGGTTAGTCATTCCAAAAGAGCCTGTGACCTTTACCTCATTTTAATTCCTCAGGCAAGTGGCCACATTGTCTTAGAACTCTTCAAAGGTTGAATGACTGCATTAACAGGTGGCCCCAAGTCACTCTGAGCTCCAGGAAGGATGGCTGCACCATATGTCTGGGTCTGTGCCAAGTTTGGCATCCACCCTCCTTGGAAGTCTGGAAGCCAAGGCTGGGGAGCGCCTCTTGAGGGAGGCGGTAGACAATTCTTGTCCTGATACAGGAGTCCTCACCAGTAGCCTGAGGCCTCTTACCACTCTGCGACTCTATGGCATAACAAGGTGGCCACACTACCCTGTTATTGCTTAGGCTAAGCTAGAATTGCTTTGGGTTATTCTGTGCATCTTGTCTACTGCTACGATATTTGCTCTCACTTTCTCTGTTCTGACGGGCAAGGCCAGATTTCCACAAGCTATGTCCTCCTAGGCTTCATGCCCACAATCTGGGTAAGCCACCACCAGGTGGAGGATGGAACCCAAACTCTGGCCTCATGGTCCAGACGGCTGGGTGTCCCATTGACCTGGAACAGCCAAGGCCATGACTAAGGTCAAGGAGCTACGTCCTTTACTTCCTTCTCGTCCACCACTGCATGTAACACGGTCTAGGGCACACTGTAGGTGCTTAATAAATGCTCACTGACTTAGAACCTTAGGAAGGCTTCATGCCTTGGTCCTGCCCAGCTGGAGGTGCCCTGCAGAGATCACTCACATTGATCACCCCACTGACGGAAGCTGTGATGATCCTCACAGTGTCCATGGTGACCTTATGAACCATCTTCTCTTCCAGATCAGCCTGAGAACAGCTCTCCTGACGATTCATCTGGAACACAAAATAAGGACATGACATCATGGAGGGAGAGCGGGCTGCTGAGCACCAGGAGAGGCCAACGTAAGAGCATAGGATCACACGGGGTGAGTGACTTGTCCACAGTCACACAGCCAGTATGTGTCAGAAGAAGAATCTGAGCCCAGAAGTCTTGTCTCCAAGGCCAGAATCTTATCCACTAAGCCACACTCTGATCACTCTTTGGCTGGTGTCCAATGGACCTGATGGTCAACATGACGTGGGGCAGAGAGTCCACTGAGCTACTACACAACCCCTTGGTAGTGTTAATAGGTGGACAAATTCAACACTGAAACAGTGAGTGTTTGTGATGGTAAATGGTAGGTAATGCTAGAGACAGGAAGGAAGGAAGGAAGGAAGGGAGAGAGGGAGGGAGGAAGGAAGGAAGGAAGGGAGGAAGAAAGGAAAGAAAAGATCAATAAAACATTTAAAAGAAGCAAAAAGAAATTCAGAAGAAGACAGAAATTTTGTTACTACTTTTTTAAATTATATGCCCATTTCAAAAACAAACTCCATATATAATGCTCTTAGCACAATGCCTAGCACACAGAAGGTCCTTAATAAATGTTTGTTGACTGACTACAATCCTTCTTTGTATGTCAAAATGTTTTAAGTTGTTGATGATAAGCTCACAATAAGTATTTTAAAACAATATGAAACAATTTGGAATTCCTTGAAAGAAAAGGACAGATGCACACACACATGTCCACGCACATGCACACACATGTGGACATGCGTGTTCACGTGAGTGTGCATGCACACGCACGCACGCGCGCGCGCGCGCACACACACACACACACACACACACACACACATACACACACACACACACACACAGCTTGAGCTCCTCCACACTGTCATTCTTCTGAGCCCGAGGGAAACGGTTCAGCTTTGTCTCCTTACCAGCCTGTAGGTAGATAATATAAGTTGCAGGGAGACATATCTTAGGCCCCAGCCTCTGACCCTTTCCTGGTAGCCAGAGATGGCTAGCTGGCCAATGACCCGGAGAATGGCCAGCTTCACCTGATGGAGGAAGAGAGGACACAACCTCAATGACAGGCAGTGGGTTTGAAGCATGATGCCAAGACTATCCCCCAAGAAAGAGGACAACGGTTCCTGGGTCTGATTCGACTCTAAGCTCCCAGAAGGTAGGAAGTACCCCTTAATCTACTCTGTATCACTGACACAGGTACCCGTGGTGCTGTGGACAGAGCTCCAGCTGAGGAGTCAGAAGACCTAGATAACTCTCTTTGCTGCAGTAACTCCCTCCTCTGGGTCTGTTTCCTAATCTGCAAAGTTAGGACTTTGGACTTGACTTCCACCCAGCCTTTGCCTGAAGACGTCCAAGGAGGGGTAGCCACCAGCACCAAAGGAAGCCTGTCCTGTTTGGGGACAGCTCTGATTGTCAGGAAGCTTTTCCTCATGTCAGACCTAACTCTGTCTCTCAGTGACTCCCCCCTGCTGGGGCAGAGCCTCCTCCTGCCCCCTGACGCATGACCACAAGGGCTGGGGTCCCTTAGCAAGGGCCAGCATCACAGAGACACACCAGCCGGATCACCAGAGCCCTCCTTGTTGTTCCCATTTTACAGATGGGGGCAGTTACTGGATGGCCCTGGACATCAGGAGTCTCCCATGCCAATGATAACACAGGTCCGGACAAAGCAGGAACGAAGAAAAGAACAATTCCTCGCCCTTCCCAGCGTGCAGTGGGACAGAGCAGCATGGCTCCCCCTCCCTGGCAGCCTTCAGGCAGACCCTGGATGACCATTATCACAAAACCCCAGGGTCTCAGAGTGGGGGAGGACCTTGAAGGCCATCGGCCCCCTGACCTGAACAAGAGACCCTCCTGACCTCCCTGACAAGGGGCCATCCTACCTCTTCTTCAGGACCTCCAAGAACAGGCATCCCACCATCCCACCCCACTGGTGGTGAGCTGGGGAGGGGGAGGAGAGGGGCAGGCAGGTTTTCCTAAGAGCAGAGCCAGAATCAGCCTCTCTGGCCCTTCATCTATTTGCCCGACCACCGCCTTATGGGCTGGCCACACTCCAGAGAGGAGCTTCTTGGGGGACGTTAGAGAAGGGGGCTCCTGCCCAGTCATGACTTGGCCCAACTGGTCTCTTCTTACTCCAGACCATCCGGCTGTGGTCTAGCCACAGGTGTCTGTCTGCCCTGGCCCATGTGGACCCAGACCCCTCCCGGACCCCCCGTCTCCCTGCCCCATCTCACCTTGGCTCGGGGGTCACAAAGAGCATTTCTAACCACCTTGACAGCAAAGTGCAGGGTCCTGCTATTCATCTCCGGCACTAAAAGGGAGAGACGCCCCACGTGTGTGTGAAGTCCTGCTGAGACACAGCCCCTGCCCCACAGACTGCAGACACCTTGGCCTCCCCTCCCTCCTGCGCTGGGTCCCGTCCTGCAAGCCCGTCTTCACACTGGCAAGGGCTTCAGGGGCCTGCGTCCAAGGTATGCTTGCTCCCCAAGTAAGCTCAGGCACATCCCTCAGCCCCTCCAGCACAGTCTGCTCCTGGGTAAAAGAAGGAGGTTGGACCAGAAGGCCTCCAAGGTCCTAGAGAGCAACTCCTCAATCCTCTCTTTCCTCCAGAAAAAGCCCTCCAAGGCCCAGCACAAGGCCTCCTCTACTAGGAAAACCTCCTGGGCTGCTGCTGCAGCCTGCTTTCACCTTCTTCTCAACCAACCTTGTCCAGAGCACAGCGCCTGTGCCCTACATTTTGGCCCTGAACTGTAATCTGGGCGTTTTAGTGTGTCTTCCTTCTCCAGCTAGACCTGGGGGCCCTGGCAGTCAGGGCCTGTATCTTGTTTAAAATTCAGTGATTTGCTAGAAACAGCATGGACCACCAACACAAATAACTGCTCTTGTTTAATAACTACTTATATTCAAATTCATGGCAAGGCCTAACTTTGCCCTCCTGGCTCAAGCTTGTCCCCACCGAGCCCTCACCCCCACCAGTGACGACCCCTGGCCCCCACCCCCACCAGTGATGACCTCTGGCCCCCACCCCAACCAGTGATGACCCCAGGCCCCCCCCCCACCCAGTGACGACTCCAGGCCCCCACCCCCGCCAGTGATGACCCCAGACCCTCACCCCCACCAGTGATGACCCCAGGCCCCCCACCTCACTAGTGATGACCCCAGGCCCCCCACCCCCACCAGTGATGACCCCAGGCCCCCCACCTCACTAGTGATGACCCCAGGCTCCCCACCCCCACCAGTGATGACCCCAGGCCCCCCACCTCACTAGTGATGACCCAGGCCCCCCACCCCACCCAGTGACGACTCCAGGCCCCCACCCCCACCAGTGATGACCCCAGGCCCCCACCTCACTAGTGATGACCCAGGCCCCCACCCCCACCAGTGATGACCCTAGGCCCCCACCCCACCCAGTGATGACCCCAGGCCCCCCACCTCACTAGTGATGACCCCAGGCCCCCACCCCCACCTGTGATGACCTGAGGTCTCTCCAACCAGTGCACATTTTATTCTCAGTCTAGCAAGGTGCTGGGTCTACGATGAGTCAGTCACATTATTCGGACTGAACCCTTTCATCCCTGCTTGTTGACTGATTGATTGATGTACTGATTCTGTATATGCTCCTGCACTGCAGTCTCCCCCTCCAGAATGTAAGCCTCTTAAGAGGGGGACTTTGTCTTTGTGTTTCCAAAGCTAGCCCAGTGCCTGATACACAGTAGGTGCTTAACAAATGCTTATTGTTTGGTCCCTGAGTGGATGAGGGCTGGAAGGTGTAGACGGGACAGGGAGAGGCTGCTAAAAGGGCCCAGCAGTGAGGTAGGGGCTGCTAGGGCAGAATGCTGGGTACAGGTGTGGTTGCTGTGCCAAGTACTTCTGCCAAACAGTGGGTGGGAGAGGGCAGGGGGAGTAGGGCCAGAAGAACACCGCTGAAATGTATTTCTAAGATGGAAAGGGGCTATCAGAAGCCTTGAGGTTGGCCACCCAGCAGCTCCCCAGCAGGCAGGGGAGGGCAGAGCCGGACCCTGGGCCTCATGGGCAGGACGGATGCAGGAGCAGCTCGAATGGGGCCCACTCACTGTCAGCACTGAGGACGGCCCGGAGCAGGGTAAGCGTCCCCACACGGATGGCCTCCTTCCCCGTCTGCATTTGGTTACAGAAGAATTTCATCAGCTCATCAGGGTAGGAGCAGGCTGGGGAGGAGAGAAGGAAGGAAGGCTAGTGGTGCTGGGGTATGGGAGAACAGAGCCCACAGTCACCTGGAACCAGCAAGCCCTGAGCCATGAAATGAGAAAAAAGGAGAACGCCGGGCTCACAGCCAGAGAGACGGAGACAGAGAGAGGGAGGGGTGGGACAGAGAGAGACAGAGAGAAGGACAGAGAGAGAAAAAGACATAGAGAGAAAGGGAGAGTGGGGCAGAGAGAGAGAGGAGAGAGAGAGAGAGAGAGAGAGAGAGAGAAGAGAGAAGAAAAAGAGAGACAGGTAGGGAGACAGAGACAGTCAGAAACAGAGAGATAGAGACAGAGAGAGGGAGGGGTGGGACAGAGAGAGACAGAGAGAAGGACAGAGAGAGAAAGAGACATAGAGAGAAAGGGAGAGTGGGGCAGAGAGAGAGAGAGGAAGAAAAAGAGAGACAGGTAGGGAGACAGAGGCAGTCAGAAACAGAGAGATAGAGACAGAGACAGTCTGACTGGCTAAGGGAAGGCAGCCTTCTCCCATTGGGGCAGTAGCTGGCTTCAAGGCTCTTACGCAGATAACGTCTCTACCTCAGTCTGGAAGCTCTCCTAACATAACACTAATAATAATAATAATAATAGCAGCAGCTAACATCTCTATAGACAAGCCTGCCTTTGCCCAACAGGGAGCTTCATGCCAGGTTGACATAAATAAAATGGTGGAAGACAGCCCAGGGGAAGCTGGGAGAGCCCTCGGAGGCCAACTGGTCCACGCATCTCATTTCACAGAAGAGCAAACTGTGGGCCGAGAAGGGAGGGCTGAGCGAGGGCTGTGCCCAGGGTAGCCAGGGCATGCATGCCCAGCCCAGTGCTCTGGCCTCAAATCCTAGGGCCCTCTCCACTAGCCCATCCTGCCTCTTGTAGCTTCTGTCTTCCCAGAGAAGACCCAAGTAAAGGACTTTGAGAAGCTTAAGGCATCATAGAAATTGTCACCATTGTCATTGTTGTTGTTATGGCTGTTGTTATCTGGCTCTAAATTCAGACACATTTTGTCATTTCTTCTTGATCCACAGTGGAGGCAACCTTGCAACGTGTATAAATTAAGCTGTTCTGCTCTTCCCTCCTCATGGCCCCAGGGGTCACTCACTCTCAGGCCAAGCTCTGGGCTTCCTAGAACCCACCCACCCACCTCAGCAGGGACAGCAGGACACTCAGGCACCTGGCCTCCAGAGATGTGGTGCATGCTTCAGAAGGGGCCCCCACCCTGCACCCTCCCTGAGCACAGAGGGAGACAGAGGGCCCTGGGACGCAGGCGGGTTCACAGTGCTGCTGGAGATGGCCTGCTGTGTGTCTGTCTGTCTGTCTCTGTATCTCTCTGTCTCTGTCTCTCTGCCACTGTTCCTCTCTCTGTCTCTCTCTGTCTGTCTATGTCTCTCTCTGTGTCTCTCTCTGTGTCTCTTTGTCTCTATCTCTGTCCCTTTCTCTCTTCTCTGTCTCTCCCCCCGACTCCGTCTCTTTCTGTGTCTCCTGTCTCTGCCTGTCCCCTCCCTCTCCCCTTCTCCTTCTGACCCCAGCCTGGCTCTAGGCTCTTCCTCTCCCCTTCCAAGCACCCTGGGCTGCTTTCTCCTTCTCTGCCTCTAACACTAGACACCAGAGTATATGGGGACTCCCTCCTCCAGGGCAGACAAGCACCAGACCAGCAGGGTTTAGTCTTAGAGAGTTCCCTGGGGTTCTGAGGGAAGTGATTTGCCCAGGGTCACCTGGCCAGCAGGTGTCAAAAGTAGGACTTGAACCCAGGTCTTCCTGACTTCAAAGCCTGGCTGCTCTGCCTCTGAAATAGGCCTGTAACATCCCAGGTCCTCAGGTGCAAGCACACTCAGACCCCTGGTGGGTCACCTGTCAACCAGGATGTGCTCAGACGCAGCGGATGAGCAGCAGACACACACATGAATGAAGTGGGGAGCCCTCCCCCACCCACAGCAGCCCCCCCATGGGACCACCTTTCTATAGTGCAGCGGGCTTTCTGCCCCCTCAAGGGTCTCATTTGTTGAATAAGTTCGAGACTCACCCCCAGATTTCTCAAAAGAGACAAGTCGCTAGCTGTTCTCTGATTGAGAGGCAGGGGACACAGGCCCACAGCAGAACAAGACAACAGAGTGGGGTGGGCGGGGGGGTTGACAGGAGGGGAAACAGCGAGCTCTTACTCACCCAGAGCAATGAAGCATTGGACAACTTCAGCCAGGTTCTCACTGCTGAACTGCTGCAGGGTGGGAGCCTTGGAACAGACCTGGAGGGGAGGGGGAGGGGGTGAGAAGGGGGGAGGAGGAGGGAGAGGGAGGAGAGGGGGAGGGGGGAAGGAAGATGAGGAGGGGAGGGAGGAAGGGGGAGGAGGGGGGGGAGCATCAGCCTTGAGCCCTGGCTCTGTCCCTTACTACCTGTCAAAGTTGCTTCTCTTCTCTGGCCCTCAGTTTCCCCCTCTGTAGAAGGAGGGGGTCGGACTGGAAGGCCCTCCCAGGTCTCAGCCGAGGGTCCCTTGAAATAGGCCTCCAGCAGTGGCCCCACCAGTGTGGCCCTGAATACCCCTCACCCACCACCAAACGGTGCCTCCCAGGCCCTAGGCTCCCACAGTGCCCGGCACACAGTAGGTGACTAATAAATGCTTGCTGATTGACACCCAGCACTCCAGAGACCACCATCTCTCCCAAACAGCTGGGCATGCCTGGCTTTGCCTAACTCAGAAGAGTAAGCAAGTTTGCTGAACTCAGATGTGGCAAAATGGTTGCAGGTGACAGGGTAACTCCCAGATGAGGGAGCTCCCTCTACCGATACAGGCGGGCACCTCCCGTGAAGCTGAGGCTCCGAGAGGTGCCGGGGGCACAGACGGGCTGGGGGGGCCGGAGGCAGGTCCACCCCAGGCCTCTTGGTCCAGAAGCTGGCCCTGCGACTCCTCTCCCGTGCTTGTCCTCTGAGATAGGCTTGCGTCTTCTCATGTCGTCTGGCCTTATTCTATTGTTGTTGTTATTGTTTTTTATCCAAGCCCTGGTGAGCCAGGGGACAAGAGTTATTTGTTTTCCAGCATAAAATGAATCCACCGTTTCCTCCATGCATCTATCAGAGATATGCCTGGCACAGAGTAAAGACTAAATGGTCAATTACCTGCCAATTGATTGGTTGAAATGAATTCAGAGTGAAATAAGAGACGAGAGACAAGGATCTTCAGCCCATCTCCCTCACTAGCTGCAGGCTTAAGCACTCTGAGCCTCAGTTTTCTTAAATTATAACCCCTATTATGGCCACCTCCAAGGGAGAAAACAATCCGGGGGTCCTAGTGGGCTACAAGCTCCAGATGAGTTCACAGAGTGACACGACAGCCCAAAGCTAATTGTCTGCAGCGAGGGCCACAGTGCCCAGAACAAGGGAGGAAAAATCGGTCCACTGAACTCTGTCCAGATGCAGACGGCGCCATGTTCAGTTCTGCCAGATGAGGGTAGATGGGACAGAATCAGCTGCTCCTCTTCCGTGTCCCAGAGCACAATCATTAGATCAGCAGCAGCCAGGCTTCCAGCCAGTGACCTGCTGGTAAATGTTTAACAACCAGCTCTCCCAGGATAAAAAGGGGGGATGCACTCTCAGCTCTCACGAGCCAGTTAGAGATGGCTCCATAGCTGCAGTAGAGAGCATCAAAGACTTCTTTAAAGTCTACCTAAAGTTCTTTGAGCACGAGCCCAGCAGCAACGCCCTTTGTAATCCTTGAAGACCCTCATCAGATGCTGGACAGGCACTGGACGGAGGCGGGCGCTGGATGGAGGCGGGCACCACCCCGTGTAGCCCTTAGGGGCCCTCTGCTCCTGCCCAGCTCCAGAATCCAGCGACCTAAAGGGAACAGGCACAGCTTCACCCCCTCACCTGGATGTGCAGCTCGGTAAAGATGGTGTGAAGCTGCATTTTGGGGACTGGTGTGTTGCTGGAGACAGAGACCTCCAGGATCTGCCTCAAGATCTGCCAAAGAGAGACAGCAGTGGGCCAGGGCTCCCGTGTGCCCCCGGGCTGACCTCCCCATCCGGAGCCTGGTGGCTGAGGCTCCGCTCCACCCCCAAAACCCCAGCCTCCCTCACCATCTTTTCTCCTGAACAAACAATGAGCCATTTTGGGAAAACTTTTAAAATATACCTGGGCAAACAGAATGGAATCCACCCTTCAATCCACTTTTTAAAGACAAATTCAGCTGGGGGAGACTGCAAGATCCCAAGACATTACCCACTGCCCCACAGAGACTGGGACGTTAGTCTCTGCATTTAGAGACCTCAGCACGTTGCAAGACTGCTGCTGAGTAGGGAGCTGGGGGATGGGGGAGCAAGCATCCCCTACAGCAGCCTCTTGTTTTAATTAATTGTCCCCAATAACTAGACTTGAAATCTTAGTTGTTTCAATACCAATAAAAGCACGGAACTGCTGCCAGCATCTTCTAAATGTTGGTGCCCTGGGACAAAGGCCAGTTGCCCCACCCTAGTTATGACCTTACTTGTCTGCTACATGTATCTATGCTCCAGCCAGGCTGATGCACTCACGGGCCCCATCATTGCCAGACGTTCTTCTCACTCCAGGCCTGTGGTGTGCTCTATTCTCCCCATGTGGAATACTGCCCACACTGCTTGCCTAGGGCTTGGGCTGCCTTCAAGGCCCAGCTGGAGGCTCTGTAAGGCCTTGCCCCGGCCTCGTTCCCCCTTCCGACCAAGTCATGTTCTTACATTCTGCGCCATCCACTCGAGACTCTGCAGGGGCCCCTCTGCCTACCCAGGTCTCATTGTATGTGTACAAGTCATGCTCCTAAATAGAGCGTAAGCCCTCTGAGGGCAGGAACTCTGTCCTGTCCCCTTTGTTTCCCAGAGCCTGGCACAGGGCGCTTGAGAAATATTTACCGATGATCAAGAGGCAGTGTGGCGCCATGGAAGGGGCCACCAAAAACATTACACACACACACACACACACACACACACACACACACACACACACACACACTCCCAGAGGACTTTGTCTGAATCTCTGCATTGTCCCCAGTGGTATATCAATGTGACGGAATACTATCGTGCTACAAGAAATGATGAGCAGGTGGATTTCAGAAAATCCTGGAAAGACTTGTATGGACTGGTGCTGAGTGAAGTGAGCAGAACCAGGAGAACACTGTACACAGCAACCAGCAACGCTGTGGGATCTGTGTATGTGTCATGACCCTGCCTCCCCCTCAGGCTCCCAGAAGAATGGAAGTTCCCTGCGGGCAGGGATTATTTCATTGTTCTTTGTCTCCCCAGCCCCTAGAACAGAGAAGTCCAGGGACTTGGTCAGGATCACACAGCTAGTAGGTGACTGAGGCAGGATTTGAACCCAGGTCTTCCTGACTCTGGATCTCACATCCTATCCTGTTCTGTTGAAAAACTGTTCAAATTCTGGTCCCTGCAAATTCACCCAGAAAACGCTCCCCACCACTCTATATGCAATACCTTAGGGATGTTCCCTGGTTGCCCCACCCTGGGAAGGAGTCAAAGCACCTGGACAAGAATTCCCACCCATCACGCCAGTGCTCAGCCGCAAGATAACATGAGCCTGGGGACGCCCCAGAGAGCCAGCCAGAGCTTGGGCTTCCTGGGGCAGGATGGAGCCTGGCCGCTCACCTGGGTGATGAAGAGAGCCTCCACGCTGCCCTGGTACTCCGCCAGGAGCAGGGGGATGTAGTCATACACCTGCTCCCGCAGCTTCTCAATGGGCAGGAGGAGACTGAGCATGGGGTGCAGGGACTTGATCACGGCCAGCTTGACCTGTCACAAGAGGAAGACCAGCTAGGCCTCATCCTCCATCTCCCCAGACAGCATGAAGGAAGAGAAGGAAAAAGAGGAGGAAGAGGAAGAGAGAAGGAGAAGGAAGAGAAGAAGGAAAGGGGGAGAAAGAGAAGAGGAAGTAAAGGAAGAGGAGAAAGCGAAGGAGAAAAGGAAGGGGAAGGAGAAGGGAAAGAAGAAGAAGGGGAAGAAAGAGAATGAAAAGGAGGAAGAGAAGGAGGAAGAAAAGGAAAAGGAAGAGGGGAAGGGAAGAAGGAGGAAAAGGCAAAGGAGAAGGGGAAGGAAAAAGTAGAATGAAAAGGGAAAAAAGAAGGGGAAGGGAGGGGGAAAGGAAGAGGAGAGGAGAGGAGAGGAGAGGAGAGGAGAGGAGAGGAGAGGAGAGGAGAGGAGAGGAGAGGAGAGAGAGGAGAGGAGAGGAGAGGAGAGGAGAGGAGAGGAGAGGAGAGGAGAGGAGAGGAGAGGAGAGGAGAGGAGAGGAGAGGAGAGGAGAGGAGAGGAGAGGAGAGAAGAGAAGAGAAGAGAAGAGGAGAGGAGAGGAGAGAAGAGAAGAGAAGAGAAGAGAAGAGAAGAGAAGAGAAGAGAAGAGAAGAGAAGAGAAGAGAAGAGAAGAGAAGAGAAGAGAAGAGAAGAGAAGAGAAGAGAAGAGAAGAGAAGAGAAGAGAAGAGAAGAGAAGAGAAGAGAAGAGAAGAGAAGAGAAGAGAAGAGAAGAGAAGAGAAGAGAAGAGAAGAGAAGAGAAGAGAAGAGAAGAGGGGAGGATGAGGAAGAGGAGCTGACTGAGGCAGCTGCCTGCCCCTGCTGTTCTGGACGGCCTCCACAGTGGCCGTTGCTCACCTCAGTGTTCTCACTTCGGAGCCACACAGTGACAAAATGACGGTACACGGGCAGAAGCTTATTCATGAAGTGCTCTCCGGTCATGATGGGATACACACTGTCCTCCCAGTGCTTTAAATAAAATTGGATTGCCTCACAAAATGTTTCCATAGCTGCATGTTAAGCAAAGCAGAGGAAAGGAAGCAGTGAGGAAGAAGGGGGGAAGAAGCCAGCATCTCACTCAACGAGGTCTCCACACCCAGAACCTGCTCCAGCTCTGAAGCTCCAAAGCTGTAGATTGTCAAGGTCACTCCCAGGACAGCCATCCCTGTATCCCTCCCCAGTTCTGAGGTCACATCCTAGAATATTTAATATCAGGGCCCTGGATGCCTTCATCCACAAAGAGATTTCATGGTAAAATCTAGGATGCAGTCATTAGATAGCAGGTAATCTCCAGAGATGGTCCCTCTGCCCAGAATACCCTTCTCCATGTTATATTGACCTATTGAAATCCTACCCATCCTTCCAAATTCAGCTCAAATGCCACCTTGGTTGTAAAGTCTGCCCTGATTCTCCCAGAAAGGTGTGGCCTTTCCTTCCTCTGAACTTGGAGAGAATTTTGTTTGAACCTTTCTCACACTGCAGTAGGCCTTATATTACTTGTGTACTTGTCTCATGAATAATAAAAGCTAACATTGGCCTGGCTGTCACTGTGTGCCAGGCACTGTGCTAAGCACTTCACACACATTATCTCATTTGGTCCCACAACAGCCTGGGAGATAGGCGCTATTATCATCCTCATTGTACAGATGAGGAACAGTGACCAGCCCAGGGTCACACAGCTAGTAAATGTCTGATGCCACATTTTAACTCAGGTCTGCCTGACTCTAGACCTGGCTTGAGGGTAAAAACTGCCTTTGTCATCAGTTGTACCCCAGCCCCAGTATCCAGCACGATGATAGATCCTCAGTACTATTGAATGGATGCATGGTGGATGAATGAACAATTAAAAGAGAAAGTCACCCCCTTCACTCCCTCCCCCTGCCTGCCCCTCAGAAACCTCCAGACCGTGGAAGTGTACTCACCACTGCAGAACACCTGGCGCATCTTGGCCCCGCTGGCCAGTCTCAGCATGGTGAAGATGGTGGCCAGTGTGATCCCCATGTAGGGCATAAACTCAAATACTGTGAAGGAGGGACAAGATGAGCTGGGCAGAGGGGGGCATGAGGGAGTTGTCCCCATCACCTTCCAAGCTCCCCAGCCCTCCAGACCCACCAAGAGCAGCCTTTGGTTCATCTACACTTGTGGTCACAGGGAGGGGAAGGTTGAGGTAGAGGGAAAGAGAAGGGGAAGGAGAAGGTGAGAGAGGGAAGAGAGATGGAGAGGAAAGGAAGATAGAAATAGCTATGGAAAGAGAGAGGAGATGGAGAAGGACAGACATGGGAGAGAAGGAGAAGACAGAAAAGAAAACGGAGAAGATGGAAAGTGGAGGGGGCTAGAGGGGAAGGGCAGAGGGGACACACCATTACCATTAGCATTGGCCAAATTGGCTAATGTGATGAGGACAAACTCATCGGTCAGGATCAAGGGTTTGAGATGGTGCTGCAGCTCGTACATGACAAGGTTAAAGTGGTTTCGGGACAGAGCCACCAATGTGTCACTGGCCGTCTCTGCCAGTAGGTACCCCTCGATCTGGAAGAGAGAAGGATACAAACCTAGAGAGAGATGCTCAAGCTTCAAACCTCCTGACCCACCACCACAGCCACACCAAAGGCCTTCTCTGCTCTGCTCCTCCTCCTGCTCTTCCTCCCTCTCCCCCTGGCCCTCTTCCTCCTTCTCTTCCTCCTCCTCCTCCTCCTTCTCTTCTCCCTCTCTCTACATTCTCTCAGAGAGGCTCATGCTCTCTTTCACGAACCAGTTCCTTCTTTGCTCTTTCAGAGAAGGATGCCCACCTTAGAACCCCCAAAGACACACAGATACACACAGACACGCCCCAACACGCTATAGTGGAAAGAACACTGGTTCTGAAGCCAGGGAACCTAGGCTCAAACCCTGCCTCTGATGCCATTATGGTACCCTTCAAATGGAAGCACCTTGGGGTACAACAAATAAGTATCATGAGACAATAGAAAACAAGACGCCAGAAGGAAAAACACGATGAAATAATATGAGCCACAGCCCCAGAAATGAAACAGCACCTGGAACCCTCAAGACTCTTCCATGTAAATAATAAGTTAATGAAGAGAGATAGTGAAAGATGAGAGCATCAACAAAGATGGAACCAGTAAGGGAGGAAGAAAAAGATGGCCAGGCGGTTCAGTGCTGAGATCCATTCTGGGTTCACTGAGGAATGGAATCGTTCTGATGGTGGGCCAAAGAAAAAGCTGAATAAGCCAAACCAAAGAGAAAAAGGAATTTAAGAGTCAGGGCAATGGGAAGAGGATTTAAGAAGGCTGTGAGTGAAGGGACACCCACAGAAATGCATGCTAAGTTCAACTTGTCCACATGTTGTCATCAAACTCAGATTCAACGAGAGAGGCGATATTGCAAACGGCCAGAAGGAAACACATCACATATTTTAAAACACCGATCCAAATCGCACAAGATTTCTCATCCAGCATAAGGATGAAAGGAGAAATGGGATGGGAAATATCACAAATCAAGAAAAATAGGACTATAAGAGAGAAAACAGTATTAACTTAAGAAAGAGATTCCAGACAGTCCTAAAGAAGAAGTCTAGTCCATCCAGGGCCTTTGATATGTAGCTCAACCATAAAACAGGTTAATAAGTCAGAGTGGTTTTAAACCAATGAGTGAATGAGTGTTGACTCTACAGTCTGCTGTGAGCAGATCTCACTAGCGTCACTTTGAGGTCCCAGTTTGTCAGATGGCCAGACATCTGGGAAAGACTCGCTGCAAACCGAATCCCGTGAAAGAGGAACAAAAGCCAGCCAGTGACCTTGCGGAAGAGGGAGGGGTGGAATAGGATCGCCATGAGAGTGGGACTTATACATGAAAAAACAAGTGATTTTGAGGAGGAAGCCACGGCAAAAGAGGCGTCCTGTCTGGGACCATGAGAAGGACAGGAAAAGCTCTGAAAACCTTCTTCGGCAGCAGCAGAAATTTGGGAATTATTTACTCTTGTTGGGGAGAATCTTGGGGGACGTGTATAGAAGCAGTGGCAGGGTTAACATCACTGAAATAAAATGTTTACATGTTTTTAAATTTATAAAAATTGCATGTAAAAATAATTAATATTCACAAAATCTAGTTGAGGGGAAAAAACCTAGACTGTGATAATGTTGTATAAATGAAAAGTACATCCTTATGAAAAAGGAAAGAGTTTCAAAAAGGGTTTAAAAAGCAGAATCCAAAATGTAGGGTCTATAAGAAACATACCTGAGGCATCAAGACACTAAAGGTTTAAAGCAGTGACCATCCATAAGGAGCCCTGTGAGTTCCATGTTGACTTAGAAAACCACATATTAACATTATCTATGTTCTATTGTATTTTTATTTATTTTGTTAAATACTTCCCAATTACAGGGGGAGCTAGGTGGCCCAGTGGTTAGAGCTCCAGACCTGGAGTCAGGAGAACCTGAATTCAAATCTAGCCTCAGACACTTGACACTTACTAGCTGTGTGACCCTGGGCAAGTCACTTAACCCTGATTGCCTCAAAAAAAAAAAAGGTATTCCCAATATATTTTAATCTGGTTCAGCCTGTGCTAGGCCATCTCCAGTATAAAATAAATAAAATATCTTTTGTCTGTTTTTAGAGTAAACTATTTTGGATTATTCAATTTCAGCTGATTCTTGAAAATTAGGAGTTATACACATGATTCCAGACAAACTAAATTCAAAGTACAAAGCGTTAAGACAACTAAACAGAGAAGCTATAGCACACTTAAACAAATTACACATATGTGTGTGTGTGTGTGTGTGTGTGTGTATGGGTTTACAAGAGTGGCCTCCTGAGAGGATATTACTGGGAAGTCTATTTGCGCTCAATGGAAGAACTGGACTTTTCATGGAAAACTTAACGGAATGCTACTACGCCCCAAGGAATGAATTGTGAGATGACGTCAAAGAACGACGGAAAACTGTCTTAGAGTGGGGCAAGGGAGGGGGCTGGAGGGCTGCAATGCTGCGAATTTCCGCAGTTTAACCAGCCCCCAAAAGCCATTTTCCATGCCCCAGACAGGCATGCGGCTGCCTGTGCTGCCCAGGCTAACAGATGCAGGTTTTGCTTCTTTTAACAGCCAGGAGATAACCCGAGGATCTACTCTCACCCAATCATCGGTAACATTTTTTGCATTGCTTTACTTTCTTCAGGGTTTTTTAGTTTGTTTATTTTGTTTGCATTTTGTTGTTGCTGCTGTTAATGCTTGGGTGAGGATGAGAGTCCTAGGAAAAGGCAATCCTCGAAACCCCCCTCCCACCCCATCCCCCCCAACCCTATGACCGCACCTCTTGGATCTCCCTCATTTCCCTGGAGGCGAGGTTCACCAGTGTCTGCACGCACTCCTCGTCCAGCTCCCCTTCCTGCTGGATGATGCCCTGGAGAATGGTGTAGATGCTGACCTTCCGCTTGATGGAGATCTGGGGAGGAAGCAGAGGACTTGGCCATGGGCCTGGGAAGCCGGCTGGCCTTGGGATCGGGGCCTGGGCCCTGCTGACTCCCCCCACATAAGATCTCTAAGAGTTGTCGATGTCCATTGTTACTCCCACGGCTGCCTAACTTGGGGACCTTGGGCATGTCTTCTAACCTTGATGTCAAGCACTCCACCAGGCTGCCTGTTAATTGACTCGCTCATCATCCTTGGGCTGCCCAGATGCTCCCGTCACTGGCCGCCCCTCCCCTGTGTATGTTTGGTCTCCCCATTAGAACAGAAGCTCACTGAAAGCAGGGTCTCCGGCCTATCTCACGTTGGTATCTATAGCCCCAGAGCTTACCACACAGCGAGCCTGGAATAAAGGCTTTTTCACCCCTTTAAGAGGTCCGTTCACCTCTGTGACTGAGCCGTGGCAAGAACCCGGGCTCAAACTCAGCCGGCTCTGAGATTCACTCCCTGTATGGTCTTGAGCCCAGCTGGGTAGGGCTGCATGACCTCCCCCATCCCCTCCAGCTCAAAAGCCTCTGATCTTCTGATTCCCCAAAGCCCTGGGCCTGAGGCGGGCTGGCACGCAGAGAATCACAGGGCCCCAACTTCCATTTCCTGTCCTGCTTCTCAATCCTCTCCTATAGGAGAAGCTTGGCTTTAGCTGGCCAAGACCGGCCAGTAGAGAGGGCGCCATCCCCCAGCCACGTTTGAGGGCAGCCTCTCCTCCACCCTCTTCATCAGCTTCATCAACTTCATCACCCTCAAACCTTCAAGGCCCAGCTTAAGTCCCTCGTCTTTGGTAAGCCCTTTCCTGAATGGCACCATGGTGGAGTAACAGAAATAGTCATATTCTATTTAATAGTGCTGTAAGGTTTGCAAAGTACTTTACAAAGATGCTCTCATCTGATTCTCACAACCCTGGGAGGTCAGTGTTGTTATTATTATTCTCATTTCACGGTTGAGGAAACTGAGGCAGGCAGGGGTTAAGTGACTTGGCCAGGGTCACACAGCCAGCATGTGTCTGAGGCCCTGACTCCAACCCCTTACAGTCAGGGAATCCTTTTCGACCCTCTCCACGTGGCCCCTGCGAGTGCATGCCAACGCACGTAGGGGCTTCTTGGGAGCATCCTACCTCCCCCAGCTGCAGGCTGTGGATGAGCACCGTCATGACCTCTGAGGGCTCCTCATTAGCTTTCTGGATGATGATTGTGCTGGCCAGCGCCTTGCGCATCTTGGACCCGTGACCCTCTTGACTGCTGAGACCGGCACCCTCCTGGTCATCTTCATCCACGATGTTCAGGAGGTTGGTGACTTGTTGGTAAACCCCTGAAAGAGCCAGGCTACTCTGGTGACAGATGCCGCTGCACACACAGACGCGTAAGGAAGGTGGTACCCTATACCAGCTGCTGTGAGGAGGGCTGGGGAGCCCATTCTTGGCCCAAAACATTTCCCATGACCACGTGACAAATGCCTGAAATTTTACCATGAGAGATTGATTCCTTTGGATTAAAGCATCATCTTTTACTCATAATGGGAGTTTTTTAAACACTTGCTGTATCCCAGAAGCTCCTAACCTGGAATCCGTGAACTTTTTAAAAAAATATTTTGATCGTTATATTCCAATATAGTCAGTTTCCTCTGTGTGTGTGTTTTAGTTCCTTAAATTCAATACACCAACAAGTATTTATCAAGGGTCTCCTATGTGCCCAGAGCTCTGCTAAGAGCCAGGAATGAACAGATTCCTCCTCTCGATGAGCTGACCTTCCAGGAAGGCTCACACAGGCTCAGACAGGCCAATGTGGGTAGGGTGGAAGGAATGCCTGACCCAGAGAAGGGAGAACTGTGTTCAAACCTGCCTCAGTGACCCTGAGCCAGAAGCTGAAGCATGGGCCTCTATTTCCCCATCACAGCACCATTGGGAGGACTAAATGAAGTTGTGGAGGAAAAGCCTTTGGGAAACTTTAACCACCAACAAAAATAGATGCCCTGCTGTCTTTTCTTTCTTCCCTCTCCTAAGGGCAGCTGGTGAGCCCAGAGCACTTGGGAGTCACGGGAGGGAGGGTGGGTGTGTGGGTGAGTGGGTGGGCTTCAGAAGAGCACGAGGGGAGATTGGGGAAGTCTGCCCACATCACCACCCTACTGAGAGCCCTCCCTGGGAGGCAGGAAAGGGACGAAGACCCTCTTCTCCGGCAGAGCAGCCGCCAGCCTCCAGCAGACCAGCACCAGCGGCCTGGGTCAGTGACTCGGGCTCGGCCCCAGGACAAGGAGTGCTCTCTGTGAGCAGCTGGCCCAGGGCAGGAAGACTGCAGTGGTCAGGGCGCCCCTTGGGGCAGGTGAACCAGAGCCTCTCTCTCCTCCTCTGTCCAGCCGGGACAGGGTCCGAAATCCCAGGGAGGAATGCCCTCCCAGCGTCCTTCTGTACCTCCGGACGACGGCCCAGGTGACCCAGGCAGCTCTGAGGCCAGCATCGGGTTTGAGATGCTCAGCCTGGCAGGGACCAGAGCCTTCTTCTCCATGCCCCCTCCGTCCTCTTCCTCGGACCACACAGCTTTGGTGATGCTTCACCCTGGAGAAGAAAGGAAAGAAGGAAAGAAGGGGAGAGACAGAGACAAGAGAGAGAAGGAAGGAAGGAGAGAGGGAAGAAGGGGAGGAGAGAAGGAAGGAGGGAAAGAAGGAAGGGAGGGAAGGAAGGAAGGAAGGAAGGAAGGAAGGAAGGAAGGAAGGAAGGAAGGAAGGAAGGAAGGAAGGAGGGAGGGAGGGAGGGAGGAAGGGGAGAGACAGAGACAAGAGAAGGAAAGAAGAAAGGAGAGAGGGAGGAGGGAGGAGGGGAGGGAGGGACAGAGGCCATCAGGGTGGCCGGGAGGGTCCAGCTGTGGTCTGGGGTCAGAGGTCCCAGGTTCAGGCCCCCCCGCCATGCTGGCTCCCTGTGTGACCTTCCCTCCTCCTTCCTCCCCCTCCCGGGCCTCAGTTTCCCCCTGTGTCTGATGGGGCACCCCTGACCCTCGGTCCCCTGGCCTGCCCCCCCCCCGACGACGCCAGCCGGGCCCGGCCTCTTACCCTCCGGCAGCGCCCCAGCCTCTTCCCCAGGCTGGCCAGCAAGGACTTCCTCCCGGGCCAGGCCTCTTGCTCTCTGGCGCCCCCTGCAGCTGCCTGAGAGGGGAGGCCCAGGCCCTGCAGGGAGGGGCGGGGAGGAGGGGCAGCTCTAGGGGCTGGAAGCCTCTGCTGACCTTCGCCCACCCCCTGCAGGCCCAGCTGACAGCAGAGTGCCCTGACCCCTGGGCGTCCTTTGGAAGGAGGCCTTTAGGAGAGCGCCCCACGACTCTGAACAGCCCTTCTGGCCCCGTCCGGGCTAGCCAAGTCCTTCCCAACACAGATGGTCCGGGGCTGACCACAGCCCTGGCCATGGGGCCCAGCCAGGGCAGGGGAGTCAGGACCTTCACTCTCCGAAGCCCTCAAAGGTCTATCCCACAAGCTTGCTGGCCACTGGGACCCCCGGACTTTTCTCAGATAAACTGCTACCCCCCCCCCATCCTGGTCAAGTCATTTTTTAAAAATAAGACTTTATTGTAATGGAATACTATTGTGCTATAAGAAATGATGAGCAGGCCGACTTCAGAAAAACTTGTATGGACTGATGCCGAGTGAAATGAGCAGAGCCAGGAGAACGTTGTACACGGCAACAGCCGCGTTGTGCGATGCTAATATTGATAGACTGAACCCTTCCCAGCAATGCAAGGATCTAAGACATCCCCAGAGGCCTCATGATGGAAAATGCTGCCCACATCCAGAGAAAGAGCTATGGAGCTAGGATGCAGATCGAAGCAGACTGTTTGCTATTTTTCTTCTGTTTTGTTTCCTCTTTCTCATTGTTCCTCCTATTGGTTCTTCCTTACAACATCACTAATGTGAAAATACGTTTAATAGGAATGCATATGTATAGCCTGTATCAGATTGTGCGCCGTCTTGGGGAGGGAGGTGGGGAGGAAGGGGGAGAAAAATTTTAAATTCAAAAGCTTATAGAAGTGATTGCTGATAGATCAAAATAAATTAATAAAAACATAAAATGAAATAAGACTTCATTCCCCCCCCAGCCCAAACGTGATTCCATTAGCGTGGAGAGCTCCTGGTAAATTCACTCCCTCCATCAGAGCAGACAGTAAACATTATACAAATTAATTAAGCTCTTGGTGGCCCAGACGTTTACTCCTGTCTCTATTAGCCTCTCACCTATGGAGAGGCGACTTTCTCGTCCAATGGGTTAGCTATGCCCTAGTGCAAACTAACTAAGCATCCCATCTCTAGCAGCGGCAAAACCACTGATAAAAATGTTAACCAGCGTTGGACCAAGCACAGAGCCCGGGAGCGCTCTACTGAAGACCTTCCGAGGAAATATCGGGTCATCGACGAATCTGGGGCCCTGCAACCCAGTCGGCTCTGAATCTCTGTAACTGGATTGTCATCTAACCCGCATCCCTTCTCCTCGTCCACAAATACAGCGTGTCAGAGATTTTGTCAAGTGTCGTGCTAAAGCCTTGATAAACTGGCCAGACTAGGAAAGCTGAGGTTGGTCTGGAATGACCTTTTCTTGGTGAGAATGGAGTTCACGTTGACTCTTTGTGATCATTGCCCCCCTTCCTCCACGTTCACCAGCCATCTCTTTAATCATCTAATCCTCTATATGCATGCTCGAGTCAACATCAAGCCCACTGACCTGTAGTTGGCAGGGCCAACTTCTTTCCCCAGCTCCCCCACTAAAACTCCACATTTTGTTTTTTGGGGGTCAAATTAAGACATTTGCCCCTCTCCAATCCTCTAGCACCCCTCTGGCTCTCCAATATCTTTCAAAGATCATTGGCTTTGGGGCAGCTAGGTGGTGCAGTGGGTAGAGCGCTGGCCTTGGAGTCAGGAGGACCCGAGTTCAAATTCAGTCTCAGACACATAACATTCACTAGCCGTGTGATTCTGGGCAAGTCACTTAACCCAATTGCCACCAAAAGAAAAGAAAAAGATCATTGGCAGTGGTCAGGCAATCAGTTTTCTCAATATGCTAGAATGCAATATGTCTGGGCCTGGAAAATTGACCTTATCAGAGAAACAGACAGACAGATAGAGACAAAAAGGGGTAAGAAAGAAACAGAGAGGAGGAGGGGAAAGGGAGGGAAACAGAGAGACAGAAGGAAGAGAGACAGAAACAGAGAGAAGGAAGAAGGGAGAAAGAGAGAGGGAGGGAGGGATATTGAGCTGGGCACAAGTTAAGAGATCATTCATTCATCATATTTCCCACAGAAAAGACAACCAGCTCTCCTATCTTGCAGTATAGGTCTTTGTGGAGATGGTGTTCCCCACTCTGCACCACAGCCCACCACCGCTATTTTCTTGGAGAGGAGAGCTTAATCTCCTGGTGGCTACAGAGTGTGTTTTCACCATTCTTCTGTTACTCATTTTCATTCTTAAGTAAATCTAAAATTCATGATTGTCCTTTTTTTCAGAGGTGCAGGACTGTGGAGATGGAGCATGGTATACCCTGTCAGCCTTGGTTAATGTATTGGTTAGTTCTGATGACCTGCCTTTTTCTCCCTCTTTTTTGTTTAAAGGGGTGGTTTCCTAGGAAAGGAAGAGAAATCATTACAATTCTAATAATAGCTAGCATTTATACAGAATTTTAAGTTTTGTAAGGTGTTTTGCATAAATGCGCCATTTTATTCATGCCTCACAACAACCCTGTGAGATAGGCATTATTATTTTCCTCATTTTTCAGATGAGGAAACTGAGGCATAGATAGGTTAAAGTGACTTGCCCAGGGTCACAAAGCTAGTAAGTCTACGAGATAGAATTTGGAAATGAAGGAAATGACTTTTTTTAATCTACAAGACTTTTCAAATTAAAAATAAAATTAATGGTCCTGTAGAATAGGCTGGTACAAATAGAGTTCAGACAATTTGCAAAATTCCCAGCATTCAAGTCTATTAGAAGCCAAGCTCTTCTGAGAGCAGACGCCATCTCATTTTTGTCTTCATGTCTCCACCATCTAGTAGAGTGTCTGGCACATAGTGGCTACTTACAAAATCATTGTTGATTGGTTGATTCATTTGAAGCTCCTTTGAGTGAGAGCTCCAATCAGTTGAAGTTTATTCTCCCTTCACCAGAACATACACAGATGCTCAGGCACACATGGGAGTGTGTGCGCTTACACGCACACACACACACACACATACTGAACCTAGTAATCTATGAAACCTTCATGGTGGAGAGGAAGAGATGATTTCTATCAGTACAAGGTAATTCCATGGTTAAGCAAAGGACTTGGCAAGAATCCTTTAAGCTCCAGCCCCCCAAGTCAGGAAGCTTTAATCTGCAAAGAAGTCTCTGCTTGTCCCAGAGCTGGCTTGGTTTCCAGGGGGATAATGAAGGCACGGAAAGACGAAGTAGTAGGAAGCCCTGCTAAGACAAGATGGGGCAGAAGAAAAGGTCAATTGTCTCTGTGATTATTACATCTCAGAAAAAAGAAATAGGTCATGATTTACATGAGTCTGAGTGTCTTTCAGGGTTCTACATCCACATGATAAATGTCCCTTCTTCCTCATTACTCTCCCCTTTTTCCTGAAGAGCCACAGAGCTGGGAATGCTACCGGAGCAGCCAGCAGGTACCCTTTGAGAAGCAAATTGAGGCCAAGAGAAGAGGCGTTCAGGATGGCTGTCAGGATGAAGAGAGCCTCTCTGGCCCTGTACCTACTTTCTTATGTTAAGGAGGTGGGGCAAGCGCCAAGTCAGAAGAGGTTTCCAGAAAGGCTCAAGCAGACAGAGTGGCATCTGAAGAGGGGATGGACAAGAAATCCAGCCTGAATCCAGAAGGGAAAGCCTGACATGCTGCCCTTGTTCAGGAGGTCTCTGGCTAACTCAACTGTGACCTTCTAGAAGGCAGTGAGAGGGAAAGCCAATGGGCCACACAGGCCAGTAGTGGGAAAGCTTTGCCCCATTTGGGGTGCTGGCAGCTCCCAAGAGGGCTGCAGAACTTAAGCACTATACTCTCTCTGGAATGACTGGCTTTGGGACATCGCTCTAGGCTTGTAGGCAGCCTAGGTAAGGGAGGTGCCGCAGACAGCGTCTCCACAGCACTCATTTCCTATCCATTCTTCATTTACTCCTTTCACGTCTTTGCTCGCAAGTGAAGACCATACCACTAAATCACATTCATGGTTGGCTCCACTGTGCCAAACTCGCTGTTTAGGGGTCATTGCAATACAGCAGATCAGGGAGGACGGCACAGATTCCCTGCGGGCGAGCCTTGTGCCAAAATTCTCTTTGGGTAAGTCCACACTGATCATACCCCCTGGAGTATCAAGGTGAGCAGAGGCCACCCACCAGCGCAGTCATGAAGGAGACGGGTCCCCTGCTCTCCGAGGGTGAAGTCTCAAAGAGCACGGCATTTCTCTCCCCCATTGTTGATCTTCACCAAAGTTCTTTTCTGCTGACTGTTAAAAGTCCTATTCAATAGCAACAAAAGAAAGAGGCTCCCAAAGAAGGGAATCCCTCCCATCCCCTGGCCCCTGCATTAGCCTCCCCATCCCACCCCCAGGAAAACAATCCTATCCAAACAAAGAGCTTCGAATAAAAGCAAACCTGGAGACAGTCATTTGATAGGTTGATAGGTTCCTGGCATTATCAGTGGTCCCTGAATGAGGGCAGGGTCCACACAGCCACCATGAACATGAAAATGGAAATGATTCTCATTCCTTGGGAGAATAACCCATGTAGCCACCATGATCATCCCAGGGACTACCCTTAAACTTCTCAGCCATCCCAAGCCTTCTTGGAGCAACCACCCATACTGGAGCCACCGCCCCCACTTCCACCCACACCTTCTATATTCTTTTCTTTTCTTTTTTTTTTTTTGGCCAGGCAATGGGGTTAAGTGACTTGCCCAAGGTCACACAGCTAGTAAGTGTTATGTGTCTGAGGCTGGATTTGAACTCAGGTACTCCTGAATTCAGGGCCAGTGCTCTATGCACTGCACCGCCTAGCTGCCCTAAAATAAATGTTCGAAGGCATATACCATTGATGAAGGAGGAGATCCAGAACAAAGTCCAACTTGAAGGGAGATTTTCTGAGGATGATTAGGTCCTGCAGGAGTGTGGGTGCCATTATGTTGGTGCATCAAATTCTGGAATGTTGAAGAATCTGCCTTTTTTGTGTGTGAGGCAATTGGTGTTAAGTGACTTGCCCAAGGTCACACAGCTAGTAAGTGTCAAGTGTCTGAGGCTGGATTTGAACTCAGGTCCTCCTGACTCCAGGGCCAGTACTCTATCCACTGCAAAGTCTCAACTAGTAATTTGGGCACATGGTGCAATTCAGTCAAAATAGGGGGCAGGGCAAGCTTCTGGGAAGTGTGCTCACAGCCCAGAAGACAAAAGGCCATCTTTCTCTTGCTAAGTATGAACTAAGCTTTGTGTTTCTGGTTTCAGAAGGAGCCTAAGTCTTGTCAAACACTCTAAATGTCTCATCCGAGGGAAAGGGTCCAGTCACCTCGTCTTTGTCAAGGAAGGAGCTCGCTGGAGCCAGCTCGAACAGACTCCCACCCTCGCTAATTCTGCGAGTGAGCATTTACATCTCAGAAAAAAGGCAAACCGTAAGGCAAAGGCCGGCTGCATTGTTTAGCTACTTGCCAAGACTTAAGAAAATGATGGAGACGTTTAGTCATACCAATCAAACTTAATAGTGTGTGAACATGCACGTATGTGAACGCATATCCAGATACCTGTGTATCTTTGGAGAGCCACCGGTCATTAGACATTGACCGTCCCGCAGGCTGGATAGGGCTCTGGCTAAAGGAGCCCAGTGACTGGAAGACTGACCATCAGCACCACAAACACGATCATTACAATACAAAAGGAAAACAGCAGGAGCAGCTTCCTCTTTTTAAAGGCAGGTTGTTGGTCTTGGGTGGAGTTGTTGATGGTTCCGGGAAGGGCCGGTTGTGGATTTGAGACCTTGCTGTCTGATTGGCTCTGGCAGAAGATGCCCAGCAAACATGCCTCGCAGTTCTCAGTGTCATGAGGCCCACTGACAATGGCTGATCTGAAAGGGTCCTCCCGGGCTGCCCCAAGGGGAACACTTTCCCCGTAGCACTTCAGCAGAATCTGTGCCACCAGACAGCCCAGGACCCCCTGGATGCCCTTCTGGCTGAACTCGGGCTCCTCAAACAGGGTCGTGCTGCACTTCTGACAGTGCTGAGCAAAGACCCTCATCTTGACCTGGCCATAGGGTTTCTGCAGGCACATCTGGAAGAGAATCAGCACCTGGGCCGAGACCCAGCTGTGTCCACACAAGGAGCACTGAAACTTGAGGCAGGAGAGAGAAGAGTCAAGCAGTCTGTCCAGAGTGGTCCCACAACCCCGTGGGGCTCAAGGGGCCATCAATAACATCTAAGCCTACTCCTCATTCTGCAGAGGAGATTCGTGGCATCCTAGAGTTTGAGATGTGAGGAATCTTAGAAGCCAACCATTTATTTTATGGCTGTGGAAAAAGTCTGAGGCAGGATTTGAACCCAGGTGGTCATGACCCATTATTCATATCACCATTCTGCCTCTCAGGTTGAGGCACAAGATTCCATAACTAGGTAAAACCATGGCGTGAATTCAACCAATAAGCATTTCTAGGTATGGGTGGAGCAACTGGGAGTCAGGAAAACCTGAGCTTGCATCCTGTCTCAGATACTTACTGTCAAGTCTCTTAACCTGCCCACCTCAGTTTGCTCCAGCGTAAAATGGGGATAATTATAGGGTTAAGAGCTTCAGGAATGTGATTTGGGCAGCTTTGTGGAGGGTAGATTGGAAAGAGAAGAGCCTTGAAACCGATGAGAAGGCCCATGCCACATCATTCGGGGAGAGGGGATGAGGGCCCAACCTGGGGCTATCTGAGTGGCAAGAAGGGAGTAAACACAAGACGTGTGGGAGAGGTTGAATTCACAAGACTCAGCAGCCACTTAGATTTTGATACAGAGATAATGGCACATGTAATAGGCCCCCACAGGGTTGTGGGGAGAAAAGACCAGAGGAAACCACCTACTCAGATGTAAACCTTCAGGTGGTATGTAAATATGAGCAGTGGTTTGCAAGAGGACAATTTGTGTAAAGCAATACCATGAAGGGTCCTTTGGAGATGTCTTCCTCTCTGGGTCTCCCCAGATCAGCAGAGCCCACAAGTGAACCTGACTCTGCTATTTACTCAAAGTGTGGTCTTGGGCAAGTCACACTTTCCCTTTCTGGGACCCAGTCTCCTCATCAATAAGTGAGGGGGTTGGGCCAGATGACTTAATATTTTATTTCATTTTTTTAATTAATTTATTTTATCAACAATCACTTCCATATGCTTTTGAGTTTAAAATTTTTCTCTCCCTTCCTCCCCACCACCCTCCCCAAGACAGAGCACAGTCTGATATAGGCTATACATATACATGCCTATTAAACATATTTTCACATTAGTCATGTTGTAAGTAAAAATTAGAACCAATAGGAGGAATCACCAGAAAGAGGAAACAAAACACAACAGAAGGAAAAAAAATAGCAAATAGTGTGCTTCAATCTGCATTCAAACTCCATAATTCTTCCTTCTTTGTGGATAGCATCTTCCATCATGAGGCCTTTGGAGATGTCTTAGATCCTTGTATTACTGAGAAGGGCTGAATCTATCAACATTAGTCATCACATAACATGGCTATTACTGTGTACAATGTTCTCCTGGTTCTGTTCACTTTACGCAGAATCAGAGCACACAAGTCTTTCCAGGTTTTTCTGAAGTCTGCCTGCTCATCATTTCTTATAGCACAATAGTATTCCATTACATTCATATACCACAGCTTATTCAGCCATTCCCCAGTTGATGGGCATCCTCTCAATTTCCAATTCTTTGCCACCACAAAAAGAGCTGCTATAAATATTTTTGTACATGTGGATCCTTTTCCCATTTTTATGATCTCTTTGGGATACAGCCCTAGAAGTTCTATTACTAGGTCAAAGGGTATGCACATTTTTATAGCCCTTTGGGCATAGTTCCAAATTTCTCTCCAGAATGGTTGAATCATTTCACAACTCCACCAACAATGCATTAGTGTTCCAATTAAACCACATCTTCTCCAACATTTATCATTTTCCTGTTTTGTCATGTTGACCAATCTTATAGGTGTGAAGTGGTACCTCAGAGCTGTTTTGGTTTGTGTTTTTCTAATCGACAGTGATTTAGAGCATTTTTTCATATGACTATAGATGGCTTTAACTTCTTCATCTGAGAACTGCCTGTTCATATCCTTTGACCATTTATCAACTGGGGAACGACTTGTATTCTCATAAATTTGACTTAATTCTCTCTATATTTTAGAAATGAGGCCCTTATCAGAGAAACTGGTGGTAAAAATTCTTTCCCAGTTTTCTACTTTCCTTCTAATCTTGGTTGCATTGGCTTTGTTCGTGTAAAACTTTTCAATTTAACGTAACCAAAGTTATCCATTTTGTATTTCATAATGTTCTGTATCTCCTGTTTGGTCATGAATTTTTCTGTTCTCCATAAATCTGATAGGTAAACTATTCCTTGCTCTCCCAGTTGGCTTACAGTATCAGCCTTTATATCTAAATCATGAAGCCATTTTGACTTTATTGTGTATATGGGGCCAGATGACTTATAGTGCCCCTCCCAGCTCCAAATCTTTCATCCTCTGATATCGGATAAAGACTTAGAGGGCAGTCTCATCCAATTTGCCAATGACCCAAAGCTTGGAGGGATGACTATCATGGCAGATGAGAGAGAGAGAGAGAGAGAGAGAGAGAGAGAGAGAGAGAGAGAGAAGAGAGAGAGAGAGGATCCAGAAGGATTTTGCCAGGCAAGAGCACCAGACTGAACCAATTAAGATGAAATTCCATACAGTAGAGAGTGAGGCTTGGATAGACGGCAGTTGTTCTGCAAGGATCTAAAGGTCTCAGTGGGCTGCAAGAGTGACATCAGCTAGCAGCAGGATGCAATGAGCAAAAAAGCTCACATCTTCTTGGGCTGTGCTGAGGGGCATAGCTTTCAGCAGTAAGAAGAAAGGATGATCCCCCTGCACTCTGCCCTCACCCGACCTTATCTAAGTACCAAGTTCAGATCCAGACACCATGATCTCTGCATATCAACCACCCTCAGTGATATGTAGTTACAAAAAGCAAGCTGAGCCCACACATTAAAATGTACCCTCCTCCCTTCTTGGCAGAGGTGGTGGCCTCCAAGAAGTGGAACATTGACCAAGCTGGAGGACATGTTGGAGGACACATTGGGCATGTTGGTTAAATTTTCTGGACTGCTTCTTTGTCTTTTAGCTCTGTCTTTCCTTATTCTTCTTATTATAACTGTATCCCTCCTTTTCTTTCATAGCAAATTTCTATAATCAGGGCAGGTGAGCAGAGGAAATTCTGTAAGTATAATACTAAATCTATTAATTAATATACTGATACTGAAACATCTCTGAGTTACTATAATAGGAGGAAAGTACAAAAAGCTTACAATTTTAATCTGTATTTGTGGTCAAATTATAATATGGGGATGATAGCCTCCTAAGGGGCAGGGGGCGCTAGACAATCTGATAAGACAAAGACACAAAAGTTTTCTAATTAGATGGAATAGTAAATTTGGAGAAAGCAACAGGATTAGACTGCTTTCTCTAAGAACTATATTTACATCTATATATGATTGGCTTCCAAATGTATCTGGCATTGAAATTCAGGGCTTTGAGTATGTTAAATTCTCAGAATTGAATTTAAGAATCTCACATACAAAATGGCATTGATAATTGTAAAGAAAGTGAAATTATTGTCCCATTTAAAAGTAGCTGTATGATCATTTTAAAATAGAAGAGGGTTCATTTTACAAGTCAGAACCTCACCAATTTTTTTTGGAATTCTTGTATCGGGCTCAGGGATTAAGTAAGTATAAAAACAGCAAGTGGTATATAAAAACTGAAATTCTCTAAAGTCTCAGGTGAATTATGGGTTCCTAATTTTATGTTCCTCTTATAGCTCTGTTGTTAATAGGGTTAGTTCCATTAGGCTTCAACTGGTTTTGATCACATGAAGCAGTTATTAGAAAACCACATTTAAGAGATTGAATTCAATTGTATTAAATCTTGCTGTTGACAGATTTTAGAATTATCTAGGAACTTCTCAAGTGATTTGGAACCAGAGAAGCAGAGCCCCCTTCAAAGCTGCCCTGAGAATGAGGCCTATTCCAGAAGGTCCAAGAGAAGATGTTTCCAAGGACCAGGTGACTGTATCTTGGACTCAAGAGAAGATGAAGTGATTAAATGGGTATTGGGAATGGGTTACTAGGATCCAAGGAGACTTGATGTTATTTAATATTGGTGATCATCATTGAATTATTGCTTTGGCCTTTTGATTCATGGTGTTCATGTTTGCTGAGGTTTTTTTGACTGTCTTGGGGACATGTAAATCTCCCTTCTTGAAACTAGCCCACTGTGAGTCCTCTAAGCAGTTTGGATCTGTAACCTGACTTATGTAATTCTGATTATGACTATAAGAAAAACTTTATAGATTTGGCTTATAGATAACTGCCTCCTTCCCCCATGAATCAAAAGGGGAAATTTAGGAAATTAGAACAGTGAGTGGTGGTGGCGATTAAGTGAATCTCACTGACTCCACCTTGTGACTCAGTTCTGGAGCTATCCTAGTTCCTTTCTATTCAGTCATGGATCTGGTCCAATTTACGTCTTCTGAGAAAACTTGATTTAATTGTGGGAACTGTGATAAAACTTTATTGCGTTGTTGGAACCTAGCCCTACATGGCTGGAAAGCTGGACCGCCTCTCTCTGCTGCTTAGAGACTCCTAACTAAGGACCAAAAATGCGGTCAGACCCAAAGACTAAATGCAAGGAGTCTTCTCACATTTATACATCTGAAGCGAACCAGACGTCTTACTTGACAACCATCCCGGTAGTGGTCCTGTCCCATAATGTGTCCATATTCCTTTGATTGCATACAGACACTTGGAGGAGGAGGAGGACACCTCTTTTTCCGATTTCAGTGAATTGTGCCTCCTCACTATCCTCCTCCCAACTTGGAAAGTCCCTAACCTCTCCTTCCATTAGAAATCAGATCACCTAATTTTGTGTTCTGGTTAATTGTTTTCTTTTAATTAATTGGTCTTATTTGGTTAATTGTTTTGAATGCAAAAAATCTGTCTCTTCTGTATTCGGGGTCCAATGCCAAAGCTGAGGGGCCCTGGTCCCGTGTGTTGGACAACTGGCACATTTTACTTTCCGATGTGCTCAGAAGCTCAAACCTTTGTTCCTTCGGTTATTGCAGTTTCGCCCATCACAGTTCTAAGGGATGTTTGTCTAAGGGGGGGAGGAAAGACATGTGCAGTGAAGGTGACCTAAAAACAAAATATCACCAATAAAAATTAGGGATAGGGATCGAAGCCAAGAAATCATCTGTATGGCCAGGTCCTAGTCAGTGTGACTAACGACTGCCTGAAATGGTCACTTGCCTTCAAACTGACATTATTCTATATAGGGAAGTCCCAGAAGAAGAGACTTCTTCCACCGTGCAGGTCAGCACCTCTGCAACTTTTAGACTTGAAAGAGTTGCCTGGGGGCAATGCAGCATTGTCTAGGGCCACATAGCCAGTATGAGTCAAAAGGAGGGCTTGAATACAGAAATAATACAAAATAAAGTTAGCTTTGGAGTTCATAGTTATTACCAGAACCCAACCTTTCACATCAGCTGCACTGAAAGGTCACCAGCCTGGAACCACTTTCACCAAGACTGAGAGCAGCTTTCTTGGCCATTTGATCTACAAAAGCCCTGAGCAAGCAACTAGCTGTAAAACTCCCTTAAACCTGAAACTGGACTCCACACTGGCTAAGAATGGACATTTATCCCTCCAGGCTTTGCTTTCTATATCCACTGCCCTTATGGTGAAGCCTTATCACAAACCAGGTGATTCCTTTTGGCTTCTTATCCCTTTGGACCAGGTAGAGAGCCCAGCAGTATGGCCTGGAAAGTCCTCAAGAGGTCACCCAGCACAAATCTCCGCTTTTAGGTGGCTATAGTATTGTGCGTCCCAATTTGTAACATGGTATGGTGAGGTTGGGGTCCCTATCCCCCTCCAGGTTCAATGAAAGGGTCACTCAGAGCCAGGGACCCTGAACAACCAGTCTCTGGCCTAAAGCCATATCTGGTAGGTGGAAGCATCCTTAAGGCAGAAAGGATAAAGAAGCAGACTAATTAGAAAGGCTGCTGGGAAGAAGGTTTTAAAGTCTTCGATAAGGGAGCTCCCTACCAAACTCTCAAAAACTTCTCCTCCTGACCAAGGGTCCCAAAGGTTGGCCCCAGATCAATCCACCTGAGGGCAAGGTTATACCCACCTGCTTCCCCTCACAACCTTGCACTCTAATTCCTTACTCGTGGAAACGTGGGGGGCTAACTCACATTAAGTAGAAAGTGCACAAAATTACAAGTTCATTGGGATTTGAGGTCTGCTTCTTACTCACTGTGTGACCTTTAGCAAGCTCACCTCTCTGCGCCTCGGTTTCCTCTTTGATAAAATGAAGGCTTTGTACTAAATGACTCTCAAAGTTCCTTGAATTTTCAAGTCCTGTGGTTATATCTGCCTCCCTGAATGGCTGACCACTTTCTAGGGATCACAGCACCGTGGATTAGAGCTCTCTTCCTGGTGACTTCCCATCCACTCTCCCCCAACACTCACCCATTCTGTCCCAGGCAAAGCACCCACAGGGTCCCTGTCCATGGCTCCCCACTGACCTTGCAAGGCCTTTATGCTTGTTTTGTCTCCACCCCCGCTGTAGGCTCTTGACTTCAAGGCCACTGTCCACCTCCAGTGTCCATCTGTGTTGAGGTTTCTTCTCTCTAATTATCTGTTGAAATATCTGCTCCCATAGGTTCATATTCTTAGTCATTCTTCTCTATGGTCTATTCTGGGTGCAATTGCACCCAGATTTCTGTCCCAGAAGAGCCTCTGCAGGAGTAGGAAATGGGGCTTCCAGCCCATAGAAGACAACTGCATGGAGGCTGGGTGCATCAGGTGTGGGTGCTATGAACACTGGATACTTTCTTGTATCAGGCCTGTAGAGAGTCATAAACAATGTAAAATATCTGGTCTCCTCCCTCAAAGTTTTAAAAATGAAACAGAAAAGATAAGCTAATCCTTCCAGCCCCTCCACCCAAGAGTCAAAGTTTAATGGGACAACAGGTCAACCAGGTTTGAATTGAGTTCTGTCCTGCTGGAGCCTTCCTGGTCCCAAAGGGTCTGTTCTCACACTCTGGCTTAGTAAACCCTGCCATGATGCTCAAGGATAAATTGTTTGAAATGTAGGTTTAATCTATGTCTAGGCTCTCCCCTAAAGATGGGACCCAAAAAGTACCTCACACATAATGTGGGTTTTTTTTTGGTTTTTGGTTTTTTTAGGCAATTGGGGTTAAGTGACTTGCCCAGGGTCACACAGCTAGTAAGTGTCAAGTGTTTGGTCTGAGACCAGTTATAAACAGGTCCTCCTGACTTCAGGGCCAGCGTTTTATCTACTGTGCCACCTAGCAGCCTCCCCCACATATAATATGACGGGCAATCATAGGGTAACCAGAGATGGGCCCATGTACCTCAGGAAGCCTCACTTTAGCAGAGGTTCTTCAGCAATTCTGGAGGGAATGGAGAAGGCAAAAGGGCCAGTGATTATTTCGATCAAGGAAAGGGGCTTCGAGGCTACGTTGAGTGGTTCGTGCGTGGGGTCTTCCACCCTCCCAACTCCTTGCTCCCATTCACTCACCAAGCCCATTGCCACCATCTGTCCCAAGCAGCAGCCATAGCCAGGCTCCATGTCTGTGGTGCAGTCTACAGCTGAGGTTTTAACTCAGCTCATTAGAGACAAAAACATGACTCGCCCAGGCTTTCACTCAACTCCAAGGTTTTATTGTCATTACAAAAACACTAATGTCACAGCTAGAGAGCTAGAAATAGTCCTATACCAATGTATAAGGCCCTATTAAAGTTGGAAAAAATAGATGGGAGAGAGCTGAGAAATAACAGAATAGCTTTTCTCATTATGTTGGATTGGAAGCTCCACAAGGGCAGGGACTCTTTCATTTTTTGCCTTTGTATTCCCAGAATTTATCCAGCACGGCTCCTAAAACACAGTAGGTGCCTAATAACTGCTTATGTATGGGTTCATTGATTGATTCACTCCCCAAAGGAAGACCATAACTAGATAATAGCTAGACCAGAAGGGGGAAAAGGCAAGTTCACCCCCATATTAAATGTTTGGGGCCTGACTGGTTAGAAGGAATTCCAGTTATCAGATCACTGGTTATCACTCTGGAAAGCAAAGCCCAAGGGATGAGAGAAAAAACAGATGGGGTGGGCAGGGCAGGCAAACAATAACTTCCTCGGCCTTTCAGAGAACCCCACTTCTGTTCTTCAGTCGGGAGAGAAGCTCAGGGCTGACTTGGAAGTCTCTGTAGTTTGAGATGCGTCTGGGACATTGTTTCACAGGTAAACACACAGGTAACACTATTTGTTGGACAGGAGAAGACAGGACAGTTCCTAACGCTAAGAGGTGTTCTAGCACTTTTGATCAGGTCAGACAGGAAGACAGCTTCGAAGGGGTTAAATGAGCTTTCTTTATTCTAGTCTAGTCTTCTCAATAGGGTTGCTGGTCATGGGAGCACCACCTCTTCCAGTATTCCCTAATCACACTTCTCCCAGGGGTGGGCAAGAATAGGAGTACAAATCCTCATCCCCTAAGTCTCAGTGGGGGCCGGTTGAGGCAAACACAGACTCCCCCCAAGCCTTGATGGCGGCCGATCAAGGCAGGCACATGCATTCCTCTATGCGTTACCCAAATCCCAAAATGGGTTCCCCACTTACTGACCAGTGCCCACTTGCTTTATAGGGCACCAGACAAAACAGGCATCTTGCCAGCATGAAGCTCCCAGGTTAACTTCAGCAATATCATTGTGACTTAGCACAGCGCAGGTGTATGTCACGTCATCCCTGTATGTCACCATGCAAGCGTGGTGATGTTTTCAACCATAATTCTTGGGAAATAGTATCAAGGACCCTGGAACTATGTCTAAAGACAATAACAAAGCCCTCCTTACACACCCTAAAACTCACCTTGCTTACAAACGTCGCCTTGAAATGTCCAGGAGACAGTTCAGCAAAGAGATTGGGTCTACGTGCGGCAACCTCGAGTCACCCAGTTGGCCCAGCATGCAGGAGGGAAGGGCCACCAGAAAGCGCCAGCTGCTGCAGAGAAGTCAAGGAGAAAAGGTTGAGAAAAGGCATGCATTTGGGTACCTAGGAGATGCCCCGTGACTCTGTAAAGAGCAAGTTCAGAGGAGGGGGAAGGTCAGAAGCCGGATCACAAAACTACAATGTCACTTGAGCCTCGGAGCATACCAGTGAGGATGGGCGAGGAGGGCATTATTGTTCCCATTTTGCAGGTAAGCATACTGAGGCATGGAGAAGCTGTGCTACTGTTTCACAAGTGGGGTTTCGGAGCTGGAGCCAGAATTCAGGCCTCTTGCCTCCTCCTCCAGGGTCTTTTGGTCCCATCTGGCTTGCTCTAGCCTGATGAGCCGGCTACAGGTCAGGTTTCTAGGCTCTCTGAACATGCCCAGCCCCCTTGCCATCAGCGGAGGCACTCACCCCCTGAATGTATGCCCCCTGGGTTTTATTTCAGAATCAAACCAGGCTCCTGAGCTGACCTAGGAAGCAAAGCAGACTGGGGGTCAGAGGAAGCAGGAGGCTCAGGCCCAGCCTCTGGAGAGAATGACCTCCTCCTCCCATCAGTCTGAGGAGGGAGCGGTCCAGGACTCTGTCGGCAGCACCTATAAGGCCCCCTGCTTGCTGCCTCGAGGCAGCCCTGTGGTTTTGTCAAGAGAAGTGAGGCGAAGGAGGGCAGCCAGGGATGGGGATGGGACACGGGGAAAGTGAGAAAGCTCATGGAAAAGGAAGGTTTTCTATTCTGTCAACTGTGAGAAAATGGTTAGATTTAAGTGGAAAAAAAAAACAGTGAAGACTGAAGAGGCCCCTGGTCCTTCAAGGAAGCAGCACTGGACCCAGACCCAGATAATGTGCTTTAATTCTGGGACAAGAAGACCTGGGTTTGAATCCTGCCTGACCCTAAGCAACTAATTTCAACTCTATGAGATTCTGAATTCCTCTTCCCCCTTTCAAATTAAGGTGTTGGATGGACTAAGTGACCTCTGGGGCCCCTTCCAGCTCTATGGAATGAGCCTGTGGCTTTAAACTCCATAGGCCTCAGTTTCCCCATCCGTCAAATGAAGGGTCTGGACCAGATGGCCACCAACGGCGTACTGAGCTCTAGAGCTAGCATCCTGTGATCTTGGGTCTGCTGGTCTCTACTCTGCCCGTCAAAGGGCAGCTTTCAGACACATTCATAAGGAGGATTCTCATTATCAGTCATTGAACCCTGGCTGAGTACAATGTTTCTCCCTGCTGAGTCAAAAGGAGAGAAGCGAGCCCAAGTCTTCACCCTAGCATCCTTAGACCCTCATTCACAAGGCACCAGCCAGAAATCCACACAGAGCTGAGGGGAGGAGAGAAGGTTGCCATGAAAATGCCGTACTGTCGTCTGGGGCGGGAGGAAGGAAAGGAAATGGGGTGGGGGGGAGAAAGAGGATGGAGAGAGACTGAGACTGAGAGACAGAGATAGGAAGAGATACAGAGGGGAGGGAGAGAGGGAAGGAGAGACAGTGAGAGGATGGAGAAAGAGACAGCGAGAGAGATAGAGGGAGAGACAAGGGGGGAGAGGAAGAGGGAGAGGAGAGACAGAGAGAGAAACAGAGAGAGAGGACAGAAAGAGAGAGAGAGACAGAAAGAGACAGAGAGAGGTAGAGGGAGAGATAGATAGAGGGAGAGATGGGGGAGAGGAAGTGGGAGGGGAGAGACAGAGAGAAACAGAGAGGACAGAGGAAGAGAGAGAGAGAGAGAGAGAGAGAGAGAGAGAGAGAGAGAGAAAGAGACAGAGAGAGAGGATGGAGAAAGAGACAGAGAGAGATAGAGGGAGAGATAGATAGAGGGAGAGACAGGGGGGAGGGAGAAGGGGGGAGGAAGATTCATAGAGAGATGGAGACAGAGATGGGCCCGAGCCCTAGATGGAAGCCCAGAACGAGGCTCAGCTGGGTAAACCAAGCATTCCCCCAGAGATTTGTCACCAGCCAGGAAATGAGACCAGATCTACTCCTGGTTATGTGATAGGATCATTATAGATAAGAGGGGGGAAATAAATACCTCAGAGACATCATCTAGTTCAACTCCATCATTTTACAGAGGAAGAAACTAAGGCCCAGGGAAGGGAAGTCACTCAGATCACAGGATCATCCTCAGAAGGTACCTCAGAGGTCATCTATTTCAACCCTGTCATTTTACAGGTGGGGAAACTGAGGCTCAGAGCCAGGAAGCCATGTACCCACAGTCCCACAGTCATCGAGGGGTGAGCCAGGAGCAGAACCCCAGCCCTGGCCCTCCATCACACCCTGCTGTCACTCTCCTCACGGTTCCCAGTGAAGGTCACAACTCCTTAGCCCTTTCAAGGCAGAGTTTCATTTTGGGATCATGAAAAGGGGAGCAGGCTAGACTTGCTGGATGACTTTTTCTGTTATTGTTGTTGTTTCTTCTGGGCCCAGGGGACTTTCCCATCAGTATCTAGCGGAATCAAAACTGCTTCGTCTCCTTTTCCATTCTCTCCTCACCCGAGCACACCCCCCACAGCCCCACAATCTCCTCTCTCTCTCTCTCTCTCTCTCTCTCTCTCTCTCTCTCTCTCTCTCTCTCTCTCTCTCTCTCTCTCTCTCTCTCTCTCTCTCTCCCCTCATTTGCCATCCATTCCTGCCAGCCCAGACAGGCGCTCTCCCTCCCCTTCCCAGCAGAGCAGATGACATTGGAAATTTTCTGAAGGCTCAGCAGCTTCACCTTCCCTACACTCATGGGCAC